TTCCATCAATTAGAGGGAGGCCTACCGGCCCTGATAATTGCATGAAAATCTTCGCAGACTTCAAGTTCAGATGGCTCAGAACGGGTACGCTTTTGCTTTCTAGCCGTCATGGCTGACCGGCTTGGTAACCCCTGAATACCAAGTACAGCATTCAACATCACATCATTCCAAGGGAAGAATGGGCATAAAGTGATATGAAGTACAGAAGGTGGTGACTTATGTGGCAGTATTTCACACAAGTCGGGCCACATAACTCCGGCTTTCGACGCAGCGGAACGTTGGCACATCCGTTCAAATAGCGTTAGCAGCATAGTTAATCATGAGTTGAGATGAACACAGGCAACATTAAAACGCATATCCGCGTAAGCTGCACAGAAGGCTAACCATGAAGCTGGTATTTCGGGTGAGAGATCATAGGGCTTTCGCAACTCAACCCTTTCGGGGTTAGAGGAGACACGATTCAAGACCCAGAACATGCAAGGTGGCAGCCTGGAACGTCTGAGATGAGAGGTTCACCCAAAGAAATCGAGAAATCTACGACGCAGAAAGACAGCTTAAGCTGGTCACAAGCTGCTGCAGGCACACGGATCCTGTGCAGCTGATATCACGGACGGCCAAGAATAGTCAGACGTGCTGCGAGTTCATGCATGGTTATTGAATATGGGCGCTCGAGGAATCACGGGTTTGAGAAGTTCGGCTCCGCGAGCTCGCTTCTTCGTCGAGGAGGAATAATCGCCCGAAGGCAACGCTGACGGTGAGTCGGGGGAGACTCCTTTTGCGGGGAGGCCTAGCTCATCATCTCGGGTGGGTGAATTGGCTTCTGCCCATGGCTGATGTCTAGGGTCTGAGCGTGCTCGGAAAGGGGGACTCACTGTGACCCGAGCTGAAATTTGACGTTTGACGGGTGATGGGATATCTTGCTCACTTGGGCACGAGCTCCCTCCTCATGGCTTTCTCCCTTCAGGCTGCTCTGGACCCCGTGTGATATCTGGTCTGAACTTGAATCTAGAATTAGCGCGGTGAGCAATTTGGCTCGCGATGAACGCTTCCTTGGCTGAGTTCCTGGCAAACGGGGGCTTGCGACATGATTCAGATGGCAGTCCCGATGCTACGGATGGGAGATGGATCGTGATGGAAACCCCCTCGTTTGAACCCCCCTTTTGTCGATCGAAGGCGACGTTTAGGTTTGACGCCGAGATCGAAAACTCAATTTGATTCAACGTCGTCGAGGGAAACGAGACGTCGAGCCGGCGACTATCACACGGGGGCTTGAAGGCGAGGCCGGTAAGTGCCGTTGGTGATGGTGATAGCGCGAGTGAACCCCCGGTCCGGGAAGGAAGCTTAAAGGGAGGCAGCTTGGCATGAAGAAAGCTTGGCGTGAAATGTGGAGACCGGAGGCTGACTTGCGTGTCTCCAAGTGTCTGTGTGAGTGACGATCACGCAGGTGGGTAAGGTTGGTGCCTCATGCGGGCATAACAGCCGTTTTGAGTGCGGAGACCCGTGCCAATGTTTTGGCGCTGGCCGTTTCACCAGGATGTGGCATAAGGTCCTGAGCGATGGGAGATTTTGCAACGATTGAGAGGCGTAAAACAGTTTGGTGGGCTCTTGGCGCAGCGGGCGCAAGTAACAGGACCGGCCGGGGGATTCGGGCGAGGCTGGCTGATGGACGTCACCGTGTCTGGACCACGTCTGGTGAAGGGTTTTGGCTGGCATTGCTGACGGGCTTGGAGCGGCGATGATACTAGAGGCGGAACCAGCAGGACTGGGGTTCGAGTCAATACGAGTCTATTGCCGAGGCGGTAAGGACTGAGTGAGCAAAGGAGTCGAGTCGAGTATTGTGCCGAGTATCCGAAACGGCAAGGGCGGTGGACTGGATTGGATAGGAGAGGAGTCGGTCGTGTGGTCGAGTCGAGTCCGGTGTGGGTGGCTCGAGGGGAACGAGAACGAGGCAAGACTTCAGCCTCGCTGGAAGAGGAACGTTGAGCCAAGAAGTAGGTGGACTGATCATTCAAATAAAAGAGCGAGAATGCTTGAAGTCTTTAAGCTTGAGCCGGGGAGAAAAATAGGGTTGATTAGGGATTCATCGTAGGATGAATCAAAGACAGGTGATCTGTAAACATTATCGTACGAGTCTGACGTTGAGGAACACATGGATGGGCTCATCGAAGGGCGTCTTTGCTGGGTGGTCTGGTCGACTGAGACCCTGAGAAGAGAGAGCGGCATGGGAAAGGCAACGGTGCAGCGAAAGGAGGCGACACCATTGGGCGACGGCGGCACATGGCTTAGACTTGCCGCTCGTGCCAGACAGCCAGGGGGCAAGACGGCTCCCCTGCGAACCTTGCTCGGGCGACAGGCGGGCTTGGATGAATCGAGATAGGCTGACAGGCGTTGTTGAAAGGAGGGTGAAGTGGAAGTTTGACGTGAGGGTTGGCAAAAAGCTCTAGGGTTTCACAACCAGGATGAAGAGTGGATGAGGAGGCTCGCAAGCTCGAAATTGGTGTCGTTGCTGGGATGACAAGTTTGGAGATTTGCGGGTGATGCACGGGCCAAGGCCACCCAAGGAGGAAAAAGGAAGGGACGACCCCTGGCTGGTGTTCCTGCCTGTGCCGCTGGCCTGCTGGATGATGGCCGTCAGTACGTATCTTTAGTGGATCACACGTGTAACCGATGTCCCCTGCGACCAGGCGAAAAAGAGACTAGCGGGAGTGTGGGGGTGACCCCTGTGGCTCCCTCATTCTTAATTTTCTTTCCGTGACTTTCCCGCTTCTGTCTTTCCTCAACAAGCCTGTCAGACACCAGGGAAGCACGTTCTGGATGGAAATGAGGAAAGGGTTCCCCAGATCCGGGCAGTCAAACCTTTTTTTTTTTTTCGATAGGTACCTTATGATGGGAGGGAGACGGCGTTGTTCTGGAATCTGGAGGCATCCAAACAACTGTCACGAGAGTCATGGCAACAAGCTACGTCGAACGACACTGGGGATGGCCTGTGGACGATGGTTCTGGTGATGAAAGCTCTAATGCTGTGTGGCCAATGATATTCGTACACCGACATTCACAGCTCAAAATCATTGGAGACTGGCTTGGCTTCGTATGATTTTCCAAGCTTCGAATCGATGATTCTCTGCGTCCTGGGCACATGCTAGGCATCTGGGCATCTGGGCACTTCGATATCGGTCGCTGGGCATCTGAAGATTAGTGGTCGTCGGTCACAATTAGCTACAATTATAGCAGCCGAATGCCACTATCGACACGCTACATCTGCATGAGATTGCACTAATTCGAGCCTGCCCTTGCCTTGGGATGCAGTAGGCCCGTCACATTGGTGCCCCTCTACAGTGAGTTCCCCGCTGCGCCCGCTGTAAGATATTGCCCTCTCAGCGAATCCTGTGTCACTATGGCCCAACCACCGCAGCTTCCCGTCCTGCACGCCTCACCTTTTTTGCTCTTTCCCTCAGTGCTGTAAGCGCCCGGCAGCATGGACCCGGCCGAAACAGGTCTGGCGCCCGAGTTCCAAAATTAAATCTGGCCACTCAGACGTCGTCTTTCTTGATTCCCATCACTTTAGACCTGTCCACTTCTCGATCCATCCGTCCAGCCCGGCGGCAAGAACAGCATGACACGACGTCGCCTGGCCGTCTGCAGACCGCAACCTGCATGGCGGTATCTGGATGGATATGAGGACGTCAACATGTCTTCCCGATCGAATACCCTTTCTTCCTCTTTCTTTGTTTTCCCCTTTCTACCCAACAGATCGGTAACCCTACCCTGTCTCTACGGAGCTACCCTTTCTTTGCGCGGAAAACGTCAACGATTGCATACGAATTACGAATACCAACAGCATTTTAGAGAGAAATCAATCCTTGCTCGTCGCATCCTTCGCAAGTTCGCATAGCGCTTTTTTCCCCATCCATCCGCCTTTTCGCAGCAAAAAAGCCCCCCTCCCCTGTTGCAACCGAAACGTCAAGATAGCCTCGGAGCCCCTCGTCAAAGCGCCTCTAACAGAAGTCGTCTCAACTCCGCCCACCTGCTGTCGCACTTGGCCCTGCCGTCTGATCAGTCTCGCCTCTCGGATCGGACTGATACAGCTCACCCCCAACTGCGAAACCCCTCCAACGTCTGATCTACCGAATCGTCCAGTCCACCATAATCGACCCCTGTCCCGTTCGCCGCCGCCGCGCCACCGAATCAGCCTCTCAGGAAAGAATTGCAGACGAACAGCACCTTGCCAGCCCGCCCGTTGACGAGGTTTCATGGACACCTGACATCCGAAAGATTAGTCCCGACACCGTCCACCCCATTCCGCACCACCTACCGCACCACCATCAAGCCTCCACCACCACCACAGTCGCCGGATCGAATTCTATCCTTCCGCCCTCGACAAGCTCCCCCGTCGCGCCCTGGGTAGCCCTGCTCCTTTGCCAAAGAACCGATTTCTTCCCGGCGAGACCCCTGTCAAAAATCGTCCTCGAGCACGCCAAGTCCAGAGACAGCCGTTCCATCTCGACTGCCGTCCGACTCGCCTCTTTATGACTTTCCCCCCACCCGCCGAAAGCTTCGTCTCGTCTTCCTCCACCTCTCTTCTCTCACCCTCATTTTTCTCTTCTTCTCCGTCGCATCTCGGTCACGTCGAAGAGTCAAGCCGATTTCTCGAGCCCTTCCGACTAACGAGATCCTTTCTTTCCTTCGCTGCTGGCTCAGATCACTCTTTTTAAAATTCCATAATCCAACTTGTTGGGCTGGAGTCCTATTTCGCTTCTTTTGTTCGTCACGCGCGCCGCTTTTGGGTATTATAAGAGACGTTTTAATTCGGGGAATCCAAGGAGAAAGAGATTGGGAATCAGATCTGGTCAGGGTTTATTGGGATTCGCCTCGACGCCCTCGTTCGACTACCTCACGAACCGTCCCGCCCTCGAGGTCCGAGCCTGCCAACTCGTCAGTATTGTCGCAGGTCGACACCCTAATAAGTTCACGAAAAGGAGGGAAATCGAAATCACGCCAACATGTCGGGCGATTTGACCTTTGGGACCTTGGTCAAGAAGCAGTTTACTGCTCAGAAGCTGCTGTTTCACTTCCTCTTCTGGACCTTTCACTTCGGCATTTTCGCCTATGGATGGTGAGAACCTCGCGCTGTACAGATGTTGACATGATATCTAACCCATCGCAGGTGGAAGCAAGCAGCCGATGTAAGATTGGCGGGTCTCAACACTCTGCAGTACTCCGTTTGGATCTCTAGAGGTGCTGGTCTGGTTCTCAGTGTCGATGGCATGCTCATCCTCCTCCCGGTTTGCCGAACGGTCATGCGATGGATTCGACCCAAGGTCCGCTTCCTGCCTCTCGACGAGAACCTTTGGCTTCACAGACAATTGGCCTACTCCATGCTTCTGTTCACCATTCTGCACACCTCTGCCCACTACATCAAGTAAGTCGCTCGGCATCATTCTGTCTTGTCATTTACTAAACATCAAAGCTTCTTCAACGTCGAGGTTACCCAAATCAGACCTGTGACTGCCATCCAGATTCACTACGCTCAGGCTGGTGGTGTCACTGGACATGTCATGCTTCTCTGCATGCTTCTGATGTACACCACTGCTCACTCCCGCATTCGTCAGCAGTCGTTCGAGACCTTCTGGTACACTCACCACCTGTTCATCCCGTTCTTCCTCGGACTTTACACCCACACCGTCGGCTGCTTCGTGCGTGACACCGCCGAGTCGTACTCGCCATTCGCTGGAAAGGACTACTGGGACCACTGCATCGGTTACCTCGGTTGGCGATGGGAGCTCTGGTCAGGAGCTTTCTACCTTATGGAGCGTACTTACCGTGAGATTCGCGCCCGCCGTCTCACAAAGATTACCCGTGTCGTCCGCCACCCGTACGACGTCGTCGAGCTCCAGTTCAACAAGCCTTCTTTCAAGTACAAGGCCGGCCAGTGGCTCTTCCTGCAGGTGCCTTCCCTCTCTAACTACCAGTGGCACCCGTTCACCATCACTTCTTGCCCCTTCGACCCCTACGTCTCTGTCCACGTCCGCCAGGTCGGTGACTTCACCCGCGCTCTCGGTGACGCAGTCGGTGCTGGAAGTGCTCAGGCCAAGCTTTACGATGGCGTCGACCCCATGGGAATGTACGAGGTTGCTCTTCAGAACGGCCAGCAAATGCCCGACCTCCGCATCGACGGACCCTACGGAGCTCCCGCCGAGGACGTGTTCGAGAACGAAATCGCCGTTCTCATTGGTACCGGTATCGGTGTTACTCCTTGGGCTTCGATTCTGAAGAACATCTGGCACATGCGCAACGGCCCGAACCCTCCGACCCGTCTTCGCCGTGTCGAGTTCATCTGGGTTTGCAAGGACACCGGTTCCTTCGAATGGTTCCAGACCCTGCTTTCGTCTCTCGAGTCTCAGTCTGAGGAGGCAGCTCGTCTGCCCGGCAGCAACGGTGTCGAGTTCTTGAAGATCCACTCCTACCTCACCCAGAAGCTGGATATGGACACGACACAGAACATTGTTCTCAACTCCGTTGGATCCCAGCATGACCCCCTGACCGAGCTCAAGTCCCGTACGAACTTCGGCAGACCCAACTTCTCCAAGCTCTTTGCAACCATGCGCGACGGCATTCTGGACAGAACCTACCTCAACGGTCTGGAAGGCAGCATGCGCACAACTGTCGGTGTTTACTTCTGTGGTCCTTCAGTAGCTGGTAAGTTTTTCCGTCTCTTGTTTCCGATGAACTATTACTAACAGATTGGCCAGCTCGCGATATCAAGAAGGCTTGCAACGAAGCGACCGTCAGGGAAGTCAACTTCCGTTTCTGGAAGGAGCACTTCTAAACGCATATGTCCGCCTATCAACAAAAACCAAAAAAATTAAAAGGGTTTCGGCCTCTATGTTGTGTTCTGTATATGTAGGAGGAGTTTACGCCAGAAGACGACATCTATAGAGCTTCCAGGAGCTCTCAACTACGAAGGCGACGGTGTCGCGCCAAGAGGAGGAGGACTCGGCTGAATGACTTGGACTACAAGCGGGAAGGCGTTGGCTGGAAATGCATTCAAGAAACCCACCCAGCGATGTGCATCATCTTACATCTTTTTGCCGCCGTCCGGCCCTCAATACCGCAGGGCCAGATGGATGGCGGGCAATGTTCTTTCACATATATAAGCCCATATATATCGTTTTCAGCTATGGCAACTGGTTCATCCCCAGCAAATCTCATTTCTCGTATGATCTAGCAAGATAGGCTATGTGACACGATTTTGCAGACACTGCATGCATATGTTTTACGCTCACTAGGGCATGTCTGCACGCCAGGTGCAATTCCCACGATGGGACGGTCCATACACTTTGCGAAGTTTTGGAAATGAACGACACCGTGATGAACGACTAGGCGCAGCGAACCACTGTCAAGACAGATGACACGAACTTCGACCGAACAGCGAGCGCGACCGGGGCCCGTGTGGTTCCCAAGATTGCTGACACACACTCGTCATGCGCAAGGAACATGCCGAGAAGCGAAAAGTCGCAGCGAAGCATGAAAGCGACAGGGACTCCGGAACTACGGTACAGGGCGGGAGAAGAAGAAGAAGAAGAAGGGCGCGCGGCAGGCGATCCGCCGAAGTGGTACCGTCCCGTCGCCCCGGACATCTCCCGGCCGAGTCATCCCGGCCCAAGGCCACACGCCGCTGACTCAGTCCATTCATTCTAGACCTCAGCGTTCGACGCGGATGATGATGTTCTTGGGTGATGACGCATTGCTTATTCGGTGGCCTCTGCGATCCAGGAGCAGTGAGGACAGCGACTTGGCTCTGACGATCGGGTGGAGTCGTAGGGGTCGTCGTGTGTGTGTGTGTGGTGGGGATCTTGTGTCAAACGGTTGGCGTTTGGGGGCTGGATTGTGAACATGCGTTGTCGTCGTGTGCCGTGCGGCGGAGACGGCCGAAGGATTTCTTTCGGTGGAGGGTGAGTGGTTCGGGTGGTTAGATGGGATTAGTTTTTCTGGTGACATGTTCTTATTTTTGGAGGTGTGGTTGTTGTTTTTTTTTGGTTCGGATGGGTGTGGAAGGTTTTGGATTTTGAGGGGGGGGGGATCATGAGAGATGGGATGATTTCGAGGAAGAACTTGGATGGTGCGCTTGGTATGTGATCTTGAACTCGACACCATTCGTCCTAGTGTAGCCTACCTGACTTGTTGATATGTGAGTGAATATGAGTTGGTTATCCTGGTTTTCCGGTTGCCGTAGTAAGAACGAACTCCCCGCGGAACTCGCGATGGTGGGCGGGTGGAGATTGGGTGTGTTTTGTATGAACGGCAGGAGAGGAAGGCCCGGCCAGAGAGATTGGTTGATGACGAAATATTGGGTTTTGAGGCCGATGGGATGAATAAGATGTGAGCAGGACATGAGTTGTGTGTCGCGAGTCGGTCGTGGTGGATGACGTTCGTGTGGGATGGTCTTTGAGTCAGCGGAAACGGGATGTGCGGGATGAGACTCCATCATCGGACGCCTTCCGAGGAGGATCTGCTGGCCGATGCCGACGATGGGGTTTCGGCAACTGGGAAACGTGGTGTGTGAAAGTTATTTGTTTTGGGGCTGGAGTCCGCTTGCTGATGTCTTAAGGCTCAGGGTTGTCATTTCGAGGATTCTTCTTTCTTTTATTTCATACTTTTAGAAAGATTTGGGATGATTTGAGGAGTTGCTTATGTGTGTATCCTGCATCCTGCGTTCGTCCCATTCTCGAAACCCATTGTGGAGGGAGATTTAGGTTTAGAGTTTGAGATTGTTGAGTTGATGATGAGATGAAGTTGTCGTTTGAGGGGATATGGACTGAGGAAGTTTGGTCCTTCTGATATGTCCTTCCAGAGAAAGCCAACTTTATCACATGAGTTTGTAGTATGTGATGGGTAACACGCATCGTTACTTGTGTTGGCCCAACGGTTTTCCGTTTCATATCGCTCAGAATAATGTATATTTGTGACGCGCTTAGACATTTATCCATTCTATTCGTCAATTACGAAAACAAAACTCAAGGGGTGCTATTACCCACGCCATCCAATTCAAACCCCACAACTACGAGGACGGCGTTACTGTCTACGCAGCGAGTTACCCGCGGAGCGTTCCCCAGAACCGGGAAGCCTCTACCCGTCTGCATATTCAATTGCCTCTTCGACTTCTTGTCGATGTTTTGAGCAAATATGCATAGTACCACCGCTCCCGTTCAGGATGCAACCACCGCTCCCGGTCTGACGATTACAGGAAAGCATGTTATAGAAGACACGCCGAGTATCAAGGTCTTCTCTTTGCTTTGACGTGATTCGAACGCCTTGTTCCTCCATCTCCGTTGCCATGTGCCAGTCAAGTCTGATCAAAGACTCATAGAGCATGTCTTCATCATGTGACATAAGACAGTTGAGTTCGTATAACCGGTCTTTAAGATCGTTCGGTAGCCATGAAGATGGTAGACTGTAAGCCAAGTCCGTGAGAGACCTTGTGTGGTGGTACCAGTATTTCGTGGGCCAAGTTTTGTCGTCCAATAGAACCCTCAGTGCTTCCTCGTTCTGCTTTATGATTGCATGTCGTACACAGGAGCTTATATACTGCAAACACCACCGTTCTTTCGATTCATACGATGTCACTAGCCAATGCAATATGGTGACCGACCATTGCCCGCCTATGTCTATAGCACTGTGACAAGCCCTTTCACACAGGACCCAATGTCCTGGATCTTTCGCGCCGGGCTGTCCCCATAGTCGGGAGATCTCTTTGCAATCGGTTTGAAATCTGGCCAATGCTTGCTGATCCAATCCTGCTTTTTCAAGCTGGGCATGAAGTCGAAAGAAGGAAGCGTAGACGTTATCGCCGGGGTTGCCGTTTTCACGTGATCTAAGCGCGAAGCAAATAAGATAATGGGAACCACTATGAATCTCTGATGGGTTGTGGCAGGTCGAGTGAGAAGATGTTAGTGAGCTGAAAGAAGAATCCATGGTGAGCCGTGAGAATAATGAGTTGTCTCTCATTGATAGCTCCGCAACGATGTCAACGAGACGATTATGGCCTTCTTGAGACTGTGTCGGAGATGTTTTCACAGACCGCCTTCTTGCTTGCAGAAGATCTTCAAGCAGCAAGCTATCCAAGGGCATCTGCCAATCTATCATGTGGGCAGCAACCTTTGCGGCTAAGGCAAAGTTTTCAACCACTTGAGCGTAGGCAATGACCTTGTGTAAAGCAAGCCAACGACGGCCTCTGGGCTCAGAATCAAGATTTTGTTCTGACAGAAACTTTGTTCGTTTGGCTGTGACGTTTGGGTCTGCGGAAGCATACCCGATGTTTGTTAATCCAAGTGGTTGCCACGTTGGGTCCACCCAAGGCGCGTACTCGGCAAAGAGGTCCATTTCGCGCCAGATATCCCACGTGCTCGACGACTCTTCAATATCCTTGGTATGGTGGATCCAATTCTGTATTGCGTACGGTAAAAATGGATAGTCGTGCGTGTTGTCAGATGTTGCATAATGCAATAGCCCCTCCAAAGACTGGTTTTGTGTAGATTTCGTTTTTGTCTTACCAAGTGGCTTTTTGATAAACCGCGATGCGTGTTCGCCGGAATGGTTTCCAATCAGCGTCGTCAGGGTTTGGTCAACAATTCCGTAAGGTATTGCCTCCAATTCCAGTTGAATGCTCTGAGACGTTTTGCTAAGTGCTCTTTGAAAATCGTTGAAATGAAGATAGGTCAAGCATATCTCGCCGATGTGATGATCGCAATGCTTTGAAGTCAACGAGAAGCCATCTGGCTTTTCCGTATGATCCAGAAGATAAGTCCGGATCGAGTGGTGACTGAAATGAACCGTCTGGGTTCCTTCTTCCAGTTGAACAAGATTTTCGCACCACGTAAGAATATGTTGAATTCCTTTCATCCGCTGGTTCTCTTTAGAATCAGGTTGGTTGGGTTGTATCAGAAGCACCTCCGCAATCTGATCTGAGGTCAAAGGATTGCGGGCAGCTACTGTCCACTTGAAAATGGACTGCACAATCTCGGCATTTCCTTTCTGTTTGATTCGCTGGAGGACTCGGTTGAAGGTCTCGGGAAGATTCCGAGGGATATTGCCGAGGGCTTCGCGAATTTGTTCATCGCTCCGTCTGGTACATATGTCTTCGATGGTCAGGAATACCCATAGAAACCTGGCCAGTTAGTTATTCTGCATTCGTGAGAGCTAATGGAGACTGAAACTCACATCCCGTCGCCGCCAGAACTGATTGCTTCCAAAATCTCATCAATAAGACATCGATCCCTTAAACCCCAGTCTTCTTCCTGCTTTTCTCTCAAGATCTCTCGAGCGTAGCAAAGCAGATCCCGGTCCGTATCTTCAGAACCTACGATGAGACGTGATACGACGAGACGTGATGCAGGCGACAGTAAGCGGTTGATTCGCTCCGCAACACTGTCTCTGGCTGAGATCAGAACCTTGATCTTGTGACCTTCAGCCTTTTGCAGTAGCCTCGCGATGATGTTGAGAATGGAGCGCTGATCTTGTGGGCTGCATTCGTCCAGGCCATCCAAGATGATGAAACGGCTTTCAACGAGTTTCGTCTTTGGAATTAAAAGATCAAGGAGAGTCTCATGTTTAAAAGCCGAACTCTCGCTCTTTTCCACGAAATCAAGCAATACTTTGTTGACCGACTGATGAGCTAGGGCTTGGCGAACGATAGAGCGAAGGATTGTGTCGGGATTCTGACTGTCTATGTCGTCGAAACGAATGAAAAAGAAGGAAATGGATGCTCGAGCCGTCTTCTTTCTCTTTATATAGTCGATAACGTTTGCGCTTCTCGCCCATTAGCACCAAAAACTCCTAATCGGACACAGCAGGCAGCTCCTTACGTGAGGATGGTTTTCCCGGAACCAACTGCAACTTGTCAGTACTTGTTGCACGGCACAGCTCTGCAGACAAGTTGAGCGTCAAACAAACTCACTTTTTCCAGAAAAATACAAAACGGCGTTTTGCTCATCAGAAAACCATTTCTGGAATTTTTGTGTCTCGAAAACCCACTCAGCTGTGCCCTTGTGGCGCTTTGATCTAGCATTTTTGTATGCTGTTTCGTACGAGTATGAAGACATTTTGTTGAGCAATGACTTCCATTTTTGAGCTATATAAGAGTATCTTTAGTTCGAGCATTCTGACTGAAGTATAGCATTATGAAAGCTCACCGCTTGCAAGTGACTTGTGACGCTTTCCCAGACGTGACAAGTTCTTTGCAGCCTTTAAGGATTGTTGAAGAAGGCTTTTGTTGGTCTTCTCTTGCTCAACTTGGCTCCACCGATCGTATTGTGCCTTGGCAAGAGTGACTGCATCCTTGACTCGTTTTGCAGTGACTCTAATGTCATCAACAGCGGGGCGGATTTTGGATTCAAACGACTGTGTTAAAGCTGCTAAGGCTTTCTGTGTCCCTGTTTTGGGGTCAGCTTCTTTCCTCACTTGTGAGTAGAATAATGATAGCAAGCAAGCATACAGGGGAGGTGAGTGATGCCGATAATTTGGGTACAGCATGAAACGACTGCGAGATGAAACTGGCATATAGATGTCTTCAACCCATATGAGTCTGGGAAAAGACTCTCATATTCTGTGAAGTGTGGTATGAGATGGTCGAAGCCATGAAGAAGATCCGTGAACTTATGGAAGTATGAGGTGAAGTTGATCAAGACCTGCGTAATTTAGCTAGTGTCCCATAGTCATAGGGTGTCACGTACCATAAAGGTCAACTTCAAAGAACCCCAGATCAAAGCTGCGATCTCTGGATTCGAAGAGACATAGGTGTCGACTACTTGCCCAAAGATCTGAACGGTTTGCAGAAGAGAACATAGCTTAGAAGCCGCAACTCTGCCTCTGCGGACGGGATCCAGCTCATCCAACTCAAGCGTGAATTTGAATGCGGCGTCAGCATCATTCAAGCCTGACTTTTGCTCGTTCAGACGTTTGCGCTCTTCATCTGTAAGGTTTGCTCCGAATTGCGCCAGAGCAATTTCTAGGCTGGCAGTTGCACCAGACTTGCTCCTTGGACTTGGCGATCGTCTAGCGAGGGAGGCGCCCGATGAGCTCGGTAGAGAGAGACTCATTTTCGACCGATGATCTCCAATAGAGAATCTTGAAGTTGGAGAGATTCCATGTCCGGGCGCTCAGTTCCCCCCGAAAAAATACTGCCCTCCCACACGCTGTGCTTCTACGACATGCAGTCATCAATCTCCACCAATCTTCGCAGCGCTTCCAGGACCCATGCAAGTAACATGGCATGTGACCGTAGCTGACAGAGTATGCTGTGCGACGTGTAGTGCACTTGCGATTGGACAGCCTGATGCGGAAGCACTTGTCCGAGCTGCATCTCTGCGATGTGTCGCCGTCTGATGGACCGCAACGAATGGACAGCCCAGTCGGGCAAAAGCGACACCCACAGGCGCAGACGCCCTGGTTGCCTGGTTGCCTTGTGGACCGCAACTGGCCAGCCTGTTGTAGTGTATCAGGTGACATTCTGCGCATCTCGGCTGCTGCAAATATTCACCTCAACTTCCAAAAGATTTGATCGAAGAGGAGCACACGAGCTAAGGTAAGTTTTTGGAAGGCTTCTCATTTTTTCCCTTTTCCCGTAACTGCGTACATCGATCTGCTCAGCATTCAGACCTCGATATCTAGTCTTGCGATGAGGCATTGATGCCTCTTCACTGCGCAGTGTCGTCTCACCAGAATGAACCCTCTTGGAGAATCTTTCTCTAACCAAGTTGAGCGCTACTCATAGCCCCGGCTATGTTTATAAACGTCTAAGAGGCTGTACAGGTACGAACAATCTCGCCTCCAACTGACATCCGCACAGGAGCATGGTCTTCAAGATGTTACTCGGCCTGATGTGTTTCATCCAGGTCTTCGTCAGATTCGGGTATCGGGAATCCCATCCTTGAATAGAACATGAGAGCAAGTTCGCTTTGCTTCCATTTCCCTTCATTGAAACTATCCTCCTCATCGCCCCCTTCCTCCGATTTCAGGAGAGGCCCAACCTTTGCCATGGTTGTTGATGTGAACAGTGCACCAAGCTGGTACATCATCGAGGACCCCACGACCGGATCTCCAGCATATGCTTGCAAGATGTGCATCGCCGTAAAAGCTGGCATTTGAATGTCGTCAACCTTCGCCGTGCTGGCTACCCGGCCAAGAATTTTCTCTATGAAAGGTAGAGAATAGTGCCTGACGTGCTTCATGAGGTGGTAACACTGGCTGTGAACCATGAGCAGTGGGAAGGCGATTTGATAGGTCTCCTCGTTCAAAACTTCGCCAAGACGGCTAATAAGTGTCGAGTGCGTGCTTAAAAGGATCAGGGGCCCCATCTGATTCCTTGCCCTTTTTTCTGTCTGCCTTCTTTCCGGTCGAATTCGATTTCCCTTTGTTAGGCTTTCCTTTGAGAACTGTGTCCGGATTATCACTGGCTGCTTCCCGCTTCCCGGTCTCGCCTGTCTCGCGCCTTGATTGGTCGGGGTCCTGGGAGTCCTCCTCGCCCATAGCTTTAGCTATCTCGGCCTCTTTTTTAATCTTCTCAGCTTCGCCTTCAGTGACAATCTTGAGGACATCCTCGGTGGTCCAAGTTTCCGCCCCAGTCAGGCCTTGGTTTACCATGTACCTGTCGACGAAGGCCGTCATGGTAGGCGGTCCCTGAGGGATCAAACGCAGTGGGGCAGCCCTCATGAGCTTATCCGGCCTCAACGGGTTGCCTCGCTTTTTGAGAGGATCCATGAACAGAGAAGCGGAAAAGCCCAACTGAAGCATGAAAGCTTTCGCGTAGCCATCTGGCCCAGTCGAAGGAAATTCCCCTCCCACGTATAAGTCTTTCGCTTCGATCCACCTCATGACTGCGTCCAGATCAGCCCAAGGAGTATCGAGAAAGCCCTCTGCAAATAACGCATTGTATAGGTGATACACCGAGACAATCGAACGGGTCGCATTAGCACCATTGACTGCTGATCTGTACAGAACCATTTGGTACAAGTAAACGCATAGCCCGCACATGATAGGATGCCTTTTGAAAAGGCTGTGCTCTTCCGGCGTGGTCATTAAGGTTATGCTCTTTCCTGACTTGCGGTTCATGAGCTCGCGCTTCTTTGGGAGTATGATATCTTCCATCAACTCTTGAGTTTCCTTGACCACAGCTCTTGTTTTGAAGTCGATCTTGTCCATCTTTTCGAACATGTCGGTTTTTTTGAGGACCGAGAAGTATTTCCCAAACATCTCGAACATCGTGTGGAATGTTCCGAACATATCAAGCATAGCGTCTTCGGCACTGCTGATATCTTCTGTCGCATGATACACGTCGAGCACGATCTGCGACGTGAACACAAGATAGAAGGGGATCTTCCCAGTCTGCAGTGTTTCCTTGAGGCCGCGCAGGAGGTTGTCCTCAACAGGCCAATCCATCTTGATATACTCGGCAATGATCAGAAGATCTTCGAAGATGTGTTTTAAAATGTCGTGATCGTGGGCATAACGCTTGTACTTTTTGCCGGACTCTAGTTGGTCGTTGCGTTGGATGATGGGTCCAATGGGCTTGTTTGTCATGACAGGTAGTAAACCGGCGAGGATGTTGTAGGCGTTTACGTAGCTCCAGGAGCCACTGACATATTTGAGCTCGGCCTCGCCAGGGTTCGGCGACAGGTCGAAAGCCTTCAGTTGTTCTTCATCTTTCAACCAAGTCGCTAACTCGCACGTGAGTACGTGGTGGTTTTTCAAAACCCCATAGAACCCGTTTGGCTGCATCTCCAACTCTGGCATTGCCTCATCAATGATGTGACGGGCCAAGTCAAGCGCTGTATTGGAAGCCACGCCCGCAGCAACCAGCTCGTACTCTTCCATAGCGTACTTCATCCATATTCCCTTGATCGACAGACGGATCTGGACCAGATCTTGGAGTACAAGCCCCAAGAAAAACACGGCATCCCTCTCAGACATAGTGGACTCTGCCTCATAGACAACCTGCGGCCGGGCGACGTCAGGAGCGTTGAGAAATGCTTCCGAGGGCTCATCGATAGACAATCCCTCGAACCTGTTCTTCAGGTTGTCGGACTTTTCGTTACTCGCTTGAGCCGCTTCCGGAGTCATTTGAGGGCGAAGAACTTCGCGGACTTCATCAAGAACACCAACAAAGTGGGCATGAGAGAGATCGCTGTGCAGATTGGTTTTGGATCCATGTGCACTCAGCTTGGCGGTAAACTCGGATCGAACAGCAATGACGCCGTTAAGAGCTGCCACAAAAGAGACAGGGACCTTCGCCTTGGAGGTGGAGATGAATTGCGCGAGCGGAAGAAACTCTTTCACGGCAACGATGTATTTCCTCGGGCCGGCATCCTGAGGCTCGGTTGTCTGGCTTCCTGTCGGGTTTGTTGCACGGTTGGGCTTCTTCTTCTTGCCTCTTCCCTTATTTCCCTTCGGCCGGCGCTCTGAGCTAGCACTTTTAGTGCTGGTGCTGTCCGTGGTGGTGGCATTTTCGGTGACCAAAGTGGTTTCGGAGAGGAGATCCGACGGGTATCCACAGGCTTTCGCAGTTGTCGCGAGCCAGGACGCTACATAATTCGTGTCCTCTTTGTACTGTCGGTAGACACTTTTCAGCGGCCCCGGTATCATGGTGAAGATTCGTCAGGTTGACTCTGTTGAGCCAGAAAGGACTTTCGTTACATCTGCGATGTTGAGAAGTGTATGTGCAGCAACGCGTTGGCCGACAACGCTGCTTGGCCGACGACGGGATACCTAAGGCACCGCGTCGTCAATAATGGATACGTAAGAAGGTTATTCCATATCCGTTCTAGACGCGTTTGTTTCGACCCCTGTAGGATCGATCTCTTGTGCACGATTCATATGTTTAAGCAAACTTTCGACTTACAAACGCTAGGCTCTTGCTGGTGCGACGACAGCAATGTGTCTTCCAGGCAAGCTTTTTCTCGATAATGGATCAGTCACAAAGCCAGTCGACATAAAAATCGTTCCTACGTAGTCTGGGCTTCTGTCGTCGAAAAGCGGTCTTCGCAGATCTAGCACTCGCGCACTGTATGATTCTTCTCCTGCCACAGGTATTTCGCACGGTGCTGTTCGTGGCTGTGGAAGGATGGATGATGAAGCTGCTGCTACACCAAATGAAGCGCAAAAAGCCTGCAAATAACAGCATAGGTTGTCTGCACGGTTTGTTATGGTTACTTGACGGTGGTGTGTGGTTTGCATCCCACTGCGAATTGAGATCGCATGTGGCATAAACCTTAAGAGTGTAGCCAGCCATTCATTCGATTGGGTTACACCTCCAGTCCAGTGCAGAGTTCACGAGAATGTGTTATGAGAGTGCGGAGTTGCTGCCGAACCCAGCCTATTCTTATTCGTATTCCCCTTGCTAGCGGAAAATCTAATTCGATGTTAGCCAGAAAGAATACCTGGGGAAGCGGATAGTCCTTCCGTTCCTCGTGGTCTGCCATGGGCGGATATAACTACCCCAATCTTTACCATGTGATTATTGTGAGAATCCAAAATACGGAGGGATCGCAAACTTATCAGCGATCATGTCTTCGACATCATCACGCTACCTGGGCGGTCTCTCCTTCTCCCAAATATGGCCCCTTCTCTACGAGCGGTCGTAGAAGTCCCAGATACGGCCAACCTTTCGTCATGGGCCATGCCGGCCTGCTTTGTGAGTAATGAAAACATTCAAAGTTGGCGATCGGTCTCTTCTGCTTTGTGTTAGTAGACGTTGTCGCTCCTCGCTGACCCGTCCCACTCCTGATAGGCACCTTGTTTGAGCGAATGGTGTGGTCGTGTTTCGTTGGACTCCACGATAATCAACGACACGAAGTGTATCTGCACTCACACTGTTGAAAATATTTTTGCGGCGATGGCCGATGAATGCCTCGAACAAAGGTCGAGCTGCGGCAGCCCAGACGTTTGGAGTACGTCGCCATATATCCCCTACTTCATCTCTTATTTTACGACTACGGAACCTGCTTTTCACGTTTGGCCGCATACAGGTTGATCTCTTACTGACCTGATCCGATAGCTGGCTTCCGAGTAGTACGTACTTGACTGCATACTCTCTCCCCGGTCTGGGATCGCACCGGCCCTAGTACTTCTGGATTTCTGGCCGGGCGAGGACCACGATGTTGACGTATTCATATCCAGTATTCCGACAAATGCGGCATCGGAAAAGTACCCGAAATGTTCAAAGAGCACCCGAGCTACGTTCCTCATATTGCTGCCGCCATTGCTGTCGAAACAGTCGCAATGGGCCTTCGAATCGCTTGCAAGGTCTATCAATATGTACCTTGGGGACCAGATGGCTTCGTCCTCACAGTAGCCTACGTCAGACCCAAGCCCAAGCACGATCGATGTTTGTAGCTGACGAAATTGCGTTCCAGATGCTCTCCATTGCCCTCCTACCACTTAGTGCAATAAGTATGTTTCCTGACTAGACAACATCACATAGCCGCTCATTTCCTTTGTAACCTGTCGTTCTTTTTGCGTCGGTCGTCCTTGCAGTAATCTATGGTGTTCACATGATGCTAACATCAATGTCAGAAGCACAAGTAGGATCGGTCGCAAACTACTGGACGCTGAATTTCGACAATATTGCCATCTTCACAAAAGTCAATATAGCCTACAACATCCTCTGCGCCGTATCACTTGGTCTAGTCAAGATCTCGGTCGTCGTCTTCTTCCTCCGATTATTCAACACTTGCAGCAAAAGATATCGATTGGTGTTGTGGGGAACCATCATCTTCATAGCCTGTCTAACTTCTTCTTTCGTTTTTGTACAACTTCTTATGTGTAATCGGCTGTCGTGTCTGTGGGAGAATTCTGGAGAACGCTGGCAGGGTTGTAGGTGTACGGATGTCTGGGAGGGCCAGGGAGGTTATCCGGCTGCTAACGCGGCGCTGGATGTCTGGTGTAAGTGCCCACCTTTGCTTCTTGCTTTGATCTTGGTCGTCTTCTCTGTTGATACACTACTGTCTGGCGCTGAGTTATGAGAGCAGGACTGATGTGTTTCGCAGTGATACTTTTGCCGATGAGACAAGTATTCAAGACACACTGGCAGTGGAGGCAGAAGTGGCGTGCGGTGGTCATGTTCTGCCTCGGACTTGTGTACGTGATATCTTATTTTTGGGTTGAAAGATCGCTTCTGGTATAAGTGCAAAACCAATGCTTACAAGCGCTACTAGAACTTTAATGACTGCGATAATGCGAGTCGTGAGTGTGCGCGCACGTTTCACTGTAGAGGGTATTCCACACAAGCCGGATATTTGAGTTTCTTGACCCAGAGACTGACTTCGATAGGCGCCGATCCTCTTGATCTACAGCTTTGGTATGCGTTGGAGTCAGCAACAGCCTTTACTGTGTAAGTAAAATCTCAAGGGTTTTTCTTTTTCATGTCGTCCGTGTCTGCGAATTCCGTACCTGAATACTTGTGGGCTTTAAAATATTGCATGGAACCTCAAGCTAGCGAATAAATGCAGCTTTTGCGGACTTCCTCTTCTCCAACCCATCATGATCTGGCTAACAGCGTTGACAGTGCTTGCGTGCCATACATTCGCCTGATGATGGTTGGCAAGATTGTTCCTTACCTACGTAGTAAAATCGTCGCCTGCTTCTCATCAGGCGAAGAACCGAGCACCTCCCAACGCACCATAATTAGACACACGATGAGTAGGGGTGACATGCAGAGGCCAGGTTCAGTACAAGAGAGCGATCACCAGATGGTGGACACCGGGCGGCTAGCTGCAAAAGAACATGTTCGCCCACACGACATGAACTTAGACGACGAGTCTATGCACCGAAACAGCGGCTCGAACCAAAGCATCGAAGCCTCAGACACCTGTCACCACCCTTCAGGTTGTCGAGATACGAAAGGTCTCGATAAGACTGAGAGGCTTGCCATTCTAGACGCGTCAGAGCCTGAAGCACTGCGGCGGTATGGCTTCGTGGGTAACGCGTCGGACACAAAGCCTAAGCTCGCAAGTTGGGCTGCTGACTTCAAGTACCTCGAAGCATACAGAAGATCCGTTTAATCAAATTCAAGTATCAACTTCCAGTGTCAACATTCTGTAGCCTGGCGCTTCTTGCCAACGACGATGTCGATAGCCATGGCACCAGCCTCCCTTGTGAAAAGCTCGCTGATGGCCAGCCCTGCGAGAGATCCTTCAACTGCTGATCACGTTTCTGGAGCTAATAAATATGGGTTACGTGAAGGCAGCGCACAACTCGCGGTTCACATGTCTCCGCGGGAAGGATTCCTCAGTGGATCAGAGAGCATAGGTAAGAGCTATGAGGGTGCGACAATTAGATCACCGGCTATCAAGGCGCTTAAAACTACAACTTGACTCCGCCAACAAACACGATCTTGGCAGCTGCCTGCGTATCTTGTCTTGGCTCACCAAGCCGGATCTGATCTGGTGCTTGGAAGGCCAAATTACGTCAAACAGGGCTTTTTAGATGCCTAGACTTGACGAGCCATCTGAAAAGCTCCACCTTTTCAATGGAACAGCAATGCCATTCGAGCAAAGTGATGCCGCCAAGCTGGAAAAAGTTCCGTTGGACATTGGCGGCCGAAAACATCCTCGAGCACCCGTTTTATGCCGACCCAAAGAAATAAAGATAGACTGGGCTGGCTGTTGCTGAAACTTCAAGATTTTTTTCTTTGTCAATTACTACCAGCTTAGAGAAGCGGGGATTCGCCAACTGTTGGTCACATACGGCGCGGAAAACAAGCACCAAGTGTTCTTTAATACGTGGCATTGACCGAGTTCAAATACATCAAAACCTCCGAAATCATTTTTCTCAGCGTACCGATCTCAACGAGGGTTGTCGATACTTTGATATACCACTGGTCTGCTTCTTTGTCTTGGAACTTGACGACCTCTATTCAACTCTCCAACCTATACCTGGATGTTCCTCGTATTGTCGTACCTACTGGGGTTCTGCCAGAGAGACATCATGAGTGTATTCATCAGACCGGCTCTGGCTTTGTTATGTGCTTTTACCTTGGTTACAGCGCAGACGTCAAACACCTCGTCCCCCTCGAGTTGTCCTGGGCCGATCATGAACATCAATAACGGCCGCGCCAACTTCAACTCCACCGGTAGCAGACCGATCAAGTTAACGCCAGATCAAGAAGACGAATGGTATCTGTCATACGCTTTGACCGATGTACGCGGCGAGAACATCAATGTCGGGCCTTGGGCTACTATGCAGCGCCTGAGTGTCTATGTCAGCGTTCCGCAATCTCTCATTGGCACTCAACAGGGCAACAATACCAAGTTCTGCATGTACATGATGCCGGGCCAGAACGAGACGGCGACTGACTCTGGGGACGATACTTCGCGGTCCTGCGATGGGGTTCTTAGCGACGAATGTCTTATGGCACTCCGGAATACGCCGCCGCCCACAGGAGATGACTGTCCCCAGGCGGATGCCAGGGATGAGTGTGGTTGGAACACTGTCGTTGGTCGAGGTTCGTGACGTTACCCTAGAAATAGTGTGTTGTTTGCTAATGATGCACTTCTAGCGGCACCGTCCAACTTCTCAGATCCCAGCTGTACTGTTGATAGTATCCCCCACGTTGATCTTCCGAAAGGGTATCGCAGTTACGGCGGCTTCGTTGGAACTGGACTACTTCCGCCCGACTCTGAAAGGGATTCTTTCGAGGTCTATGACCTGCGTGTACGCCAGCCGATCCCCATGTTGATTACCTCACGAGTAGGGAACTCGAGTGAAGGCCACGCTGAGGTGGTTTGCTTAGCTCCCGATAGGATCGTCGACGGCAGTCGGCAACCTGTGGCTGACTTCCCCTCGTTTGCAGTCACGTCATGCAGAACTGGGGAAAGACTTCTCTCGACTTTTCTGGTGGCGGCCTTCACGGCATTGGCGTCCCAGGGAGCATGGTTATGATCCGCGAATGAGAAACTCAATACAGGCTGCTTGAATATATATAGCGTTCTGCGTTGAAGTAAAACATCTAATATTCAACCGTACCCACTTGACATGGCGTGCGAGATCGTCGAGTCCGTTCTTCTAAGTCATATATGCCAATGTCTACTTTCCTCGAAGACTGCCGCCCAGGGCACCGTATCCTTTTGTGCCGAATTATCGGAATTGGCGGATGAGAGAGAGCCTGTTCTGCGTGGTTTTCGTGAGTGCTGGGCGACTAGAGGTGCTCTATTATCTGGGTCTGCTTCAATGCTTTTGGGAACATGAGACTTAATTGAGCAAGGTAGCGATACCTTAGGCCATGGTCCCATTTCAAAGTTGTCATAGAAACCAACTACCTCACTCAGTTCGTCGTTTAATTCACACAATGTTTTCACCAGACCTTTCAGCCTCGAGTCAGGTTTCCGAAATAAAAAAAAAGGCTAGCGTATATCATTTCAGGGGAAACCTGTGAGTCTTTTAGTCCCGGACTTCTTTTGAGAAAGGCTGAGCGCACGGCAAACGCCACAAGCGCCGCCCAGGAAGCCAGTTGGCGATAGCTCGAAAATGAAAGGCGTCCATTGTCGTCAACTTCATGAGCCTTCTTGTCGGGATCGGTGATGGAGAGAATCTCATTGCCATGTCCGGATGATGATGCCCCCAAGATAGAGCACGCCTGTTTTCTTCGCCGAAGAGTACATGCATCTATGAGATGCGGTGTTACCAGATCACACAGCAATAGCCTGCGGTCCATGGTCTGTGGTGTAACACACGTTCCCAGCCGGAGGCTCTTGGCAGTCCATCTCAGAAGGTCGTTGCAGTAGTCTCCTTTTCTGTCAATCCGAAGAGATCAATCCGGGGTCCCAGCTGGACGGGCCAAGAACCGAAGCCCCAGAGCTTTCTCTCTGGGGTTTCCGAGGGTGAAAAGGGCTTCATTGGGCTACGTACTGTCGGGTCGGGGCACCAGATGCCAAGAATGACGGACGCCTGGCCCTGACTTTGTTTTCCTACAAGCATGCAATGGCACTGACTTGGCAGGTACAGAAGCTATTGAGATGCAAGGGCATACGAGGCCCTGGAGGCCTGATGCTTACAGCCGTGGCCTGTTTAGGTTGACCGATGGATGCGTCAACCAGACCTGGCCTCTGCTTGGTCCTCAGCTCAAGCAAAGCACTCTACGCATTCTGGACAGCGAAGTCAAAGTCACATCAAGAACGCGTTGCCTGCCGTGAGCCAGACCTCTTCCGTCCGCCGCAAAGCAGCGCACGGCATCTATCACACCTCCGGCAACCGGGCAACGGAACGGTCTAGAAGTCAAGTGATTTCTACGAAATGCGGTTATTGTGACCGATGGGGGAAAGACGAGAATCCGGACCAGCTGGGCGGGCTCAAGTATGTGCGTTCGGGCTGGTCCCGCCAAGCATGACAAGGCGGCGATAGTCTAGAATATCTCTTGACGCCACTCGGAAGATTCTTAGCTTTGATTTTTCAGAGCATCTACAGCGTTGTTGGAAGTGTTATATAAACCGGCATGCTCTTGAAAGAGACGTCTTGTTTGTCAGATCGTCAGGCAAGTTTCCATCAAATAACCCCATCCTGCTTCTCTCGCTTCCACTCTTCAGACTCTTAGGTCTAGGAAGCTCAACAAGATGTTCTTCCGCACTTCTCACGTCGTGGCCGCCATGGCTCTTTTCGAAGGGTCGTTGGCAAAAGACTGGCTCAGCCCCGAGTACAAGTTCTTCTACCAATTTCCCCTGCCAATTCCTCCAGTCAAGCAGCCGAAATTGTAAGCATCATGCTCTGCAACTGAACGAGACAAGACTAACAACCCGGTGTAGTCAAGTTACAAACCCCGTGACGAACAAGCCGATTGACTACTACGAGATTGATGTCCTGCCGTTCAAGAAGCAGGTCTACCCCGATAGGGGGCCGGCTTCGCTAGTGGGCTACGATGGCATGTCCCCCGGTCCTACCTTCTTGGTTCCCAGGGGCCGGGAAACCGTCGTTAGGTTCACGAATAAGGCGGTGACCCCAAGTGCCGTCCATCTTCACGGCTCATATTCGGTCAGTCCCCTGAAGTGTGCTCTTCACTTCAACGACTTGTGCTAACACGACAACAGCGGGCACCCTGGGACGGATGGGCCGAGGACTTGATCAGGCCGGGTCAGTACAAGGATTACTACTATCCCAACAGCCAAAGCGGCCGCTTCCTCTGGTACCACGACCATGCCGTGGATATCGTAAGTATATACACAAAGCACAACCAACACCCTTCTGACACAGTCGCAGACCGCCGTCAACGCCTACTTCGGACAGGCCGGCGCCTACATCATCCAAGACCCCGCCGAAGACGCCCTCGGCCTCCCGAGGACCTACGGCGTCGACGACATCCCCCTCATGCTGTCCTCAAAGATATACAAACCGGACGGCTCCCTCCTCTCCCCCGCCGGCGAGACCGACAGCCTCTACGGCGACGTCATCCACGTCAACGGCCAGCCCTGGCCCTTCTTCGAGGTTGAGCCCCGGAAGTACCGCCTCCGCTTCCTCAACTCCGCCGTCTCCAGGTCCTTCATCCTCTACTTCCGCCGCCAGACCGGCGCCGCCGAGGACCTGCCCTTCCAGGTGATCGCCTCCGACGCCGGCCTGCTCACCAACCCCGTCAACTCGACCACCCTCACCATGTCCATGGCGGAGCGCTGGGAAATCATCTTCGATTTCTCCCGGTTCGCGGGCCAGAACGTCACCCTGCGCAACCAGGACGACGTAGGCAAGGACAAGGACTACGCCTTCACGAACCAGGTGATGCGCTTCGTCGTCGGGGCGAAAACCACCGCCGTCGACAACACGCTCGTGCCCGCCAAGCTGCGCGACGTGCCCTTCCCGTCCCGCGGCCCAGGCCTTGCCGCCGTCGACAGGAAGTTCGAGTTCCACCGCCAGAACGGCCTCTGGAAGATCAACGGCGTGGGCTTCAGTGATGTGCGCAACCGCATCCTGGCCAAGGTGCCCCTCGGCACCGTTGAGGTTTGGGAGTTCGAGAACTCGGGCGGCGGCTGGACGCACCCGATCCACGTGCACCTCGTCGACTTCCGCATCCTCAGCCGCACCAAGAAGGGCCGCGGCGTGCTCCCATACGAGGCCGCCGGCCTGAAGGACGTGGTGTGGCTCGACGCCGGCGAGACCGTCCGGGTGGAGGCGCACTACGCGCCGTGGGACGGGGTGTACATGTTCCATTGCCACAACCTCATCCACGAGGACCACGAGATGATGGCGGCTTTCAACGTGACGGCTCTTGCTGACTTTGGGTATCACGAAACTTCCTTCGCGGATCCCATGGAATCTCGGTGGAGGGCGGTCCCTGTCAATGTTGCTGCTTTTACTCGCGAGGTCATCACGAAGAAGGTCCAGTTCATGGCGTCGCTGCAGCCGTACAACAATGCTGAAGACGTCTTGCGCAGGCTAGATGCGTACTGGGCTGCTCGAGGCGGCGCGAAGATGAGGAGGGTTAAGCGGGCTGAGCAGTAGGCGACAGGACGGTATACTGACGCCAAGGGCGTGTATGATATGTAAGATACTTTGTACTGACCTTGTATATCTGGCAGTTGTCGGAATGTCCGACCAGCTGGGATGGTGTTCGATTCTTCTGTACAAAGTCACTAGATGCTGGCTTCTTAGAAACTTTCAATTTCAAGACATGGATATCTTCTCCAATACTTTTGGGCATTATTAGTCTGTATGATGAGATGAGAGACCAGGATGGGCAGTCTTGTCAATTGAGCTCTCAGACTTGAGGGAGAAGGATCATCACAAGCCAATTTGTAGTTTTTGTGGCAGGCCTCTCAGAGCTCTTTGTGATCTTCTCCTGGGTCGGTGTTTATCATGCTCCATGGGAACTCACAGGGGGATATCCCTCAGGCACACTAAGCAAAGAGAAAGCCTTTTGAAATGTGCTTACTGTATTACGAAATTAACAGTATGGTATCTATCCCGACCCGCCAAAACTTGGCCATCCCATGCACAACGCATCCCGCTCAACCGCGGCGGCGCGTGGTAGGCGCCTTGGTCTTGGGCGTCGCAGTCGAATAACCGGAAGAGATGGGGCTGGCCTCAATGGGGACCTTCTGCTTGCCCTTGGCCTTGGCGGACGGAGCGTTCCAGTAGTAGGCCATCTGCGACGCAAGAACGGCGTTGAGGAGGAAGCCGGCGATGAAGTTGTAGAGGATGAGCTTGTCGTCGACCTCCTGGATGGTGGTGAAGATGCGGGAGAGGGAACCGAGGAGGTAGTTGAAGACCTGCGGGAGAGCAAACACAATTAGCTTGGGTCCTCGGAAAAGAGAGGTTTCTTCTGCGAGAGAAGAAGCAGAGAAAAAAAAAACACTTACGGCAAAAGCGCTGAGCTGTCCAGTACCGCCCTCAGACCAAATCGCAAGGATCTGAGGCACCTTGCTAGCAACGCTCAATACGCCGGCGCCGGCCTGCAGGTATCCCAGCTTCTGCATGTCGACAAGACCACCGCTGAACAGCGTCGCGACGGCCACGGCCAGCGCCGTCACGAACACGGCGGCCAGGCCCGCGCGACCGGTGTAGTTGAGGACGAGGACGGTGATGATGACGTTCTGGCCCATGATGAGCGCCGTCTCGCCGTAGGTGCTGAAGGGGAACTGGTTGCGGTAGTTGTAGGCCAGCGAGATGATGTACGAGACGGTCTCGAGGAGGTAGGAGAGGACGGAGATGCCCTCGCCCGACTGCGACGATGTGAGCTTGCGGATCTGCGGGAGCTTGACGATGCTCGAGACGCCGACGATGCCCAGGCCAATGCCCTTGGAGAGGCCAAGCTTGATGCATTCCGTGTCCTCGACATTGATGTCCAGGAGGAGGGACTTGTAGCAGTGCTCGCCGATGATGGAGACGCCGAGGTCACGGATCGGGGCCGGGAGGTTGTGGGTGACGGGCTGGAGGGCGGAGCGGAGGGCGTCCATTATTGCAGTTGTTGGAGATTCTCTGCCGACGTGGCTGCAATGACGAAGGGATTCTCGAGAATCGCGGCGGTTCGATATACGCGCCAGGGATTTTGCGCCAGGAGTTTGTAGGTGGGTAGGTGAGTCGCGGAAAAGATTGTTGAGATGACGTCCACACGATACGACACGTCGACGGAAGGGTTGAGGTCACTGAGAAACCCTGAAAGAGACGTAAGAGCGCAGCCAATTGGATCAGTCGGAGAATTTTGTGGGGAGCTAACGTCAAGCTGTGAAGCAAGCCAGACGGCAAAAAAAAAATCTAGGTACACCACCAACTTTGCCCATCGCCAGTCCCACCCATGTCTTTTGCTTCGGCGATAACAAAGAAGCCTGCCTGCCAAGATACCAATATTTCCCGAGTGTCCACCACGCAAGCCTAAACTGAGAATACTTCTGAGAACGCCAAAACCAATGCGATGTGAAGGATCCAAACCGATGCCTGCTGCTGTCTACTTAGCTGACTTAGCATGCTTGTCATGGAAGGCCTTCAGCAATTTGGCGCAGTTGAGGTTCTTCTTAGGTTCCCAAGAGTTCATTTTGGAGGGGTAACCCTTCCACTTGACCATGTACAACTGTTCCTTCGTCTTGTTATTGATCTTGGTGTCCACGATCTGCTCCACTTCGTACTCAGTAGTCGAAGCTGGTTCGCGGCCCTTGTTAGAGGTCTTTCTGACCCGGCCGACACCTCTGCCGTGAGTGGTAGGGGGCTAGTAAATTTGTTAGTTGAATGTTTGCGTTATTACCGGATGGGGGCTCTGTACCTTTTTGTCATCGTCGCCCTTCTTGCCCAATGAACGCAGCGATCGTCCCGACTCTGCGGTTCCGCGTCCATTAGCTTCCAAGATCCTGAGACGGGCAGAGATGCGATGTAGCTTGCCCTTTGCGTTGTCCTTAGCAGACTGCTCGGACGAAGTGGGATCCTGCGTCTTGGGAGGACGGCCGCGTCTGCGGCCCTGAGCGATGGTCTTGTTGACATTCCCGTCCTCAGTCTTCCTAGGACGTCCGCGTCTAGGAGCCGCCTTGAGCTCCTGCTCTACCACCTCCCTGCTCGCCGGATCATCTGTCTCAGAGCCAGACTCTGGGGCTGGGGACTTTTGGGTCGTGCCCATCGGGGCAGGACGCTGAGCGCTGGTCGTAACGGAGGTCCTGGTAGACTTCCTAGCTCTCGCGGTGCCCCTGGTCTTCCGAGGCATGGCCGTGGGAGACTCCGGTGAGGTACGAAAAGTAACGCGCACCTTCTCTTTAGGCTGAGAATCGGCCGAAGAGGCAACTGAGTGATCTTTCGGGCTATTATCGGCGATCCTCGCTTTCTTCGGGGTCGGGAAGTTTCCCATTCTGGGGTGGGCCGACTTGCGCTTGCCTTTGGAGTCAGCGCGTCTCGAAGAATGCGTGTCTTCCATCAGGGGAATGCCGCCGGCGGGACTGGAGACAATGTCAGATTTGATGATGGGAATCTCTTCTTCATCTTCATCATCGTCCGTAGAGCTGATCGCGTCGTTCATGGCACTCTCAGTAGTGTCGCCGCCGTCGTCCTGTTTGATGGCGCTGTTGATTTCTTAGTACGAAGAATGGAATGGCACTGAACGATAGTGGCAGGCACTCACAACGAAGCTGCCTCGGCGGCAAGGTCTTCTTCGGTCATCTCGACCTCTCGGCCCTTAAATACCGTAGGTGCCGACATTGTCCAGCTGTGATGGTTGCGATGGCTTGCCCGATGTGGTGGCCGGGGCGAGAAGAAGTTGTAGAGGGTACCTTAAGCTAAGGTAGGCAGATGAGGTAGGCTGGGCCCAGTTTGCTCGATGTGCTGAGCGAAAGAGGTGTTGTGTGAGGCTTGTTTTATCTCGGTCAAGTTGTGAAAGGCGCCAGGACCGGGCTGGTTGGGGTGAAGAAAGAAAAGAGGCAAGGCTTGTAGCGGAGTGAAAGAACCTTTTATAGAGACCTGGGCAGTCGGATCGAGGCGGCCTCAAGCATTCATCATTTTAGGAAGGAATAAAAAGATGATGGCGCCTTCCTCATTAAGCAATGCGCATTGGCAGAAAAGCTTGCAGAGGACGAGCAGTCGTGGGTTTATAAAATGCCTAAAGATGGAAGGAACCGGTAGAGGTGGGAGGCACTTGCCTTCTCAGAGGATGACAAGCCTTGTTACTTGATCGACCAAGGAGTGCGTCAATGGAAGCCGCTGGATGAAAGAGAAATGGCAGAACTTCACTCTGGAGCAGATGATTTTGTGTGTGTGAAACGAGGTCGTGTATTTCTCTCCACCGCCTCCTCTTCCTGCCCAGCAATATCAATCCAGCTCCTCCACTCTGTTTTCTCCCAACTCGTCAAACCGCCCCGATCTCACAGCTTGTTCGACAGGATTCTGAATGTCCACGATTCCCGTCTTCTTCAATCTACTTGGTGTTAGCATACGACATCATCACCACGAAGCGGCCAGCTTACCTCTCGAAAAGCACGAATAGCCTCTCGGCCTCCCTCTCCTTCTCTTCCTCCGTCATCTCGGGGAGTTCGACGTCTTTCTCCATATCCACAAATTGACCCGTGATGGGATTGACAGGCCGCTGGGCATCGCCGGCGCCAGACCCTCCGGCGGCGTTTGCGGGCATGGGGATGTTGTTCTGGAACAGGAAGCCTGACGCGTGCCCGTAGCCAACGTTCTCGACGAACTTTGACGCATCCCTATCCGACATGTCGAAGAGGAGGTGCGAGATGGCATCTCGAAGCGAAGGAGTCATGGGGTTGGTGGAGTTGTGCAGCAACCGCGAGGGGAGAGAAGTGCCGCGGCCGAGGACCTCTTCTCTGTCTTCTTCCCTCGGGAGAAGAGACGCTCGAATATACGTCTTCACCTCATCTGGGGCGCCCTCATGCAACGGAAGCAAGACCCCAATGACAGGCGTGACCAACACCTCCAACTCGCTATCGGGGTACACCTGCAGAGAGGCATCCAACAGCTGGATCAGTCTCTCGGCTACCTTCTTGGGCTCATCCTTGGGGTACAGGAATGGGCGAACGCCCTCATCATCTAGCTTCAGGTTGAGAAGTGCATTGATGAGAGAGTTGAATGGGGGGTCCAGAGGTTTACTGCGGGAGAAGTCCTGCTTCCAAAGCAGCGCAATGATATGAGGTATACCACCCGCAAATGCCGGGGCTTCAGAGGGGCAAAACTTGGTTAGGTTGAATAATAATCGAAGGATTTCGTTCATTGCCATGTCTTCCATTGGGTCGACAGGAGCTTTACTCTGGCCGTCAGTCAACAGCCCGGCATGCTTCGACAGCCTCTGCGCAATTGTCTCCGCAATGCCGTGCTTCTGAATGAGGGCCACCATGTCAATATTGGTGTTGTAGGTCGTGAGAAAGAGGACCCTGGAAACGAGAAACTCGTCATCGAAGCTGTCATTCTTCAGCTTCTTGCATGCCTTTTCTTCATAGCCCAGGTTGACAAATATTTGGCGGGTGTTGGGGTTCAGGAGCATGGCGTTCGCCAGGACTCTCAGAGCACCCCTTGAGGTTGAGTCCGAAGAGCCGTCAAAGGCATGCTTCGTCAAGATTTTGATACCCTTGAAGATGTTAGCTCGGGCATGGGAAAGAAGCGAGAAAAGAGTTGACCTCTGACGTAAAGATAGGGTCAGCATTTCTGGGATCGCGCCCATAGATCTTGAGTTCTTCGAGGATGGCATCTCGTTCTACGCAAGTCAGCGACGTATTCAAGGGCAAGATGCCGGAACAGGTCTTACGCTGTTGTTCAAGATGGGCTTTCTCCAAGTCTTCGCCAAGTCGGTTGATAATACTGGTAACGGCATCGAGCTTTGCTGCGCAGCAGTTAAACATCAATCCGCCACGCCGGGATGGGCTGTGATGACATACCCTGGCCAGTCAAATTGGCCTGCGGGAGGATCGGTTGGGACATGGCGCGGCGTGCAGGAGCGGACTCGGGGCCGGCCTCGGTAGCGGATACGACGGCGGAACCGGCGGTAGGATGTCGTATTTGCGGTTGGCTTTGTTTGGCAAGCTTTCAGTTCTCTCCACTTAGCATTTTCTCCAAGGTATCATTGCCATACAGAACGAGCCAGGACTTGACGATGTACCCGGGACCTGGAATCTGCCTACCTTATGAGACAGAAGAGACAAGTTTTGAGAAGTCTGAGTCGTGGAGCAAACCGTTGTGCAACCGTACAATTCGGTGCGCAGGTGGAGGAGGTTGCCCGAGATATCGACTCCAGGTGGCTTGGTGTTCTAGAACGCAATGATTGGAGCTAGGTCCGATGCGGGATGAAGCTCAATTCATACACCAGCCGTCACAGGTATTGTCCGAACAAGCGTCTTGGAGATCTGATATGAGCTTTGGATTTTGAGGTTGGGACTTCGGATGCAGTCTGCAGACTAAAGCTCAGTTAGGACCAGAAAATCGTCTTCTGAGCGTGAAAGGGGGACGTGGAATGCACCACGGGACCACACGCTACAGCTGGCCCACTGAAGTGAAGTGATGGCCCGGAGGTTGAGGTCGGCTGTGTTACACAAACGAGGGGCGCCACTGTAGCTGGCTGCCGGGCAGTTGACGTGAGCGACAGCCCACATACCACCTGGGCTGCTCTGATGTCTGGGCGTTAGGGGTTCTGCTGTCGCATTATGTCAGCATCATTAACGCTGTTGCCACGGCATTTGACTGGCTCATGCGAATTCGCAGATGGAGATTCCACCCATTCCACAGCCCCACTCCGTCCGCCCAGCCCCTGGGCAACCAGGCAACTAAGCGACCGGGGTACACGTTCAGCACGGGCCACATCTTTAAGTGGTTTTCGCGCTCTACTCGCGTTTTTACGTGCATCGTGGTTCGTGCCTAAGCAGCAATACTCAAGCCCCCCAGCCAATTAATCCAGCCCATCCACTTTGAGATCGCGGAACGGAGCTGGTCCTGCAAAAAGTGCCTTCTATCCGCGCTCCATAATCTTTCCGTACACGGCTTCTCTCAGCTAGTCCATTTCTCCTCCTGCTCCCCCAATCTCCATACTCTCGTTGTCGTTGGATACCGCCCTCATCGCCGTCATTCTTTGCTGCACGGATTGCTTTACACGTTCTGGTATCTTTGCATTTGGTCCCTTTGATCCATCACTCCTTTCCTCTCTGCTGGCTGGAGTCCCACGTACATATGCGCCAGACGAGATAGAGAAGAGAAAGAGACACAGTTGGTGTCCGGTGTCCCATCACCTCCAACAAAAACCCTCCTCGCAATCATGGGATCCGTCGAAGTTGTATCGAGCCGACTCGAGTCGTTACCTCCGCGACCACCGACACCACCCCGCGAGACTGGACCTGCTGTTGATGCTGCCCCCAAGCATTTCCTTGTCCTGCCTCCTTCCTCCGATCCTCGATCGAGTCTGCATACACCGCCGAATGTGCACTCGCCCCTCTCCGGTGCCGATTCGACGAACCAGAGTGTACGAAGGGCAAGGAAACGCGTAGGCTTCTCTGCAAAGGCACAGTACAACGAGGCACCCATCTACGCCGGCCCCGACTCGATACACAGGCGGTCGCCGCTGTTGGCATCGTCGCCATCTTCAACCCTACCCAAGCCTGTGAAGGGTATCCTGAAGCAGACTTCTTCGCCGAGCCCTTTGAACAACAGCATCCAAGCAGACACCTTGGTGACGCTGGCGAACGTTTCAGACATGTTGGAATCGACAGTGAAGCAGCTGGCTGGCGCCGACAGGAATTCGAAGCGGGATGCATACTCGACCTTGGTCATGACGTTGAAGACGTCCAACAATCTCCCCGATCGCATTGCACTGCAGAGCAAGATGGGACTCTTCGTGCAGTTCATACAAAGGGACATCACATCCAAGAACCCCACCACGGGCGGCCTCGACGTCCCCCTCGTAGATAACGCCCTCTCACTCCTCGCTACTTTCTTTCACTTCCCCGCCATTGCCTCGACGATACCCAGCGATTTCGGCGTTTTCTTTATCGACCACTGCATCCGATCTTTCGAGGACCCTTTGACACCAAAGGACGTTGCTCGGCACCTTATGCACTCTGTTGCTACTCAGGACTTCTCTGCGAAGGTCATGACCTCTGACCGCGTCCGTCGTCTGGTCGCCGCACTGCGCAACATCGAAGATCACATAACCGGCAAGAGCATTGTCATGTCGAGAATCATGATCTACCGGAGGCTGGTCCAGCAGACCAAACAACTGATGGTAGTCCATTCCGACTGGCTCAACGATCTCCTGACCGACATGTTGAGCACCATCAAGGATTTGCGGTCTGCAGCAATCTCTCTCGGCCTCGAAGCTGCGTACACATTCGGAAGGGAGAAGTCGCTGTCGCGAAAGGTGATGGAGCTGTTCGATGCGTCCATTGAAGAGATGAAGTTCGCAGAGCATTATCACCGAAAGCTCTTTGCTATGGCCAAGGACAGGGAGGATAGACAGCTGACTGCGGCTGTTCCCAAGATCTGGAGCGTCATCATCCTCTTCCTGCGCTGCCCGCTCGACCGTTGGCAGTTCTTCAACCAGTGGCTGCAACTAATCCAAGTATGCTTCAACAACAACGAGCACCCGCAGACGAAACAAGAGGCCAACTTTGCATGGAACCGCTTCGTCTGGTCTATACACACCGATGGCCAGTCTTTTGTGAAGCTACTTCCCACGTTATACCAACCGCTCGGCAGCCAGATCAAGTCAAAGTACACCAGCAAGACCACGCGAGAGGTTGTGTTTGGCAGTCTATGCAACCTGCTTTACTACACATTCAGGCCCGGCACGAACCCGAATCTTATTGATACCTACTGGGATGCATGCGTGAAGCCTATCACCATACCGCCAAAAATACAGCCGCGAAACCCCGATAGTGTGGACGAACACATGCGACAGGCAACTCAGGTGCTCATCGGATTATTCGACTCTCAAACTCATCGCATTTGGAGGGAAGAACGAATCAGGGAGACAACCCTCGCCCGACCCGACGAGCTGCCTTCCATCGACCCGAAGTGGCTTCGGCGTAATGCCGCGAACGTTTTCCAGGTCATGGACCCCATCATGGACCGGCATTTTCTCGAATTAGCGGACAAGGAAAGTCAGGTGCATCGATTATGGCGGACTTTGGTTGCAGCTGTTGCCTCTGCGGCGTCCAAAGAGATCAAAGTATCTGCTGACACCACGGCCTTCATCTCGCAAATGTACGGCCTCCTGATGAAGCATTGGGAGATTGGCCTCAGCGAAATGAAGGAACCCGACTCAGAGACAGCAGCTCGGTTTCTGGGAAGCGCACGCGAGCTCATCACCGTCACGGTAGAAGCTCTAGGCCTCTTACCGTTCACCGAAAAGATGATTTCCCTCGGACGTCTCAATACCTTCACACCTGTCTCGACTCCTTCCCACAAGCCTGGAAAGAATTCTGGAGATGCTAGGACACCTCTCCATCATCTTTTCGGTCTGGTTTCGCGACTTCCCCCAGGTATTCCCGACAATGAGGACTTTCTAGAGTTCTTCCGCGCAGTCTTCACACCATTCTTCACGTCGAAAACACCAAAAGCTCGTTCAGATCTCGCTCAGGAATTGCTATCAGTGCCTCCTAGCTGGTCGCCTGCGATCGCTCACATTCCTTACGCACCATGGGTATTTGCGTCTGAGTGCTTGGCCGCCACTTTCAATATGTCACAGAGCAGCGTCCAAACGGTGAGCTCGACCGGCGAACCCATTCTTGGCCACGAGTACCGCGCGATAACACGACTTCTTGAGAAGGGATGGAAGGAAACAACGAATTTGCCTTGGCAGCACTGGTGCTCTCTCTTTACGCTGCTATCCAACAGATCCGGCGAGGAGGCTGGCGAGGCCGGGCGGGCTCTCGGGGCGATCGAGCCACTTGCGAAGGTTATCCGCGAAACCGTCCCCGCAGATCGTGCTGTGCCAGTTTCTTCAAAAACAGTCATGGCGGCAGCGGAGCTGCTCTCCGTTGCTAACCAACCTGTCGACCGACAAGCTGTCGAAGCTGCCCGACGACGATTGTGGGGCACAGCTGTCACCGGTTCGAGGTCGTCGTCCTTTGACCCTTTTGACAACCTATACAGGCTGACCGCTGATTTACTGGAGCGCCTCTATGAAGCCGGCGAACGCGGCAGCCTCGACGATTCAGTCAGTGGTTTCATCAGGGAAATCAGCGGATTCCTCTCCCGATGCAGACCAGAGCTGGTCACGAGAACAGTGGCTAACTTAGAAACCGGTCTTGCCATGTGGATTCGTGACTCGCAGGGCATCCTCAAGACCAGCCAGAGCCCTGCGCCGTCAGAAGCTGTAAGTGACTATCCTCATGTCGTGTATTCAATTTGTTGACTTTGTACAGGTCAAGACACTATGGGACACCATTTGCAGGATCATCTTCTCTGGCAACAAGCCCGAGGAAATTCAACTCGACGTCTTTGGGGATCTGCTCTGCGCCGCCTTTGAAAGCAAGCACCGTCACATTGTCAACTCGGTCTCAGAGGCATGGAATCGCATTTACGAAAACGCCGAAAGTGTCCAATACCCTGAGCATCTCAAGGGAGTTCTTCTTTCTGTGCAACCCATGGTGGACATTATTTTGCCGGGTCTGGAAACTACCAGCGTGGTCTCATCAGAGCAAAACCGCTCCTTTGTGGAATCCCAGGATGATATCGACATGCTCAGCGTTCAATCGACTCGCTCGTCTCGCAAGAAGCTTCGATCTACCCCCATCCAGTCATCTCCCCTCAGCTCGATTAAGCAATCGTCTGTAAAACGACAGGCCAATAACGTGTCTAAGAGGACGCGTGGTAAGACTCGCGCCCCGACCGCCCGATTAAGGCACGACGACTCCCAGATTCAATTCGCACCCATCGAGAAATCGCCACTGAACCCAAATGCGAATGCAGAGTCTCAGGTCCTTACTGAACGTCAGAAGGAGATTCGAGAAAGGCAGAAGGATACGTCGGTCATGTTCCCCGAGATGCGCTCCAGTCCTGCGCCCCAGCCCAAAGAAGCGGCGCCTACCAAGTCTGACGTCGTGGTTGAGAAGGGTCCCGAAACTCCCAAGGACGTTACGCCTTCGCGCAGTCAGAGATATGAAGACTACGTCACTTCGACCCCGACCCCTAGACGGGGCCAAGCACTTGCCATGGCCGAGAACGATCAGGACATGACGGACCCGCCATCGTCGCCTCCCGAGCCTCGCCCCTTCCCTCTGCTCACCCAAATCAAGTCACGGTCTAGTAGCCGCAGTGAACTTGAGGATTGGCATTTTAGCTCGTCGCCCGTTGCTGGCTCTCCTTCGGCCGAAGCTGCGACACCAACCGACGAACCTACCGAGCTCGACATTTCGAATCAAGACGTTCCCCAGGAAGAGACCAGATCGGCCAGCCCAGACCTGTCGGCTGCAGTTGATGATTCCTTCCAGATGATTCCTTCCAGCGCCGTTGAACCTGAGCTTCCGCCCTCTGTCTTCGAGACCGCAAAAGAGGCTCAAGAGCCTGGACAGGACGCCGGTCTCGCTGACGAGCTGGATAATACCCCGTCCACTCCTCGGAACACTCGCACGATTGATGAGCCCGGATCTGGAACTGAGGTCTTCGTTGATGCGCCGTCCAGTCCGGCGCCTAACGTCAAGACCCGTTCCGCCTCTCGGAACGCCGCCAACCGATCTTTCGAAATGAGCGACGGCGACGAAAACAGCATGCTTCGACTTGTGGTGGAGCTCGACCGTAGGCGGTGCGACCTCCCGATCAACGACTACCCAGCTGTCTCGCCTCCCAAAGCTAACAAAACCCCCAGAAGCGCCAAGAAGGAGAAGTCCGACGTGCTTGACTGCATCACCGTCGGCGGTGACGATGACGATGACGAGGAGGAAGAGGAAGAAGACGAGCCAGCAGAGCTTGCCCTGTCCCAGCCCGAGACCCGTTCGCGGAAGATAAAGTCTCGCTCGCCCGCAGAGCCTGCTACCCCTGCAAACAACTCTGCCGCTTCTTCTCCAGACAAGTCAGGAAAGAAGCGTAAGAGAGGCGCCTCCAAGTACGACACGCGTCGCAAGAAGCGACGCTCCGTCGATAACGCCGAGGAAGTCGCATCCTCGCAGCCCGAGGCGTCACGGAGGTCCTCTCGTCTCGAGGGACACTCTCAGGAGATCCAGTCTGCGCCGCCCGACACCCCCTCGCGCCGCTCCACTGGGTCGAGAAGCGACGACTACGAAGCCGAAGTCCAGTCCCAGGTGGTCTCCGAGCTGCAAGAGGCCGACATCCGCGACAGCCAGTCCCAAGACCAACCCGAGGACGAGCCGCTGGCGCCCGCCTTCCAAGACTCCATGGACGTCGACACTACCGTTCAGCCCGAACCTCAGCCCGCGGTCGAAGAAGCATCCGCCCGAGACGTCGACATGCTCGACACCCTCGGCAGCGTCCTCGCCGAACTCCGCTCCGCGAAGCTCACCCGCGACGAGGTTCACAGGATGGAGGACGTGCTCATGGACATCAAGCGCGAGCTCTACGCCGCCGAGGCGCGCGGAAGAGCTTAGACTTCTTCGTTTTTGCCCTTATCTTCTCGTTTTAATGATTATCTTTTTTTCTTTTTTTTCTTCCGAGTCCACGCGAGGACATGTCAATACTCCAGACACACACACACACACACAACAAAACACCAATCACGCATCATTCATCACGACGAGAGGCTTACCTGTCTTGGCATTACCGGCGCACTGGGTATCGTTTTTGGAGAGAGAGAGAGGGGAGGGGGTGTGGATGGGGAAACGAGTTCTTCTTTTCTCGATTGTACGAATTGGGCTCAGGAAATCATGGCATGAATTAGTTGCAGAGTGGAGAGAAGGAAGGTCATCATCATTTGTATCAAAAAGAAATTGTCGCGAGCCATGAGGCACCTGCGGTTTTCGAAAGCGGGGGCCGGCGGTTGTGCGATGAACCCACCCCTCCATCACCCAGGATAATGAACCAAGAAGAGAAAAAGAAAATAATCATGACTTTTTTAAAGAAGATCTTCCTGTCGAAAGAACACGAACTATGGGGGGTTGTGATGGCGTGGGCCGTTTCATTCGTGATTTTATTGCAAAAAAGGGTAGTAAATATCCCGGGCCTGCTTTCCCTTCACGCCTGCTTATTTCATGATAACTTTGGGGGGTGTTTGTTTCCTCGTCCACAGACACAGGTATGGCCGTCTAAATACCCCTCGTCTAACTAGCATATTTTACATAAATATCGAGTGTCCCGAGACGATTTTCAAGTTGTATATTCCCCCATCCGCATTGATCTTCCTCACCCTCTCACGTGCCGTCAAACTCAGTGCGCAGTAATGACCTGGGCACCCTCAAACGCATCGCCGGGCTCCAGCTTCTGGAAGCCCTTGACGGAGCCGGGCTCGATGCAGAGCATGTTCTTGTAGCCGTCCTTGGGAGCGAAGTCGGCGATGCCCTGCGCCTTCTCGACCCAGGGGTTCCAGACGACGACGTTTTCGAGGTTGTCGCGGACGACGGAGAAGACGGTCTCGCCGTCCTCGAGGACTGTGACGGGGGTCTTGGGGCCCGCTGTCGGAGTGTAGATGCGGTCCGTCTCGGACTCGATGGTGATGTCGCCGGACTGCGTCTTGTCGGCGCCCGAGTCGACCTTGTCGGTGTAGGGGGCGCCGTCGAGGCCTTGGACCTTGACTTTTGTGATGTCCTGTGGTTCGTGAGGTTAGCTTGGGAACGGTTTGTGATTGGGACGGGGGATGACGTACGCCCACGCGCAGGTAGGTGTGCATGAGGACCTGGCAATCAAAGGCCTCCTCGCCCTCGTTGGTGATGACGATCGACGTGGACAGGTTCTCGCGGTCGAGGGTGACGCTGTAGATGGCGCCGAACTTGTAACCCCACTTGTTCTTGGTCTCGTCGTCGAGGTTGGCCGTGGAGAGGCCGAAGTCGAGCTTGACGGAGGAGGTGTCGGAGCCCTCGCTGGTGGACTTGCCGAGGAACTCCCAGCGGGAGGAGCGGGCGAAGCCGTGCTGGGAGAGCTTGGCGGTGGGCGGGTGCGCGTCGGAGGGGGGGCCGAAGACGGGGAAGACGAGGGGGATGCCGCCGCGGACGGGCTTGGAGCCGTCGAAGACGGTGGACTCGGACAGCCAGAGGCGGTCGCGGCCGGAGGCGTCTTTCCAGGAGAGGATGGTGGCGCCGTGGAGGAGGATCTCGAGGGACTCGCCGGTGGGCAGGGTCGCGTTGACGCGGGAGTTTGAGTGGGTGATGTTGACGACGGCTTGCGGGGGCAGGCCGGGCGTGGTGGCCAGGGCGGTGGGTTTGTTTGGGCGGTCGACCATTTTTGCGAATTTTTGTGTGTTGATTAGGGTGGTAGTGTGTGAGGAGAGGTATGTGGTGAGGTTAGGTTGAGGTTGTGAGGTGTGGAATGATGAGATGGATAATGGTAGGTACTCTCGCACGCGCGCGGGGTATTTTCGGCGGAGCTTTGCTGGAAACAGAAGGACTGAGAGAGAGCGCTTTCTGCGGAGATTCGAGGAGTGGGCAGACGGGAGGGAGAGAGGCAGAAGGGATTGAGACGAAAGGTTGTAGACGGAGGGAAGAAGGCAGCGTTTGGATGGGACGTTAGAGAGGTGTGTGATGTAGCAGTCGAGTTCGGATATGGTGGATGGATGGGTATGTAAGCAACACCTCTCTCTCTCACCTCTCTCACTCTCGCAAAGAGCAAGCCAAGGCGAAGGGACGGGAAGGGTGAGGTCAATCGTTAAGGTGCTGTGAGGTGTGTCTGCTGGGCGAAAAATGGCGGGGTAAAGTGACATTGGGCCATGTGTTTGGAGGGGGAGGGGCCAACGGCCAGGAGCTTACCTTAACGTGGCCTGGCCCTTCTTTTCGGCAGGCCAGCTTAAGGCAACCCGTCCCTTGGTTCCGCTCATCGGGCAGGCACACCCCTAGCAGAGGTACCGCCGGGCCACGTAGCGCTCCACCTGTCACCATGCGGAAAGGTACTTCGATCCCGAGTCTCCCGAGCAGAGAGAAACGTCAAACAGGAGGCAGGAGGTGCGTCAGGAGCTTAGGGGGGTTTTAAGGTAGACCTTAGCTGCGACCGCGCGGGATCTTCGCATTCGAGCCAGGCACTGTTATGTCCTACCTAAGAACGAACCCACGCGGTCGGGAATCATTCGCAGGCCTCTTTGTCTAGGTCTTCTGAGGCGGTCAATGCCAGGCTGCCTCCCGTCCTATTCACGGTTCCTGAGCATCGGCCTGAACATCAGGTATCGAGGCCACCCACACCCGAAAGAGAATTTCCCACTCTATTCCCGCCTGTCACTCTGAAACAGCTTCATCCTCAACTACCTCCCGAACGACTCACCCCTGTTGGTCGTCAGAGGCTGGCGGCCTGGCAGCCTGGTATTCGACCTAGAGCTGCCTCGGAACTTAGGTGCACCACCTATTGTTCACGGGATAAGGTAGTCCACCTATCCAGGGGCTCCGTCCAGGCGAGGTTGTTTCCTTTCCTGGGTCTGCATCAGGGCTCAAGAATAACCGAGGCAGACGACTAAGAAGTATCCGTAGGCCTTGTGTTCATCCTATTATTGTGTCTTAGGGAGGACAATCGAAAGTGGACGGCCCCTCGGCGCGGTATCATGCGCAGCCGGTGCCGGCCCCGGCCAGAAACGACCCCACTTTGCCCGGCCCAAGATACCGCTTTCGTTCTCGCCGTCATAGAGCCGCATATCAACCGGGTAAATCGTCTTCATGTGCTGGGTTGCCCCTTGTGGTGCGCCAGGGGTAGCGGAATCGAAGATCGTATTGTAAATCAAACCGATGAGAGGCGTCAGCGGGTGTTGGACGAGTCCGAGGTTGTTGCCGTTTCGTGGTGGCGCAAGCTGTGTTAGGTATAGATTCTGCGTGATTCGATGAGGCCGACTCGAATCTCCAACCTCCGATCCTGGTGATAGGAGCTGGTCCTCGTGGAACTTGCCAACCCACTCGACTCGTGATCTGAGCAACAAGGGATGAACACACGAGAACATCACTTTTATACATCTACAAGAACCACAAACCATTTTTACGAAAAATAACACCTGACCGCCTATGACTTTTCGAGCCGGAACCCGATGCTCTCCCGGTCGTCCCTCACGACCCGGCCCCACTCCAGCAGCAACCGGAACAGATAGATCTCCATGTCCTCCCTCCGCAGCGCCTGATCCGCCCACCTCTTGCCCTGCGTCGCGATCCACTCCCCGTCCTCCCACCGCGACTCCGTCTCCACCTCCCGCCCGTTGACCTTGCCCCGGCCCTTGAGCCCGACGAAGTACGCCAGCGTGCTGTGCAGCGCGTGGTACCGCAGGTCCACCGGCACGAAGTGCAGCCACGGCACGATGCGCTCCGAGTACCACTCCCCAAAGACGGACGTCAGGAACGGCACGCTGCCGGAGGACCGGATCGTCCTCAGGAGGTCCCGCGGCGGCGCCGAGTCCTCGTCGAGGAGGAAGACGTAGCGGTGCTCGAGGGGGTCCAGGCCGTCGTCGGGCCTCAGGCCGAGCTCGGCGCGCGCGACGTCGCACGCCGGGCCGTCGCACTCGTAATTCGAGATGCCGATGTTGAACGGCAGCAGCGCGTTGGCCTCGGTGGCGCGGACGGGCTCGTAGGCGAAGTAGTTCTTCTGCGCGGGCGCGACGAGCATCATCGTGACGTCGTCCGCCGCCGTCGCGTTATTGACGAGGTGCACGAGCCGGTTCTTGTGGCTCCCGCGCAGCGCCTCGTCGCTGATGGGCTGGTCGCCGATGGTCCCGCGCCAGTAGAGCTCGTCCTTGCGCTGGCGGAATGGCTTGTTGAGGTCGGGGCCTTCCTCGACGAGGGGCACCAAGGGGATGAGGATGTCGTTGAAGCCGTCGGCCTTGGACCTGCCGAAGACGGGGATGAGTTCCGGCACCGGGTCGATCTTGGGAGGGGACATGTGGAAGCTGTGCAGGCGTGTGAGGTCTTGTTGATCGCAGAGGGCTTTCGACTCGGCCCAGCTCCAGATGAACTGGTTGTCTGAGTGGAATTTAACGCATGAGGAGCAGAAGTCGCGGACGTTCCAGTGTAGACCCGATCTCCCTGGACTGTCAGCCGGGCAGACCGAGGCCTCTAGCTCTCGGAAGGCTTTCGTGGAGGCGTATGCCATTGCGTTTGTCGGCGGCATGGGGGGCTCCACGCCCATAGCGAGCTCTGGTGGTTTGTTCTCGTCCATGACTGCCGGTTGTGCCTCCTGTTTCTGTCCCTCTGCCGCGTTCTGCCCTGGTGCGGCACCCTCGGCCGGTGGGGGCTGCGCAGCCGCTCCACCAACCGCCTCCTCGGAACGTGTTGACAAGAGCTTGAACTTCTTGGCGGAATTCCTCCCAGCCTTGGTATATCTAGTCAGATCAGACCACGGGGTAAGAACCCGAGGCTGGTCGGCCAAGTTGATCGGAATCTTCATGTCCGACAAGTGCTCCGCAAATCCGTCCATCATGTTGATCACTTCGTCGAGCATCTTCTTGTTCTCGTCGTCCCACATATAGTTATGAATAGCCTTCTTGTCCTGGACCGTAATCACCGCAATGCGCGGCATAGTCGGGATCTTCTCGTCGCACGCCTTCCGGATAGTCTCGGGCTTGACGCCCCAGAACGGGAGGATGTCGCTCTCCATCTGCTCGAAGTGATCGATGATGACAGATTTGCGGTCTTTGGCATACTGGTACCATTTGTCGAAATTGGGTGGCGGAGCGCGTCCGTAATGCCTTTCTTGGTACACCTGTACGGCGGTCCGGAGGTTGTCGCTGGTGGAGGCTTGACGGAGCCAACGGTCTCCCGTGACTCTGGCATTGTAGACCTCCCTTTCGAGTGGGTGGCCTTTGACCGTGTCCGGTTTGATGAGACCGTACGTTGACATTCCGACGAGGAATAGAGGGAGAAGAAGGACGATGACTACTCTCTTGATAAAGAACACGGACCGAATATTGGCGGTGTAGAGCAGGAAGCTGAAGCCCCAGGCGATGAAGTAGAGGGGTATGATGGCGCCGAACTTTGAAGTGATCTGCCACCTTCCGATGTGCATGACGTTTTGGTATGCCGCGGACATCCCCGACACGAAGGTGATTATGCCCGCCGGCATGGACGGGCTCGTCTCGCAAACAAGGATAGTCAGCGACGCTATTAGCACGGTAAAGGTGACGCTGTCGATGAAGATGTCGAAGAAGTAGAGCGAGTCGAGGCCCTTGATGGACACCGGGTATCCCTCGGCCGAAGAGATGAAAGGGGATGCGAGAATCTGGAAGACCTTGATGAAAACACCCGTCAGGGCTTGGATCACGCCCAGCGTCCTCAGCCGCAGCTTCGTCGTCTTGGTCCACGAGAGCACCCGGTGGAGGATGATGGCGATGGCGGCGTCCAAGAAGAGACCCAGGAGCTGGAGAGCCAGAGTCAAGACGCGGCTGTCCAGGAGAGAGGAGCAGAAGAAGGTCGAAGGCGGCTCTGAGTCGACGGCGAGGAAGGTTCCGTAGCTGAGAACCAGGGCGCTCAGGAGCATCGGGACATGAGCACCGTTGAGCCATATCAGGATGTCATCCGTGAGGGTATCCCAGGGTTGTGCTTCTTTGGGAGGAGGCAGTGCAGGTCTTCGACAGTAGTAGATGTCGTAAAACACTAAGAGAGTGCACAGGAGAGACTGTCACACGGTCAGTATAGGCTCTCAGTGGCGTCACTCAAAAGACTTACCTGAATTCCGGGAGTGGAGCACTGCAACTGCGCCGTAACACGATGGAAAACCTCCAAGCGGAAGAATATCAGGAACACGAGCAACGGCACAAAGTACCGCCGCGGCCTCGCCGGGATAGACGGCTCGAACGTCCCCTTCGACGCCACCTTGCTCTCATCTACCGGCCGTCAGTCTCATACTCAGCCTGAAGAACACGACAGCTTACCGAATCTGCCATCGGCACCGGGGAGCCATTTCGCCAGATAGCTCGCGCCCCACGTCAATCCTCCCGATATCACAAAGATGAGAATGGAAGATAACCTCGGCCACTCTGCCCGCAGACGTCAGCTTGTCGAGTCTCAACTGCGAAGCGATGCTCAGAAACGAACCAACCAAGGAATGTCGTTCAAAATTATATGAAATCCACAGAAACGACACAACAGCACTATATAAAAAAAGAGGTTAGTTGATATGAACGAACCAAGGAGCAGGCTAGTAACGGGTTCTTCCTACCAAAGCGCCGTGAGATGCACATGGACATCGCGTGCCATGGCGAGGGGGGGAAAAAGGGGTCTCCTTAAGCCTCCGCCAAGACCATTAGCTGAAGAGACTTCTCGTAAACAACCAAAGCAAAACGAAATGTCATGGGTCAATTGAAATGGACAATATCCGAACGTTCCATCGGAATACCACCGCCGTTTTTTTTCTTTGTAAGACCAGTAAAGCCAAATTCAGAGATGGAACACGGAGCACTGTTCACGTCCCAGGCACCTGAACGGGATCCAGGGGGTGGCCCGGACGGGAGGGACGTCTTTCTTACATAAGCCAATCTAATTCAATGAGGCCCCCCCTTGCCTCCCATCCCAAAAACTGCGTAAGACGCGTGCTCCGCCACCCCTGAACCGCGTCGAGCTTCCAGGTTGCCTTCTGCCTGGAGCGACGTTTCGTTATCCACCCAAGAGCCAGGACAGGACCCCTACCCCTCCGCCTCCTCCGTCTCCGTACCGTACCGCACCGGCACCACCGGCCGCCGTTTCCGTTTCCATCGTGGGCTGACATCACACTCCCCATCTCACGACAAAGAAACCAAACAATACCTTCGATTCCCAAATCCCCTTTTCGAATCCCTCTACCATTTCTCCCCTCCCCCATCGTCTCTTCAACATCCCCATGGCGCCGCAACAAAAATGGCAGACCTCAACGACTCCCCACTCGTCAAGCGCCTCGCCGTCCCGGGCGTCTGCCTCCTGATCGCCTTCCTCGGATACTCCTCCCAGGTCCTCTTCCACCTCGCCGACGACTCCCTGCCCCCCGGCCGCCTGTCCCCGACCGAGTCCTACGTCTTCAACGCCTTGCTCCTCTGCCTGTGGTACACCTACTACAAGTCCTGCACCGTCGACCCCGGCCGCTACGCCTTTCCCGACGAGGTCATCGAGGTCCCCGAGCCCGACGACGACGAGTACGGCCTCCTGCGCCGCTGGTGCAAGAAGTGCTCCGCCCCGAAACCGCCGCGCGCACACCACTGCCGCTCGTGCGGCAGGTGCGTCGTGAAGATGGATCACCGTAAGGAAGACCCGCGCTTCAAATTTTAGAAAAGAATAGTGCCATAGAACTCGTAGACTGACTTCGCGGCTGCCCGAAAGATTGCCCCTGGACCTCGAACTGCGTCTCGATGCGGACCTTCCCGCACTTCGTCCGCTTCCTCCTCTACACGAACCTCTCCCTCTGGGCCCTCGCCCGCCTCCTCTTCCTCCGCTTCGCCGACCTCTGGGCCAACCGCGCCCTGCCCTCCTACCTGGGCCCTTCCCTCCCCGCCCTCGTCCACCTGACGCTGCTCTCCCTCGTCTGCTTCTTCACCTCCCTCGCCCTCTTCATCCTCTTCTTCTCCACCCTCCGCGGCTGGGTCCTGAACGAGACCATGATCGAGGGCTGGGAGCTCGACCGCCACACGGCCCTCTGCGAGCGCTCCTCCGGGCGCAACGGGCACAATAACGATGGCGACTTCTGGTCCGTCACGGGGCCCGACGGGAGGAAGCTGCGGCTGGAGAAGGTCGAGTTCCCCTACGACGTCGGCATCTTCGACAACCTCGCGCAGGCCATGGGCACGCGCAACGTCCTGATGTGGTTCTTCCCCTTCGCGGGCAACCCGGAGATCGGCGAGGGCGGGAGGGGCGTCGGCTGGGAGTGGCCCGAGAACGGGCTGAACCGGAAGGAGGGCATGTGGCCGCCGCCGGACCCGGACAAGATGCGCCGGGGGCTCGGCGGGTGGCCCGGCGCTGCTGCGAGGGGCGCGGAGGGCATCAGGGTGCCGCGGTACGCGAGCAAGGAGGAGGAGTTGGAGGCGTTCAAGTCGAGGCAGGATGCCGACAGGAGGCGGTGGCAGGGGGAGAGGTCGAGGCTGATGGCGGAGCTGGAGGAGGAGGATTACGACGTCATTTCCGATGAGTCTGACGGTGGCTATGAGCGAGGTGCCGACGGCGAACCGGGGTGGACGAACGCTGATGGTGAAAGGCTACAAGACTACGGGGTCGACGAGGACGAGGACATGACTGATGACGAAGACGTCCCTCTCGCCGAGCTGTTACGCCGGAGAAAGGTCCTGAGCAAGGACGGGGAGGCATAAACACCACATATAAAAAGAAGTAAAACATAGAAAGCGAAATCTTTTGTGGGATAGTTCCCAAGTTTCTATACTAATCCTCGCCTAAAACCAACACAAATGGGGGCATCCAAAGAGGGCTCGCGCATGCCATGAATCCCTTTGACTCCCAATTCTACCAAACAATAAAAAGAGGCACACAAGAGGCAGGACCAATCCTCCCTTCCGCCCGGGGTCGCCCTGATCCTGTATGCTGAAAGAACTCGAAACAAAATGTTTGTGTGATCATGAACCGCTTGCCACTCTAGACGCAATCCACATTCTTCTTTCCGCCAATCAGTCCAAAGAGTAGTCTTGTCGTGCGATCACGAAGCATCAATCCAGGGTCCTGATCTAGAAGAACCCGCCGTTGTCGTCCCTGACATCCCACACGAAGCTCGACTACCAGTCATCGTCATCATCCTTCTTCTGCATCGCGTTCTTCCTGGCGAGCAGCGCGTCCGCCAAGCTGTTGCCCAGGCTGGGCGTCGGGGTGTTGCTGCGGCTGTCGGAGCCGTTGGATCCGTTCAAGCTAAGACCGGAATCGCGGGCGGGAGCCACAGCAGGCTTACGTCCAGCGGCAGGACGCTTCACGGGAGGCTGAGGAGGGGTGGGCTTGCCGCGCGCGCCGTTGGGAGGGGGCGGAGGGGGGCGAGGAGCGACCACGGGGGGAGGCGCCTGCTCCTCGACGTAGGCAGCAGGAATCCAGGCCTGGCCTTGAGCGTTCTTGGCGAGCCACCAGCCTGTATCGATTAGCTTTCAAGTCCAGATTGAAGTGAATGGGGGCTTACCGTTATTCTCCTTCTGGACGATCTCCACCATATCGCCAGTGCGAATCGTGAGCTCGTTCTCTCTCTGGCCGGCAAAGTCGTAGAGCACCTTAGCCATGACCTTGTTCGGCGCGGGCGGTGCGGCGGGAGGAGGGGGAGGAGGCATTCTCGTTGCGGCAGCTGGCTTCGTGTGCGTGGGGATGGATGTAGTAGAAGCGGCGGCAGCTTGTTGTTGACGTCCGAAAGGTCCCGTCTTCGCTGAGCTGACGGCAGCGGGCGGTTGAGGAGTAATCGAAGGTCCGGTCTTTGCAGACGAGGCACCTGGGCGTGGCTGGGGCCGGCTGTTTGTGATACGAGATGGCCTGCCGTTGGGACCACCCGGCTTGATGAGCTTACCACGAGTGATGGGTTTCGGTGGAACTGGCTTGCCCTTTGGTGTCGGTTTGGAAACAGATGAGGGAGGCTCGCCAGGTTGGGTGTGTACAGCTCCACTCTTGTAGAAGTCGACAGGCTGCTGCGAGTCTTTGAGGACCTTCACAGTCTGCATCTTGCCGGGCTTCTTTGCATACTCAATCACTTCGCCAATCTTGAGATTAAAGCCACCAGGCATAACGCGCTGCATCTGCGTGAACAGTTCAGTCTTCAGCACACAGTTCAGCAAAGGATCAGCCTCCTGCGGTGATCCCACACCCAGGGAGAACCAATCATCTCGGGCGGTCGATGCTCCAATGAACTTGATCGCGCCCAAAGGCATCGATCTCTCAACGGATATCTGAGGCTGACCATTGACCAGCATTTGGGCAACAATGTAGAATTTGCTGTTGGTGACGACAAGGATTCTGGGGCTGGGCTTGCTGGATCTGCCAAACTTGGCCTCCAGAATCTCACCACGGCAAGAGAATATAGCATTCTCATTGCCTCCGATACCGATTGCGTTTCTGATTTGAGAACCAGGTCCGGCAGATGCGTTGATACCAAGGTAGTCTCCCAGGAATCTGCGAGATCCAAGCAGACTGTATCTGCGTCTCTCTTTGCGGTTCTGGAGGACTCTGTGGCCCTGGTCACGAAGCTGCAGGAACTCGGCTCCGGTTCTCTTCTTACGCCAGAACCGTTGGATGCGAGTAGCAGACTCCGCGCGGTAGGCCAGGTAAGCTCGCCACATGCGCTGGATACGAGTGGCCATGTTGTGCCAGTATCGGTCTCTCATGTGCTCGAGCGCAAACAGAGTCTCAGGCGACTTGATGAAGGCCTTGGTGGTACCCATTTGCCACTCCTCCTTGGGTATACTGGTGTCCTTGAGAATCTGCTTGGTTGCCTCCTGATATGATCCCGACCAAGTGTACTCGCCTGCATACGACGTAGCGGGCGAAAGCAGGAAGAAGCGATCCACAAACTTCTCGAATGTCTGTCTGTAGGCGAAGCCGGCTCGACGAATACGAACGTTTTCTTGGAGACCGAGGTACTTGATCTGATGCAGAACGTTGGGGACATTGTACTCAGAAGCCGACTTGTTCTCGTTGGGCTTGATCGTTCGGATGTACGATGGCTGGCACTTCATCAAAGTCTCGACGAGGGCGTTGGCGGAAGCTCTGATACGATCACCGGCGGTGGGCGGTTGTTTGCGGTTATCCTGATCGACCTGGTTCGGGAACAAAGTGTGGACGAAACGGTTGCCGCTGCCCTGGAAGAGGTTAAGGAGACCCTTCAAGAGCAAGTCCTTGTTCTTGTCCGTAATTCCATCAACTGTGTAAGACACATCACCAGCATAGTGCTTGATGATGAAGTTGCCTTGGCGTGGTGTCAAATGAGGGTTCGACATGCCACTGATGCTCTGCATGAAAGTGCGGTCAGAAGCGGCGGGGTCTGCGTGGGCCGTCTTGGTGGCATCCTTCATGGCGGATAAAACACCAGGAGGCCGAACCGACTCAATCAAGTCGCACACGATCTTGTTGTCGAAGTACTTAATAGGTGTCCACTGAATCTGTTCGCGTGCGTATTCGTCTTGTTCGGCCTTGAGCGTCAGCTGAATGAAGATCTGCTGCAGCTTCTCATTGACGTAGTTGATGCAAAGCTGCTCGAAGCTGTTCTTGTCGAAGATCTCGAAACCGTAGATATCGAGAATACCGATGTTGTTGTTCGTCGCCTGCTTCGCTTTCAGGGACTTGTTGACGCGCTCGACGATCCAGTCGAAGAGGTTGCTGTAGATGGCCTTGGAGAGAGCATCCCGGGTCGCAATAGCCTGAGCGACGTTCGTGGGGGACTCGATGACTTCTCCGTTTCGAGGGGTGAGGATACGGATGGTGATGGCCTTGATCAACTGGTCCGGGGTCACCTCCAAAAGGTAGGCCAGGAAGTCAACTACGGACTGGTCGCTAACGGCGGCGTATCCATCCTGACCCTCGTGGAACTGGATGTTGCCTGCCCACAAGATCGCAGACAGCATACGGAAGATCTCGTCCTGCTCGGCTTGGCTGAGGCCAATAACCTTCATAGCCTGCAGCGTGTCGTTGTACTCGGCCAAATCGTCGATACCGTCGACCTCGAGACACTTCGACCTGCTAGTGTAAACGTACGTCTCGGGTGTTTGGATGCCGAATTGCTGTCGGTAGGTTTGAGATGCGCCCTTGGTGAACTGGTAGAAGATGTGGAAGTTTCGCTCGTTGGTGATCTGGCCGACGACTCGGGACTTTTCGAGGAGGTAGTTGGTGATGTCGGCACCGACGGGCTCGCCCTGCGCATTAAAGTGAATCTGCAGGTACTTGCCGAAGCGCGATGAGTTGTTGTTCCTCAGCGTCTTTGCGTTTCCGAAGGATTCCAGCAAAGGATTGGTAGCCAGCACCATGTCCTTGATCTGTCCGATGTCGCCCGAGTCTCCTCCCGACACGTTGGCGATGTACTGCATAATACGCTTGGCCGCCTCGGTCTTGCCAGCACCCGACTCTCCGGAGATGATGACACACTGGTTATCGTTGTAGGCCTTCATGTTGTAGTACGCGGATTCGGCAATAGCGAACACGTGCGGGGGCATCTCGAGACGATTCTTGCCCTTGTAACTGTCGAGGACCTGGTCGGTGTAGATGCCCAGGTCCCGGAAGGGGTTGACGGACACCAGCACATGGCCAATGTAGGTATAGATCTCGGCGCCCTCGAATCGCTTCTTGAGATTGTCGTTAATGGCTTCGTTGGACACCTTACTGAGTAACGTAAGATCCGAAACGCCAATCTCTTTCTTCTTGGTGACCTCGTAGGTGGCCTTCTTGGGCTTGCCGCCGCCGCCCGCCGCTCCGGACGGGCCGGCAGGGCCTGTCCTCGCGGACTTGTCCTTGGGACGTCGTGAGATACCCTAGAGATGACACGCGCGCCGGTCAGTTCTGATTGTTGTGGTGGGGGATTCGGGGGGGTTCGCAGCCGGAGGTGGGAGGAAGGGTGCGCGCGGGGCATGAAGCAACGGAGGCGTCTCACCATGCTGGGCAGTTCTCAATGAGGGGATGCCGGTATCTCTGTTTGGTTGCGCGCAAGAAAATCTATCGTGTATTTGCGCTGGAGGATGAAAGAGCGAAAAAATTGCTTTTTTGCTGAGTGAGAGACTAGAAAGAAGGCGCACCAGAAAGTGACGTTGCGGTGCGGTGCGGACGGAGGGATTACGCAGGTGTAGTGTGGCTGGTTCTTGCCCGAGATCCCCAAATCCAGACGTTGCACCGTGGCCGACGGTCTGCCTCTGGTGGTGCCTGACGACACACCTAAGCCTCCACTGAGGTGTCCTGAGTGGAGGGAGACGTGGAGGGGCTCAGTCAGCCAATGACCGCCCGAGGTTCTCCCGGGGGATGCACAGCCTCAGCCCGGAGAATCGTTGGCGCCTGGTTCCGCGTAATGCTCACGATGCTTTAGCGCTCCTTTAGCGACGGTCCACTCTTCATCAATGCCCCTGTCCATCCCGCTTCTTCTGCGTCTGCGGGAGATTTTCTTGGAACTTCAGGCCAAAAAAAGATTTCTCCCCGTTGGCGGTCGCTGCCTTGAGCATCGGGCTCTGAGGTCATAGCTTCTTTCCCGCCTCTGGTGGTGTTGGGCTTTGCGACAAAAGGATAATCTCCATCACAACCCGTCTCTCAGTCTCATGTGTATCAAAGGTCAATTTAAGGTCTGCCCATGGTTCGTCCCAGAGACAGCGCTTGATATTATTGGAATGTTTCATGCGTCAAACTCGTCGAGTGCCAAAGTCGACCCCCTAGGCCGACCGCGGCCTGTCCCGCCGCCGCTGCGCGTCCCGACCTGTGACCTTGAGGGTGTTCACGGAATTATGCCAACGACCGATTGGTTCAAATCTTGGCAATATTGGCATAATTGATCGTGGCCGTCCAAGAAGGCGGTGACAGATTTCTCTAGGTGTTTTGAGTCCTTCGCTCCATTTAATTGCTATCTGTGAGCCCTGATCGCTGCTGCTGCTGTTGCTGCTTTGCTATTTCATTTTATATATCGCTTCGATTATTTTATCCTCATGCGACTGCTGTCGCATTGGTCTTTGCCCGGACCAAGGCATACATCGCTCATTTCAGCCCCGAAGCCCAAGACCCAGGCCCCTCACGAAGTGGACGTCATTAGCTTGGCGCTCGAGAGCCAACCTCATCCTCTCACTGTATGCCTTCTCTGCCTCGTCAACCCTCGCTTCCTCCTCCGATAGCTGCCTATCTTCCTCAAAATCATCTGCCTGGGACCCTGGCTTACTCGAGAAGCTGACGAGGCCTAATTTCTCGCCGGTCCAGAACAAGATATCGTCATCATTTACGTTGTCCACTCCGGTGCGCGTCTGCGTCGACAGAATCTTCCGGGCGAGATCATCTGAGCCTGGCATTGAAGCAAACAGAGATGGCCTTTCAGCGACCTCGCTGTGGCCGATCTTGTGGCGCCGTACCTCGGTGAAACCGTCGCGTTCGAACCACTTCAACAAACCCGAACCATCCGAGAATACGATTCGGGTGCCTTGGTTAGTCACCGACAGGATTTTAGACTGCGACGACGTCTGCCGGTTCTTCATTGTTGAGTTCTGCATCAGAGCCGCCGATGAATCGCCCTGAGGTGGACGCAAGCCGTAAAGTTCCAACGACCCCTTGGTGTTGTACTCGCCCGCCGCGATCAGTGTCCGACCTCCTTCCTTCTGCTTCGAGTCCATCACTTGCTCCACCGACAAATCCCCCTTCCGGCGTATTTCGCTGTCCATTGTTGAGAACGGGTACGGCAAAGACGCGAGACTCGACAACCGAGCGCCTGAATGGATGGACCCCATAATCGAAGGGAATTTGCGTCGGTCGTAATGGAGAATATTGGAGAAGCGCCCTGCTACGTAAATATCGTCGGCGAAAGAGTACTCGTCATTCGCATTGGGCAGATGCAAGATGCTCAGAGGTGTAGGCTGCGACAGAGGCGCGTACGGCGGCAACGGATCCGACTCGAAGTAGTCGCTCGTCCTGGTAACCCCGTTTGCGGGATCAACGGCCAGAACGTCTATTTTCTCGATGATGTCTCTCGGCGTCCTCACCCGCGCTCTGTAGTCGAAGAGGTGAATACCCAGTGACGTTCCTACGGTCAACGGCAAGCCGGGGGCGGCCCCAGAGAGGGCTGTAATGGACCATTCGAACGATTGCTCGGAGACGACGTCTAACCTGTTGAGATCCACCTCGCGAAGGTGTCCTTGGACAGCGACGAACGCCTTGCCGGAAAAGTTGTCCACGGTGATGCTCTCCGTCACGCCGGTGTCGATCTTACGCGATCTCCCCATGGTCTGAGGTCCGTCCAGATAGAGCACGCCATCACCGCTCTTCGCCACCATTGCCCCCTTGCGCCCGCGACTCCCCTTCACGTCCCAGAGACACATGGATCCATCGTCCAGCGGGGACACAGCCAGCAACTCGTTGCTTCCTTGATTCGGACTGTAAAGCGCCATGCCCCGGACGTCCAGCGTATCCTCTTCGTTTCCGTCCCGGATCCTCGGTTGCTGCAACCAACTCGTCACCACCGGCGCGTACCGTTGTATGTATTCGTTATACCAGAAAACCGGCTCGGTCGGGAACGAGGGATCCCAGTTCGCCATGTCTCTATACCTCTGCATCTTGCGCTGCTCCCCGGTCTCCTCATCGTAGAAGTGAGGGGGTGGTTCTGTACCACCGTTTTCCTGGCTCAGATGTACGGCGGCACTCAGGAGGGGTTCGTCAATAACGTCGTCGTCGAAGGTGCGGGAAAGACGGCGGCGTCGCTGAATGGACTCTAGGAACGGCGAGTGGTCAAAGGTCCTCGACCTCCAGTGGTTGTTGTCGAGCGAGATCTTCTGCAGCTTTCGACAGACGAGCTGCAGTCCGGGAAAGTCATAGGGCTCCAGGACTGAGGGGCAGCAAACGACGGGAGCTTGTCAGCTGCAAATCCGGGGTACAGGGCCAAGACGGCAACGGCGGGACTCACAGGACAGGACGCGCAGCAGTATCTCGTCCGGTAGCTCGTCGAGCTTTATCGGAGAGGCACGCGACGCCATTGTGGGTGGGCGTTTTTGGGGGAAGAGAGAGTACGGAGACTCTGCGATTATACTTCTGGCTGCGGTGGGTTTCGGGGTGGCAGAGGGGAGCCCGGACGGGAATCATGGAGAAGGGTCGAAGGGTCGAAGGATGATCCTATTGTTATCGTTATCGGGATTGTCAGTGCCCTAGCTATCTTGGGCCTAGTGCAGATCCGGGGGTGGACCGGGAAGAAACGCCTGGACTCTTTAAGGTGGGCTGAGCCTGTCAAAGCTCCAGTTGTTTGGTTGGGTGTTGTGTTTGGTCAGACCCGACTCGCTTGCCCGCTTCCACGGCACATGTCAGACTGCTGCCTCCTGTGTGTTGTTGTTTGGTGCTGCTGGTCGTACAGACGGGAGCTTCTTCGGAATGCTCGTCCATGGCGGCCGGAAATTTCTTGATTCAAATAGCGGGAGCGGTGAGTCTCCCCGTTGAGTCCTGAAACACCATAACAGCCACGTCCATCCAGATAACGACCTGGGCAAGGTACACAGCCTGGAACCGCAAACCACTCCTGCCCGGTTCTTGAGAGCCACTGCAACCACCGAAGGCTTGGCAGCCAGCCGATGCCGCATTCCCGCCGTACCCCCACAGCCTGCCTCGCACCACCTTGATATTTCTGCCCCGTTGGGCTGCAATTGATGCAAAAGCACTGGTACTATTACACGACCGATGCTCGTCTGGCATCACCGGACTGAGCATCTTTCTCATTAGGCGGCCGGTTTCATCCGTGAGGTTCTCAAATGGTAGGCCCTCCTGCACAAGCAGAAGGCAACTTTTTGATGGCTAAAGCCAGCCAATGTCACAGGCGAAATCGAAAACAATGGTTGACTTGATTGATGGTTTACAAGAGGACTATATTCTACAAAACTTGAAAAGAAGGACAGGTTTATATGCATTGAGAGGAAGTTCTCGACAGTTGGCAGACATCCTTCTCAATTGCGTTCTCTGGACACCTGAGCCATGCCTCTGCTGCTCAACAAGTGGCTTGGCTGTGGACAAACTCCTGGGCAGTGAAGGAAGGATACATGAATCCAGACACGCTGATAAGATCAGTAACATTTCCCGCCGGACCATGCGACGGAAGGAAGCTGTGATCATGTCAGTAATATTCGATTCAAAAGTTCCAGAAAGACAGGCGCCAACTCACTGTGCATTGCCGGGCACTTTGCTTCTCGCAAGAGACGCGAGGAGCTCTTGGACCGCGGCGTGATCGAAGGTTTCAATGAAGGCCAGATTCCCGTGGTCCGCGTCGAACACGGCCGTAGAGCTCGTCTCGGTAGGACACGCTGGGAGAATGAGGGCGTAGCCGTGATCCACGGCGTGCACAGTCGCCTCCATATCGACGAGCGCCAGCTGGACTTTGCTGTCCTTGAGTACTAGGGATCCGCCGCGTCTTTGATCCCGTCGTGTCAGCTCGCGTTTTTGTCGGCGAAGACGATGTGGAAACATACTGGTAGGTGACGATTTGGTCTTGAGGAACAGTCGTGTAATAGCTTGCGGCGTGTTCGGGGACGATGAGCTTGGCGCCTTGCGCGACGTAGTCTACTACGCCGAAAGCGTGATCGTGATGGTGGTGTGTAGGCTATCAGGAGTGAGTATGTCAGTTGTCTGATGATGATGGATATGAGGGAGCCGTGGCGACGAACCCAGACGTGGGTGATGTTCTTCCCAAGAGTGGCCTGGGCCCATTCAATCACGAGTCTACTCTGATGCGGCGGCGCATCCAACACGATGACCGACCCGTCCTCGAGCTCAACGATAGCTTGTCTCATACCCAAGTCACCTCCGGGACTGATGGTCCAGAGTCCGGGCAAGTCTTCGAAGGGCCGGGAGGCCGCGGCTGCAATCGTCTCCGAAGTTCCCGTGTACGCTCCCGGCCAAAGGAACCCGGCGGCCGTTTCACCGATCTCGGCAAAGCTGTACTGCGGATCGCGGACGGGTACGCCAGACTCGGGAACTGGGCTGTTGCCGGGAACCGCAAAGAAGTCCTCGGTAAGCCCGCCGTTGATATCGATCTGATCGGCGCGATAGTCTCCAGTGAGGTGCTTGCCATTGTAGATGGTCTTGAACCGCTGCGGTATCTGCACGCCGTTGACTTCGGTGTAGTCGTGGACCAAAAGATCATGAGTGGAAGCGCCGAAGAAAGGGTGGTCTTCATAGGACCGTATGATGTAGGGAAGGTTGGTCACGGGGTCGAAGAGCACCGTGAGATTGAGAGCATTATCATGAACTGGGTTGAAGGTTAGCGAGTGTTTGTTGTAAAGCTGTTGAGGCCAAGGCCGTGTGTAACATACCGCCCGCAAGTTCAACACCCGCACCGGTGACTCCATCTTGTCCGATGAAGTTGTTGTTTAATCGGATCTGTTCAGTTAATAACCGAATGATGAGAAGTCCTAATGCGAGACGGTACCTTGGCAAGAAGGAGAGGATCCCATTTGTACGCCTCGCTGATGAGGTAGGATGCAAGTAATCCTAGAGAAGACGGAGATCAGGTTTACGAGCAACCCAGTATCAGGTGTAGACTCTTACCGTCAAGGTAGCCCTGAGGCTCGCCGGCAGGATTGTACAAATTGTAGCTACCTCTGGTAACGGCTGCGAAGCCGTTAGCGCCGCCACCGACAACGATGGAGAAGTCCATGGGAGCGAGGTTCGCGCGTCCGAATGTCCAACCGGCTAGCAAAGATCAGCTTACACAACGATCATCAGGTACATCGAGAACCTCATACGTCCAAGCGAAGCAACCTTGTCGATGCGTTGCTGGATTTGTTCTTGGCCGTAAGAAAAGGACACATTTTGTCGACCAGCAGTCACCGCCGCATTGTCGACGCCAGATACCGATATGGCCAACATCAAAGTTCTCTCTCGGAGGATTCTAGTCTTCGTCAGAGAGCATACAACATGTGACATCAACGAAGCTGGACTTACGTTTCACCAACGTAGGTCAGACTCTGGATGGACGAGATGGCTTCGTTGCCACCGAGAGCTTCTATGCCGAGGTCGAGCAATGCTGAGGGATCTTGCGTGGTGCCATTCTGCCGGACCGGTAGACGATGGCCCAACGCCGATCCGACAACTGCCAGGAGATGTAAGCTTAAACGAGTGGACATGTTTGAGATGTCTTAAAGAACGGATGAACCATGGGAAGCTGTTTCGTAAAGGCGACAGCGTTTAGTTATAGAAGATTTACTCCTGCTGTACATGGTTCTCGGGCTATCCGGACTTGTCGGCATACGGTCTGCAACTCCTGAACATCCTCACGCGTCACTCAGGCTTGGCTGGATGAAGCGATTTCCAAGCCTGCGACGTACTAATCTGCGAGGAAAGGCGTAGCATCTCAATTACGATGCATGGTCTTGGATGACAGTGATGCTACGAGGGCCAAATTACCCAGATGCCCCTGTAATAGCTAAATAGAGTGCCCAGACGGGTCACTCCGGGGTATCGACGGAGAGACGCAGCCGCGCGGGAACGCTCGTCGAGAGAAAGCGCCGTAGGCAGCCCAAGCCCGGATTAACATTCAAGGACATGGCAATATTCAAAATCGTGCTCCGTCGGGACGGCTTAAGTCCAGTCTAGGTCCGAACGCATTCTCGGCTGGAGCCAGCGAAGTACCGGAGATAATGTGAAATTGTGCTAACCGACCCCATACAACCAGATTGCAACAATATAGCGCTTTACCTGCGATCCGTGTTCATTTTCTTATCTCGCAGTTGGGGAAGCTTGTGTTCAAGTCCGGCGTGAGAAGACTTGGTCGGGAAAACGCATGCGACATGAGGTTCTCGGCCTCAACAAAACGAGCACCTACCCGACTTCGCGCTTCGTGCGTCGAATCAATGGCATCAGACAAGTATATTATATCTGACCGTTGGGGGTCTTCCTAATGCTCTCCCAACTTGAACTCTTTCTCAACATGTGTTTGGAGATTTTCCGACAATATGGCAAAGCTATTTGCATTCGCAGTGTCCATCATGATACAACTGGGTGAAGCCCAAGTCCGGATGGTATCTGATCTAAAGCGAGCGCCGCTGTCCCTCCCCGTACCTCTCTTATCCCATAAACATATAAATTATCTTCTCTTCGCTAGTCCAGCCGGCCGGGAGATCCCAAGCTATTCACACTCACCAAGCTCTGGGGCCCATCTTTCGGTATCTCGCCATGCGAGGCAAATGTCGAAGCAGAGAAACGCGCTTCGCTCGATTACACTTGTGCACTCAATAGATGTTCTGCCTGGTACGACGTGCCTTCTTCTAGTGCAATACCCGAAGCACCAACCCAAGCCGTACGGACCTGAGTTCTCGGTGTTCTCTTACCTCTTGGGTTGAGGTGATTGTGGGCGCGGGCGATCATCTCTCTGCTGTCTTGCGATGATCGAGCCTGAATACAACACAAACAGCACTCTTTTTGTCCTTTTTCCAGCCACCAAAGTTGGAAATAACACAACATCTTCAGACAAAGACCGAAGGAATGATGAACAATGGGCCGTGTAACGCCAATGTTGAAGCTGCAAGCATTATTCAGCGGGTACGATGGACCCAAATCAGACTCCAGGAAAGTGCGACGAAGCGTCGGATCAAAACATGAAGCGGCAGGAACGGCAACGGCAAGAGGGCAGGAGATGGTATTTTACGCAGGGGAATTTTGCTGGGAGATATAAAATGGCAATATCAACAGTGATGATGAGAATCTTCAAGACGAAGGGTGGGCCTGTGACAAACTGGCTCGGAATGGCAATACCGTTTCCATGTACGGGACTTCCCATCTCAAATTGTCAATCACCAAGTATCGAGTGGACGTCGCCCCAGGGACCACCAGCGCGCCTATGCCTGCCCGCGTCGTCTTCGTTGTTCTCTAGCGACTGATCATCACAAACGAATACATCAAAGATCACGAGATAAAAGACGAGGCATTGTGTGGTTAAAAACGATCAATTGTGAGGGCGAACCGGCCCCTTTTCTTAATAAAAGGCCGCAGCCCAAGACGGAACCAAACCACCACCGAACCAAACCACCAGTCAAACCGGGTATGCCCTTAGGCAGGGACCCCTCCCCCCTCCCCCCGACTCCCAAACTCCAAAGTATTCATCGTAATCGTGATCGTCGGCGCACCTTCGTCACTCGGTGACGTCTCGCCGTTTCTCGTCGTCCTCGTCCTCGTATCTTCGCTGCCCATATTAGAATACTCTCAAAACAGAGCAGAGAGAGTGGTACTTACTTAATCCAACAGCGAAACACAAAAAGAAAGAAAGCTTAGGCCCGCGTGGCGGCCGTGGTGATCAGGCCCACGACCACCGCGATGCCCCAGAGGGCACAGCCCCCCAGGAGCATCATCCGCAGGTTGCGGCGTTGGTTGTATGAGAGGCCAGAGCACTCTCCGTGAGTGATGGCCGAGAGGACTCGGTCTCCGTGCCAGGTGAGGATGGCCCAGCCCACCATGGGCAGAAGGAGTGTTGCTGCCATGACCGCGACGTAGTAGGCCCTCTGGCGACGCTGCGCCATTAGAGAGAGCGCAGCGTCACCAGCCGTCGCGGCCATGTCGGCCAACTCCGAGTCGGTGCCCCGACCACCAGCGTTGCGGACAGCCTGGAAGGCTTCGTACCGCGGTGCCACCTCGGTTGAGACGAGGTGAGGTGACACCGGGCGGCTGTCCCGCTGGCTGGTGGCCAGGGAGCTGGCGGCGGAGGCCCTGGGGGTGTTGACGCCCCAGTTCCGGCTGGCCGCGGTCGAGGCCCGAGGGCGCGCCGCCAGCTCGGTTGCCGGTCTTTGGAAAGGGTTTTCTGGATGAGAGTCACCAGGAAGTTCTTCCCAAACACCTTTTCGAGTACACGAACATGAAATGACTAGTTGCGAGGAGGAAATTGGAACGGTGAAATTTTGGAGTAGTGAGGTTTTGGATTTGGAGGAGAAAAAGAAATTTGTGTGGGAGGGTTTGGGTTTTTATAATGAGAGGAATGGAGGAAGGAAGGGCATGAGAGAAGAGCGGGTACTTACCAGGTGTCCAGACACTGCGGCAGTCAAAGTTTGGGTTGTTAATCCTGCTGAAAAGCGAACGCGCTGAGTCCTTTCGCAAGGATGGGCGGGTGAGAAAGTGGCTGCTGTCTTGAATGGAAGAAGAACGGAAGCCAGTTGAAGTCATACGGCCGGACAAAGTCTGATCCTCAATGCCGCTCGCGCGTCGCACAGCCTGGATCCTTGCTGCGTCTTCTCGGGCGACCAAGGGGAAGGGAAATCTGGTAAGCCTTCCATTGCCATCCAGAATCTGTGCAGCGCCGGAGGGAGACATAGGTCCAAGCTCGATCTCTTCAAATTGGTTCTGTCTCTGATTGCGATAGAAGACCGGAGAAGGGGGCCCTATGGGAGTTGGGAGATCGGCCATCGGAGGGAAGGGGACAGTTGGCGAGGGAACAGTCGGCGAGGCCACAGGTGTAGACTTAGCCATTTCCCACCAAGCAGTGGTAGTGGAAGGAGGGCGGCGACCTTGGTACTGGGCTTGCTGTCGAATAAGAAGTGCATCGGAGACATTGGCAATGCTGCTTCCTGTCATGACCCGGCCCATGGCTCCAGTAGGGAACTCCTCGCGGTCATCAGTGACGGTACGCCAGTCTTCATCCCCATCCAATCGAGTTCTCTCATCTGCTGTCGATGCCATCGTGGCCATGTGGGTATTGTCGATGGTGTCATATGGCTGAGTCTCTCGCATGTTGGTCTCATCATTTCCAGTGTATGGGTTGGGAACAGGGACCTTGACGCCAGAGGTGGTGACCTTCCAAGATGGTTGGATTGCTGGAGCATGGTAGAATCCCTCTTGCTGGGGCTTGCCATTCTTGTAAGGTGAACCGTGAAGACCACTGTTGCTGGTGTGCGAGGGGCGAGTACGGCCAACAATGAGACCACTGGAAGGCTGACTGATTCCGGTAGCGCAGTGCAGAGCACGAGAGACATCTTTCTCAGCGAGTGGGCGCAAGAAAAACTTCTTGGAGTCTGGCTGGACCTGTTCAAAGTTCACCTCTGATTCCTGGGTGGAAGAAGCTGCGGCTGAGAAAGCGTGAAAGGGGTTCAGTCGGCTAGAGGAGGCCTTTCCTTTGTCTTGATCAATGAATTGATCCTCTGAGACTTCAGAAATGTCGCCATCATAGCTCGACTCAGTCTTTGTCTCATCCTTGGTGGATGACATAGGCATGCTGGGGTCGTCAGGCGTAGGGTTGGCGCCATTTTCAAAGCTGATAGGGTATTGAGTGCTGTTCTGGCCAGACACGTGGGTGGTGTTGAAGTAGTCAGTCGCTTGCTGCTTCTTGGTGACATCGTCGAAGTGAGACTGAGTTGCGTGCTGAGAGGGATCTTGGGAGCTTGCTGCAACCGGAGGGAGAAGGGTGGGAAGTGACGCCAGAATGGGGGAAGACTCGGGATCAAGCTTGACATGGTTGGGGACGAAGTCATCATCAGAGACACCCGGGCTGTAGGCTGCACCATCTTCAGGATAGAAAGAAGAAGCATCGGGATAGTTGTCCATGGCATGCTGACTGGCGAAAGGATCATATTCGGGATCGACCTCATAGCTCTTGCTCTTCGAGTCTTGTAAGGAAGACACTGAGGTGTCGAGGAAAGCATGCTCGTCCTCAGAACCACAGATGGAGACAGAAGCCTGACGGCCATAGTTGGTAGTCTTGCTCTGCGACTCGACCGCAGATTGCGACGAACGGCTCGTAATCTTGGTGTCGTGGGCAGCCTGATTGATGACTGATGAATGCTCATGGTCCTGAGACTTCGCCTTATCCTCAAGTTCTCTGGAGCTGTTGGAGAGGTTGGGGTCGTTGAGGATCTTCTCGACTTGCTCAGGGGTCAATGGCTCCTCATTTCCTAGATCCGCCTCAAAAGGCAGCTTTGGAGTAGGAGGCGCGATGTTCCGATGAGCCTCATTGAAGGAAGTGTAGATCGAACGATTGGGGGTGAGCGATCGCTTGGAAGGACGCTGGGACAAGTTAGTACTTGGAGCTCCATGATAAATCAAGTTGAAAGACAATACCTCTTTGGCGCTCTGCTTGTCCGTCATCTTGAAAGCAGCAGACCTTGCAGTCGGGATAGAGTAGAATGGAATTTGGGCGTTCCGTCTGGTGTGAAGTTGGTGCGGCAGATGTAACCAGACAAACAGTGTCTTGCACGTCGGATGAGGAGCTTCAAAGATGAAATATGCTCTTGGACGAAGTGCTCTTGGATAAAAAGTCTCGGGGCAAAGAAGAGATGAAAAAAAGAGCTGATGAAAGTGTGCTCAAAAGAATGCGCAGTAAATGCCGAGCCAAGTGCTTTTTGGGGTCCAAAAGGATGCTCAAGAAGGTGATTTTTTGGGACCAAAGTGCGCGCAAGAGAAGCAATGCTAAGAATGCGTTTTCGAGAATGAGATGTTGTGAATAGGAAGCCTGAAAAGAATCCCAAAGGCGATTTCTCACAGCCTCGCGCTGATTGTGTGATGGTGAAGGGGGGAGAAGATAATTGCAAGCGTGTGTGGAGGGGAGAAAGTGTGAAGAAGATGAGGGCAAGAAAAAAAAAGGTTGAGTGGGAGAGTTGTGGGAGGAAAGAACTCAGCGGCAGAGAAGGAGGGGTGGTCGTCCGTCAGTTGTTGTTCTTGCCTTCAAAGGAGGAAGGAGCCTCAACATCAGGGCAAGGCTAGAGATATGCCCTGAGGTGGTGATGCTGGGCGCTGGACCTCAGCCTGGCTTCAGTGCCCGGCTTTACCGAGCTTACAGTTTGGGTCTGGTACTCCTAAAGGGGAAAGGCGTGGCATTGTTGTTGAAAGGCATCTTGATATTTTACAACGTCTGCCCGAGGACTTACACCAGAACTGGGCGAAGACCTGGGTGTTGTCGTCGTCCAGGACCAATCAGCTCTCGGCCTTTTGTGACTCCATGTCCCATGCCGCGGGCCCTTAGCTAAGATTTGAAAAGGCAGAGACTCCATGTGTTGATGTAAATGAAGCATACGAAGTCAGAGTGCGGTGTGCTAAATCCAGACTTGGTGTGGGCCGTCGTCAGTGCGGACGACCTGAGGTGGAGGGGACCGAGGTGGGACCCAGAAGCATATTGCAACGACATCGTGCCAGAGATATCGCGGAATCTATCTGATTTCGTTGAATCACACAGGAAGACGTCTGACGATATGCCAAGGTCTGCACGTGGGAAAACACCTCCACAGCGTCCGCGACAAGGACTTCATGGCTTGATCTGACCAAAGTTGTGTACAAATAAACCGAAGACGGAATCATGGCCAGCCTCGAGCGGTGTTAATCTGTGTATTTGTGTATGACGAGTGTTGGAGGTTTCTGAATAGTTACATAATCCGTGGGCCCTTCTTCACATTAGGTATTCAAGATCGAAGGTTGGGAACAATGTCTTTGAGCTCGTACCAACACAAGTCTCGCCATCTGTCTGTAAAATTACGTATTGAACCAAAGAAACACTCTCATATAAATAATAAAAAATTAAATCTCGAGAAATAAATTTTCTGAAAAATTGATGCTCCGTTGCGATAGCAACTTTCTCAGGAAAGAACGACATGACGTTGGAAAGGGAAGGAACGACGGACCAACCACCGGTTGACTAAGCGGGAGTCTAGGCCCAAAGAAAGTTAGCGCAGATCCCGTGGAGATAGGCGATAAGAAATTTGCGATAACAGCCCCGGCTTGATGGGGCCCTGTCCTCCTCCACATTTTGACATGGCAGACCCTGGACCAACTTCCGGCTCGTTTCTCTCCATCCGTGTGTCGGCACCTTCGAACCGGACACTCTTAGCACCGCCTTGATCTTGGCGACGACGAGACCATCTCAGCATTTACGACGATTAAAGCGCCATTGACAATTCAGGGTCCATGATGGATAAGGGTCCCGTAAGTGCCTCCCGGCGGTAGCGTCTGTCCCGAGCCTTTCCTCCATCTCCATAGGTCTCCAGATGGATGATTTCTGATCTTGGCCGTGGCAAGTGAAGCGATAGTTGTGCCACTATTTGCATCCCCCGAAACTAAGATCTTCATTTGAGGCTGGTTAATCGTCTTTGGCTTAGCCAAGTATTCGCAGAACTCAGCCAGCTTTCGATAGCGAAGCTGCTAGCCTGTTGCCGATCTGCGACACACGAAACAAGGCTCATAATCGTAGATGATCTCGGTACGGCATCATCGCAGAGCAACCTCCAAGTTCCCCCACATCTACCGAGAGGGGAAGTCGGGACAGAGACCTCGATGGAGTGTCATCGAAGAGTTGACGAAGCTCGCGCATTACGGAGTCAAGCAGATAAAGTTCGACCTGCCCGCAGTCCGTGCTCTTAGACCTCATCCGAGCATGACGGACCGAAGATTGACAGACGCAAGCACTCTACGTGTTGCGGGCCTCACAAGACATCTCTCCGGACAGCTGGGAATACCTCCATCAACTCAATGGGGTCTCAACCTCTGGACACCAGCTACAAGTTGGGGACGAACAGGCAACATCCTGAACAGCACCCCGCCGAGACAGCAAAGATCGGCGCCGTCTGGGAATCCTGGGACCCAGTCTTGACCAAGACAGGGCGAAAAGCATTGTTTCGTCGGCGAGTGTCACCACTGCAGCAGTAAATGCCGCTGTCAATCAACTGGATCCTCTGGACGCATCAACACCATCATGCGGACATTTTGAATGCATTGCAAACACAGCATGGGAAGGCATCGTATGGCGCAGTGCAGCAGCCATGGGCGGACTTGTGTATCGTATCGTTGGCCCTGGACTCGACGGGGTGCAGGAGTCAGCTTCCTGGTCGACGTCGTCACGTCGTCCTCGGTCTTGTTTTGCATCGGAGCACGTTCCGTGGGTCTCGTCTCCGAGTCCGCCAGCGAAAGTCAGCAAAGGATTTGACTGAGCTGGGATGAGACGGAAGTTGGCTTTTTCTGGTGGTTGGCAGTCTAATCTCCAATCTCCAGAGTGATGGAAAGCCTCGAAAAAAGGAGGCGACCAGAGACGACGATGTGCGCGGGTGAGGCAACCAATGAGAATACGGATACTGGGTCGCGCAGCCAATGGCGGGCAGCACGAGTCCAGCCCCCCGTTGCCGAATCCAACCCTCGCCTCCCGCCCACCTCTTCCCAGTGTTTCTTCCCCACCGCCCTCGCCATTGGATGTCCATGTCTCGATTCCTCCGCCCGCGAAACTCGAGAAGTCCATCCGGCAGACCATCGAATTGGGGCGGACTCGTGATCCCGATCCTTGGATGGCCGCGATGGACGATGGTGGAAGCACAAGAAGGGGGCTGTCGAGCTGACGGTCTTCAAGTGTGTGAGACTGCATTGAACACCACGTCTCCTGCGTTATGAGCATCTCGCAGACAATTGAGGCGTGCAATTGCAGCACGCCAGAGGCCCTGCAAGGTTAGCAGCAACAGGAGCGTAGGTTCGTCGAGTTCCATCTCCCAACATCAAGCGGCACTGGCGACGCCACGTTCCTTGCACCGGTCGGCGGATGAGAGGGATGGCAAGCCGCAGCGATGGACCTCGCACTAAATCTGCGATGCGCAACGCCGCACACGCACGCATATCCGCCTTAGCTCCTGCACACCGCTCGTACGACGGCTCAGTGTCGTCCACCCAAACCACAAACCACCCCCAAACGTCGTCCCGCTGGTTGGGATTCTGCATTGGAGCGCCAGCCAAGGGGGCCTAGACGGGCCATGCAACGCTGTACGGCCCCGAGCTGGGTCGTCCCATGCAGCTGTTGTTCTCCAGAGAACAGCAGAGTCCATTTCCTAGAGGACCATTCGCCTCACTCGATTACTCGAAACCGTTGTCTTTGTTTCGTTTTCTCTGGCATGGTTCTCCCGAGTTATCCATTCCACGTTAGTTGCCGTCCGCAGCCATTGGATGCCGGCGCCGGTCTTCCCTTCTCCACCGGTCACTCAATGCGATTTCCGGGCGCACATGACACCAGGGTGCTCTGTTGCCCGTATTTCACCTTGAGCCCCCCGGCTTGCCAACCCCTTCCTCACCCCGATCCTCCGAAATTTGCCCTTTCCCATCCTTTTTCACCTTTTCACACCCATTTGCAATCTTCCAAGAATGTTCAATGGCGTTTTGGGTGGTAGGAGGGGAGGCCAGGCCACTGTCCCGGGGCGAGGACAACGCCCTCTGCCCCGACCTCTACGTTATGGGTGGCAAACGACGGGTCAATCACCTCGATGAGTACGACTTCTACGGCTACGACGACCACCACGACCAATTCCCACCAAAGAGGCCGCGGCTGTCATATATCGCACCGGACACGGACCCCGGCTGTTCTTCTCGGGGGTCAATCCCCGTGCAAAACCTGTCTTTTCTGGTGATCCGAGAGCAAACATCGCCAACACCTCCGACGCCCGAATCCGCTGAACCCGATGTCAGCCCATCACCTATGGAACGGACCGCTTCCGGCTTATCGATATCATCCGACACCAGCATTTACAGATTGGAAGACGACGGGGACATGAGACTTTTGGACGACAATGCGGCTGCTCGAATGGTCGAGGATCGTTTGCAACTCAATCGACGTCGGACCAAAGACACCCAACACGAGAGAATCCTCAGGTCTTTGATCAAGCCCCGGTCTCGGGAGGCCGAATTCTCCATCGACAACGCGGCTTTGGAGAGCATCTTCTCTGCCGCCAACGAAATATTCTTTCACAACTGTCTTTCTCAGCGCGTGACGTGGGACTGGTCTCATGCATCCAGCGCCCAGTACAATGATCACATCATCGGCACCACAGCTCTTCGACGCTCTAAGATGGGCGGTTATGAGACGCTCATTGTTCTGTCGAATCCAATCTTGAAGGACAAGAAGTACAATCGACGGCTTCTCATTTCGACCTTTTTACACGAGCTTATTCACAGCTATCTCTTCATCAAATGCGGGATCAAGGCTCGACACTGCGGCGGACACACAGCGGGGTTCCGAAGGATTGCTGAACTCATTGACCTCTGGGCAGGCTCGGACAACCTGCACCTCCGCGATATGGAAGCTGATTTGAACCACTTCCGTGAGGACGACAGTCAGCTTTTGGGGGATCGTTGTGCTTTTGCAGATGCGTCATCTCGGGCCATTTTCCCCAGCGTCCAAGAGTACCTCATCCCTCATCACCACATACACTACGATCACCGCCCCTACGACTATGACCGATCACAGCTTCACCCCCAGGATCGATGGGATTATTACATCAATGACCACCGGGAGTGCTTCCCTGTCAGCAGGGGTAGCAGTCCCACCTCAACCGTTCCCACGACAAGTACTGAGGGGGATTTCGATGGAGTGGAGCCTTTGGAGGAAGGCGAGATTCGCGAGCTACGTGGTCGTCGCCTCTTCCTTTCCGACGGCTATGCCTCCAGCAGACATTCCTCTACTCACAATGAACGACATTATGACTCAAACGACGGGCGATGGACCCGTACCGATGATCGACGGGAGGCTGTCATCGTGAACTACGGCGGCAGCCCGAGCTCCATCATCACCATACGTTAGGGGATGCCGGAACGTATCAGTGGCATCGCCAAATTTTGTACACTTATTTTTCCTTGTCTCATCATACTCAGCGCGACGACGGTGTTGAGTTTGAAAAGCATACCAGCATGGCGACGGTGTTATCATTGGTTTCGGGGGCGGTCTTCACGGCGGAACCTACTCGGGTGCATCATCACGGATCAACGGCGGCGGACGGCGGACGGAATATTACTTTGTAATCCCCTTTTAACACCTCATCTTAGACTCCCTCCTTCGCAAGCCTCACAGGGCCCTCTACATATTACCACATCACCAAATAAACTACACAGCCAGTGATTCATCACTGTCCACGACAACGCCCCACCAAATACCAGTCGTAACTTCCACCGCCTTCGTGTCAAGCCATACCATTCCACCACAAAGTAACATCTTTTGAAGGCCGCCGGCAAGGTCGAGGGTGCTGACTACAGCCAAAGATCGAGCCCTCACCTTGAAACCACGCACCTTCCTCAGGAACCTTGGGGCACCGACGGGTAAGAGGACGGACGGGCCTGCGCAACGACGTTTGGCAGGTATGCCACGTGCACCAAAGCGCAACCACAGAAAGGCACGACATGATTTGAACAAAATCAACGTCCCAGTAAAACGACATCCAGAAATGAACAGCAGAAAAAACATCTCACTCGACCGTAGCGATCCAAAGATGACAGAACCAAAACGACCGAAAGCCCTGCCGCCGCGCTGCCAACACCACACCTCGTCACTTTTCCGAGCCAAGAATGAGCATCTGGTACAACCGCACTCATACAACATCAACGACGTCGCCATCACGTTATCAGAAAGCATCACCGGACAGACACAATGGACCGCCCGCGAGAAACCACTCAAAGACACCGTCGCCCGCATCCTCTCCAAGCAGGGCAAAGAGACGAGCCCGAAAGTCGTGACGGCCAGTACCATCTTCTCCCTCATGAAGTCCATCGACGACCTCTGCTTCCTCGGCCTGCTCTTCCCCACGACACACCTCAACCATCCCTCCCACCCCGTCCATCTCGAAGTCGGACAAGCGCGGGGTCGCGTGGGGTGGACCCAGGCGCTACGGACTAGGCCTGGGGGACCACGCGGCGCCGTCAGCACGGGCACTGGCAGCAGCAGCAGCCCGGGCCAGGGTCCGAGCATCCTCATCCGTCTGAGCACGGTCCGCCACCACGGAGACGACGTCGACAACGTGAACCACGACGGCGAGAAGAAGAAGACGAAGAACAAGTCGGAGGCGCTGACGCTCCGGGAGGTCGTCCAGGTCGCGATCCACGAGATGGTCCACGCCTATCTGCTGCTGCTCTCGTGCCGGCACAAGCAGTGCGGCGCGGACTTTGAGCTGATGCACCGCGACGAGGACGGCACCGGTCACGGGCTGGCCTTCGTGGCGCTGCTCAAGGCCGTGCTGGGACAGGTGCAGAGCTGGGCGCCGCAGCTGGGGGAGTTCGGGATGACGGACGAGGCCATCGATCCCTACGAGGACTTCAGCGTCAAGCTGTGGAAGAGGGGCGAGGGGATCGCGGCCAGGAGTAAGGGGCAGAGGGTGTGGTGGCTGGCTGCGAGGCCGTTGTGAGGAGGGTTGGCGGGTGCCTGTACGATTTGATGGATAATGACTCGGGGTTTGTATGATTTCAGGGACGTTTTGGGACGGTATGATTGTTTCGGCGTGAAGGGATTGGGTGTTTGATTAAGGATCGCCGTGGTGTGCGATAGAATCATGATTTGGATCAGGACTGCCGTATCCGCGGAAGATTTGTAGGAGTATCGTCAACACGGGTATCTGTAGCAGGAATATCAAGGGTCTGACTGGGCTCATGGACCGAAACGTCGTGTCGAGACTTGCCAACTTGAGAGGATCGGAGAACATGATCCAACCTTCGTTATCGGAGTGTATTCCGAGCGGCAGCATGATGCTCAGGAAATACAAAATTTTCCACGGCTTATTCCATCCGAGAATAACGTTCTCCTCTGGGGACGACGGAGGCATCTGTCCCCTGGTCGTACTGGACAGATATGGCCTTGTCTCGCACTGGGTCGAAACCGTACTCAAGCCACGATGTATAAAGTTGTGACGTCTGAAAAGAGACAGCCTCACCAGTCATGGGCCCGGAAGCGTCTTTACTTCAAGTTCGCACGGTTCGTGGGTGACCCAGCATCAACAACGTAGTCTTTCTCGTGTAACAGGCGTCAGCAATCGAAATCGAACGGGTGCCATTGTTTCACCTGTATACGCAACGGATGAGGACCGAAAGAAAGGACCAGGAACGATGATTTGTATTCAGCGTGCGGCCGGACTCCAGCCTCCCTGGCCCTCGTGTCCGGGGTCCTTGACTGAAGACATCAACGAAGGTATTCTGGCCTTTGAGGAATCTCACCGCGGTGCAGAAAGCGTTACACTCAGCTTAGAAATCGGGTACAAGTCAAACCCAGGGCTCAGAATTCTGACTTAAATGTAAGGTATTGCACTTACTTTCCATGGCTTCCGAAGCAGCTCACAGTTCTGCCTGTTATAGCGCCTGATGATCCGCTGGTTTACCTGACAGCAACCAGATCATCTGGGGTTATTTAAGCGACCAATTCAAGGGACCAAGTGCTGTACAACACCAGATAGTGTCGTCTCCGGCATTGGCATCCTAGGGTCATCTGAAAGTTGAGTTTCTACGTACCGTTGAAACGAGGCATTGTCCGGCACTTAAGCATTGTGTGTTTATGCCGCAATCTGGGAGCACAAAGAAAGGAGAATAGTCTCTTGGGTATCTCGATAGAATAATTTAATAAACGCGGGAAAGTGGCGTAAGATGGACAACAACGAAGAGTAGGTGTAGGTGTTCTTACTCACTTCCCGCGGAAGTGAGTGTGCTGGTATAAAGTTGATGGACGCCGGAATCAATATTTCGGATGGGGCCATGGAGTTTATGGACAAAGTCCGAGTTGACGAGAGCAATCGACGTCGATCCGGATCTGCCCGACCTGGATCTTCTTCAGCCCACTCCACGCCCACAAAGAAAAAGAAATAGGACGGAGACGGATCCCTTTCTATTCGATTGCATCTTCAACTCATTGTTTTATCTCACATCAGAAAATCCAATGCGACGGCTTATTTTACTTGCGACACAGGTATATCGATTCTTGCTGCATCACTCCTCATTTAATCGAATGGTGTGGCTTAATGAAGCTTCGCGGTCACAGGCTTGAGTAAGTACCACTCCCCTCAAACTAAGCAGCGAGCCAATCTGTACACGTTTGTTGCCTGTTGGATAATAGTTCTCAGCGCAGAAGAGTATTAAGAACAGCTTGCGCAAGGTTCCTTGTGGCGTTAGTCGACTGTAAACCATGCAGACGAGTTCAAGGTTGAATATAGCCTGTGGATAGAAAACACATTGAATGGCTAATCCAGAACCCGAACACGTCACAATATTCTTCGAGCAGAGTCCTGTTCTATGGGGAAGACGTCACGTAATAGCTCGAATGCTTTGCGGTTAGACATATTATTCGCTGAGAAAGACCGTCTGAATGCATTCAAAGGTACAACATCGCTGTGCTCAGAGGGCACGCCTTCTTTGATGTCAGCGCCGCCGGTTGGAACGCCGGAAACGGCCCCGCCACCAGCCCCCGTTCCGGATCCGCCAGTCCCACTCGTGCCACCGCACCTCTTCCAAGCCTTTGAATTCCCAGGAAACCCAAACGTACGTAGGATACTCGCTCCCCGAGCATTTTCTCCTTTCCATCGACAGAAACGCGCTTCCTAGTCTTTTTCATCAGCGGCCCCGGGAGCCGCCCAGCCGCCTGCGATAGGTGTTCTGTATTCGGCCTGCAATGAGTTGCAACTCTTGGCTATCAGGCTCAAGCGTCGCGTCCTCATGGCGCTGTTGTTGTCCGGTCTTCCGAGTTGCGCCGTAAGCAGAAACCTCCTTCTCCTCAGTGGGCTGTTTGTTCTACTGACGACGTTCTCTCCCAGGTGCCATGCATCAATGAGAGCTTGAGCTTGACGGTATGCGATCCTAGAAACCTCACTATCGCATGCCTATGTCAAGATCAAGGGTTTCAGCACGCCTTTGGGGGCTGTGTGTTGGGACATTGTGATGTGTTTGATTCATTGAGTCAGTCCCCTGCGCTGTTTCCTTCCTGGTTTCTTTCTCTTCCATCCATTGTTCCTATTCTCCTATCTCTCGAACGTGCAGTCATACACAATCATGACCAAATCATGATCAGAGGCTGACATTAATACTGCTAGCTGCCAAAAATGTAACCCTCAATCATTGCGGCGTTCTTCCTCGCTACAACACGGGAGACTTGGAAGCGGCGCTGTTCGTCTCGATCATAACCCTCGTCGTTTTCATTGCCCGGTTCATATCAAAGAGTGCAAAGTTGACTCCATGGGGAGCTGACGATTTCACTATTGTGATCGGATTCGTACGTGACAGTCCAACGTCTCCTTCAAACGAAGACCATGTATGCTGAGCTAACTGGACGCCGCCAGGCGTGCGCGATTACCTTCGCCGTCGCCAAGTTTAACTGCAGGTCCGCCACGATTCCCCAAGCTCTTCTCCACGATAGATCATGACAGGATCGCTGATGTTCATAGGGTCTTACTTCGAAATCGGAGTGGACTTCTGGACGTTGAGTTATGATGAGATCGTCAGGTTTAGTCAGGTAAAGATCACAGCACGAAGACTCGAATCGAGGGTCCAGCGCCAGATAACCAACAGAAACTAACATATTCTGTCCAGACTTTCTATGCATTCGCCATGGTATACATCCTCGCGGTCGCCAGTTTCAAAGCAACCATGCTATTCTTCTACCAAAGAGTCTTCGGCGCCTTTAACTCTACATTCACCGCAGTTTTATGGGGCACACAAGTGTTCAACCTGCTCGCCTTCATCGCCTTCTTCTTAGCGACACTGTTCCAATGCCGACCCATCAGTTTCGTATGGTACGGCTGGGACGGTCATCACGAGGGGGCTTGTCTCGATGTTCACGCGATCATGTTATCGCACGGCGCTGTGAATGTCGCCCTAGACTTTTGGATGCTCGTCTTGCCTGCGACGCAAGTGCTTCGGCTCAACTTGAGAAAGAGGCAGAAGGCTGAGATTCTAGCCATGTTTGGCATCGGGATTTTGTAAGTTCTCCGAAATGCTGATGTGAATCCAGACCCATACCCGCCCATCTGCCAATCTGCCATCATCATCCTGACTGGAAGCTGACGGAGATCTCTATGTAGAATTACGGCGGTCAGCACGATCCGGCTCGTAATCGTGTGGGGTCTGAGTTTTCAAAATCCTACCTGTAAGTCTGCGACCACCCCGAGATATTCTTTTCGACGAAAGAATAGAGTCTCGCTGACTGATGTGTCCATACAGACGATACTTATTACGGCCACTTGTGGAGTTTTGTCGAAATCTCTGTTAGCGTAGTTATTTCTTGTCTTCCACCTACGCGACAGCTGCTACGCCATCTTATACCCAAGTTTCTGCGAGCAGTCGGACTGAAGGCATCGGATACCCATGTCCGAGAGGAGCCTGGAGAATCGGGCAGGGCTGTACTCTACACAGGGACGTATGATGGCCACGAAAGTGAGAGTCCCACGAGTGCGGAGGGCTTCGTGACACCACGTCGTTGAGATTATACCAGTAGGTAGCGTCGTCGGTATGGAATACAAAAATCATACCAGTCTGTAAGGTCATGATCTCTTACGCCTTTTCATCGGCCACGAAGTAATGATTGACCACTCATGATCTCTCTGCCGATCTCCAGGTCTTCAGCATGCCCCGAAGACTGGGCGCTTTGCATGATAACCTTGAAATTTGGGTGCATGTCGTTGCGGACAGTCATTTGGTTCCTTTTTCTGACCAAACAAGGCAGTGGCTGAAATACACATATCATAAACATGTTGCATATACAGAGTATCAATGACGAAGACTTCTACCAAGCGGCGTTGAGCTTATTTGCTCTGGGACACCCTGACTCAAGCTAGCGGACGGAGTCACGGGAATTTTGAATCGTAACCGATCGGAAAAGGAACCCGTCCCCAGGTTCATCTGAGTTATCCCACCGGCCTGGTGGAACATGCAAGATGAACCAGTTCATATGCAAGCAACTTGATTGGGCATCGGACCCTGCCAAGGGCAGATCTGACTTCACGAAGAATACCATGTCGTTCGCGTTACACTGTTGGACAAACGGACTAACGAGGGAGTCCGAGTCCGTTTATTTTTGCGAAATACCACGGGTTTCCCACTCTCAACCACATACAGTTTGCGTTTTTTACAGTTACAGGACAACCTTGCCAGAGCCTCAACTACGCACCTCCCGAAACCACGTGATCATGGTCGATGAGCTACCCATGCGGCAGATGGATCCGTTACACACTCGACCTCTTTGGATATAAAGTCTATTGATCATGCAGTATCTCAGGAGCCGTTTTCAATCGACATCTCTAGAGCAATCAAGATCTTGAGACTTCTGTTCGCACTCGACATCATCCTCTGCGGCAATCATGGAAACTATCTCCAAAAACGTCACGATGCCTGAATTGGCGCCACCCGAGTTCAACTATGCAGTCTACCAGTTGCCAACGCTGGTGGCGGTCGTTCTGGTCCTCATAGCGTCGATCTTTCTTCGCCGCGACGGCGCTGTCAGCTTGCCAATTGCGAACCCAAAGAAGATGTTCGAACTCACATCATCGCGGCCCATATTCGAGTTTGCAATGGCAGGCCGCGAAACTCTTGCGTCCGCCAGGGAGAAGTTCGGACCTAAACCTTTCCGAGTGCACACTGACATGGGAACCTTCATCATCCTTCGGCCAGAGCACGGCGACGAGATCCGAAGTGATCCGCGATTCAGCGTCGACGAGCCTATCATCGAGGTGAGCCTATCTACGTCAACAGATTATTGACTTTCTCCCATGGCCTATATTGATCGATTTCGGTGCCTAGCTGTTCCAAGCAAAATATCGCGGGTTCGAACCTTTCATGGAAGGAGCTCTGCCGACGAAACCACTGCAGAACGTTGTGAAACTCAAGATCACAAAGTCATTGGGTAAGTTGCATAAATCTCCCAAATTTCGATCATAGAGCAGTAACTGATATCCGAGGGGTCTCTCAGCCAAGGTTACAAAGCCGCTTTCCGAGGAATGTGCAGCTGCGCTTCAGGCGTTTGTCGGTGAACCACAAGGTAGAAAGACAGCAATCCTGAAAAGCCATCCGCAAGTGTATCACTGACAGCAGATCTCAGGCTGGCATGATGTTGTTCTTATGGATTTGATCACTCGCCTGATCTCCAAAATGTCTGCTCGCATCTTCGCTGGCCCAACCCTGAGCAAGAATGAGCGCTGGATCGATCTCGTTGTCAACTACGGCGACAACAGTATTCAGGGTATGCGGAAGCTTCGCCTATGGCCCAGTTTCCTCAAGCCCTTCGCCGTCAACTTTATTCCGGAGTGCAAGAACCTCCAGGCTCAAGTGAAGGAGGCATGGGACCTCGTCGCCGGTGAGATCGAGGCGAGACGCGCCAAGAACGACGGAACCGAGTACAATGACGCTGTTCACTGGTTCGAAGAATTGGCTGGCGGAGACCGGTACAACTTCGGCGCATCGCAGCTCATGCTTGCCGTTGTCTCGATCGGCACGACATCGGACCTCATCGCGCAGACGTTGGTCGATATTCTTCGCCACCCGGAGTTGATACAACCTCTGCGGGAAGAGATCATTGCTTGTATCTCGGAAGGCGGCTGGCAGAAGACGTCCTTGTACAACATGAAGCTTCTGGATAGCGTTCTCAACGAGAGCCAGCGTCTTAAGCCCAACCAGATTGGTAAGCCTGTTGTTTTGAACCCACTCCTTTGCACGTAACTGATTTGCACTTCGCAGCGTCGATGTTCCGACAAGCTCTCGAGACTGTGACTTTGTCCGACGGCACCAAGGTACCGAAGGGTCACAAAGTCGCCGTGTCAACTGAGCGAATGAGGGATCCGGCATTCTACGAAAACCCAGAGACATTTGATGGTTATCGTTTCCTTCGCATGCGCGACACGTCTCAGGCAGCTGCTAGTCAGCTCGTAACGACGAGCGTCAACCACCTGGGCTTTGGTCACGGCGAGCATGGATGTCCTGGGCGGTTCTTTGCTGCTAGTGAGGCCAAGATTGTCATTTCTCACATTCTTCTGAAGTATGATTTGCAACTGGACAGCAACGTCCAGCCTCAACTGCGGAAGTTTGGTTTCGCGGAGGAGGCTGACCCGAAGTTGAAGATCTCGATGAAGAGACGTAAGGAGGAGATTCCTTTGTAATTCAGATGATCATTAGTCGTTTTACTTTCAGGGAAAGTCATGTGTTTGAAGTTTATGGTTTTCAAAGATGGATTGTATGTAGTTCGCTAGAAGCCTGTAAGAGGTTATCTTTGTGGCATTCCAACTTCTGTGAGCCATGAAATCTAACCTTCAGGCGCAATTAGGTCTATATGTAGGAGTCTTGGTATGAATACTACTATATCTTGCCGCCCATTAGTGCTCGACCAGAGGTCTTTCACCAGCGTCCAGAGTCTCTTGAATACGCTGAGAGGGCAGCCACTGCTCAGCCGGGATGAACCACCATGACAGAAGCGCGAATATTGTGACGATGGCCATAATGACGGGGGCGTAGTTGAGCGTCGAAGCCTCAACAGGAAAGGCGTACGGGGAAAACAGCACTGCCACAACCCAACCGTTCCAGAAAACCGCAATCACCTGGAACGGTTTAGACCATTTTCCGAGACTCCATGCCGGCTTCGGAAACGTTTTCGGAGTCAGGAAAAGGCGACCGAGGCAGATAAGTCCGTATGCTGCCGCTGAAGGCACGCCTGCAGCCGAGACCAGGGAAGTAAATGCCACGGAAGATGGCAGAATTGTGCAAGTGATGATAGAAGCTACACCCCAGACGACATAGATCGCGTTCCTGGGTTGGCCATCTTCAACCTTGGAAACCCAAGGTGAAAATGGCAGAACGCCGTCACGGGCGACCGCGAAGACCAGACGCGAAGCGGCAAGGACAGCAATGGCGGTATTCTGGAACGATTAGCTGAATTTCTCCCCCAAAAACATCGCGTTAATACTTACAAACCACAATGCAACAATGCAAATGATGTTCATGAAGATGTGTGCTCTCTGCCCCAAGATGACTGCATATAGCGGCACAAAAGGCTGAGCACCCCCGTATGAGAATAGGGTCTCTGCGTCTGGCTGTGATCATAGGCGTTAGCAGTGTTCAAGCTTCAGACCAGATCTTTCACGTACCACGCAGAACAGGAAGAGGATGACAACGATGAAGCCACCAATGCCACTGGTGACAGTGCTCCAGAAAATACCCTGAGCCGCCGCAACACTGGCGTTCTTGGTCTCCTCTGCAACATGACCAGAAGCGTCGAAACCTATCAGAATACCCGCAGTTGCAAGATACGAAAGGCACCAATTCCACGCATCAGGGGCGCCAGTCCCGTTGTATGTTGAGAGAAAAGCGTCATGGGCTGAGCGGAATCCGATCGTGTTCTTTGTCGCAATGGGCAACCAAATCATGTTGAGAACAAAGTCCAGCAAGACGAACGAGGTTGATAAATAGAAGATCCACTTGAAATATCGAGCTGGAGAGCTGTTAGCAGCGACAATTGCTTCGATTCGGTGCAACTCACGAGGCAGAAGGTTCCAAAGGGCTGCCAATGCCAGGAGAACCTCCGTTGCGACCCACTGCACAGCTCGAAACTTGATGCTCGAGCTATCGGAAGGAAAGTCTAAGTTGAAAACTGCAATTTCCTGTATGGTGGCGTCAGACTCAGAAACCAGGCTTGCCAGGTTGAAAAGGGTATCATTCTTACCGAGAGCATATAGTTGACTGCTGATTGCGTGTTGCCTAAGAATGTTTTAGTACCTACACCATCGGGGACGGGGAGGATATGTTGCCATTGAAGACATACTGGCACAAAATGTTGTCCACGCAGTGGTACTCCACCATGCCACCACAAAGCCCAAGAGTCTTCCATAACGAGGTCCGCCTGCCTCAGCCGCCCATAAGTAAATGGAGCCGGCGAGCGGGAGAGAAGAGCATATTTCAGCGATGACCGCCGCTGTGATGAAGGTGAAAACACATGTCACAACGAAACTCGTCCTGTTCAGGTTTTAGTCGTTGGTCACACAGAAGAAACAACTCGTGCCATACCAATACGCCAAGGGCCCGCCAGCCGCGATTCCTGTGCTTATGTTAGTGAGGTGACGACGGAGTAATATGCGTGACAAGTAAGAGACGTTAATCGATCGGCACACCAGAGGCATAAGGGACAGAAACAGAAACGTTGTCATGTTGTTTGTTTGGTTCAGAGTTATGAGGGCGTCTTCATTAAGAAAACCAACAGCACGTACCGGTTGAGAATGTGACACGGACGCCGCCAATAAAGTAGAGAGCAGCTGCAAGTTGTTAGATAAACTTGATCTCGGTGTTCTTTTCAACAGGCTCCTTGCCGAAAGTTGTCGCGAAGTTATGGAAAACGTTGAAAGTTCTGTGAAGAACCTGCGGAAGTCAGAAATTTAATCCCGACCAAGCAACAATTAGAAGTTCATCATCTACCGGCTTGTAGCCCAAATTTTCCTGTAGTTCTTCTGATCAGCTGAAGTTCCGACCCATCCGTTGCTCTGCGTTAAGAGACATACCAAGATTCGCGAGTCTTTGCTCGATTCACCTTCAACATCGCTGCTGGAAACACCCGCATCCTTGTTGACCGTTCCGTATTCGCGCTGCGCAGTCATCTTGGCGTTGCGACTCAGAGTTTGATGTTGGTCCAAATCGGGCGAATAGCGGGTGTTTGGGAGGAAAACAAGCAATTGGAAATGCCCGCATATTATTGCAGGTCCGTCAGATGACCCGAAAACTCGTCAGGTGGGACGGAAATACTCGGCTTTTTAGTGAGGAAGGAAATCTTCCAATAGCGGGAATTTTGACTCGCGTGATGTGGGACTAGATGACGGCATCGGCGATTACTACAAAACGGCTTTAGCAGCATGCGCAACTAACGGTCTTTAATGGATGTTAGTGGAATGAAGGATACTGACTGGTTGCCAAATGAGTTAGAAATTTGGCTACTAAATTACTGTTTGTCGAGCTTTGCATTTCTTTCTTCATTTTAGAGAGCGTAATGCAGTATTTACGCCCATAGTCAAGCCTTCTCGATCAGTAGTGAACCTTCAAAAGCTGCAAGTCTCAGTTGTAAGAGCGGAGCTTTCACTGGTGATACACTGCAACAACAACTTGTCCCGATCGGACGTATCACGACATGTCAGGTTCCGCGTATCACAAGTTCGGCTATGCGGGAAGAGTTCCTATCAGGGGTACATGGCAAGGTTTTTAAAAAAGGAGCCAATCACGCAATCGGCGGAAGCAATACGCAAGGAGAGCGGTCAACCATTTCGATTCGTTGATGAGACCGGTAGTTGGTTGCACCAACTTGGCCAAGATGAGCGACTGATCAAATTCTCCGAATACCTCGGCTGAGCCTCATAATTCTCACTTGCATTTTCACCAACTCACTCTAGGGTGTACAGCACTCTGCTTCTTCCACGATATTGCAGCTCTATGGCGAACTTTGCTTCCCTCAGCAAGATGGATTTGCTTATGGTCTCTTGTTTAGTTCTTATTTTTCTGACGGCTTGGATCATTTTCAAGGTAACGTTTGGTCCATCTATGATCTTCAGAACAATAAGCGTTAATTTGTCAAAGGCTCTGGCGAGAGCTCACGCCTCGGCGTTATCCCACATACCGAATGCTGCCTGGGGAGCACCTTACTCAAGGCTGCTATGGGCATTTTATCAGGAGTACAAAGGCAACATTACCATCAAACTTCCCGAGCTTCACGAGCGCCTAGGTTAGTTTGCTGAATGATTGGGTTGAAAGACCATAATAGCTGACTCACACGGTGAAGGCCCTCTCATACGCATAGGGCCCAATGAAGTCTCGTTTTACTCAATGGATATCTATGATGCAGTGCACAAGGTTAACAGTGGTTATGTCAAAGATCCACGTAATTATGGCGAGTTTGTGCAGGATGGACATCCCGCCCTATTCTCCATCACGTATGAAGCGCCATCGCCATGTTATAATCCAATTCCAGTCGCTAATGCCAGGTAGAGATCCGGAAGAGCATTCGAAACGGCGAAGAATTCTTGGCCAGCTCTACAGTCGTAGCAAGATCGGGAATCTCGAAGATCTCATGCTTATTCACGTGAATAACTTTGTTCAAATCCTTTTCCAGAAGTTTGGTGCCTTCGACATAGGCCCGGCATGCCGAGCTCTTGAGGCCGACATTATTTGTACGACATTCGAAAAGCTCGCAACTGCAAAGCGAATTTTACATGATTTTGAGACAGTTGCTGATATAAGTAGCGGACTTCTCCTTTGGGGAGGCGCTCGGCGCCATAAATGCATGGTCACGGGACGAAGAGTTAGCGATTGTGTCGAAGAATGACAAGAAGGCAACGTTGATGCCTCTGGTGAGCCATACCAACCTCATCCATAGAAGCGCCACATTGAGACCATGCAGCTTATGAACTTTCCAACGCTGTACGAGCTATGGTGCTCAGTCGAAGACGCCGCTAGTCGATTGACAGGATCCAAAGTCTCTTATCGACAAGGTCTTGAGCAATATGATCAGGTAGGTAACTCCATGAGATGTGTCTGTCATTTGCTTACAAGAGTTTAGTGGACTTATGATGCTTGGACTCGCAACAAACTCAGTGAAAAGCCAGTGACCTCCGAATTTCCGAATCTGATTCGGGTCATGGTCGCAGCGGGAGTGCCTTCACAAACGGCGCTGTCTGAAGCTAAAGAGAACTTAGGACCAGGCACTGATACAACTTCCGCTTCCTTAGCGCACACTCTTTACGCCCTCTCGAAGAACCCTGTATTCCAACAAGAGCTGTACGAAGACCTCTATCAGCAGGGATTTCCTACCGACCTGACGTCCCTGGAAAACATCCCACGGCTGAAAGCTTGCGTCAAAGAAGGAATCCGCTGGGCTGGTGCGGCGTCCGCTATGCTACCCCGTGTTGTCCCTAAAGGGGGTGTAGAACTGAACCGCAAATACATACCGGAAGGGGTAAGTTTTCTATGCTCTTTGTTCCTTATGTCTGTTCGCTTCATTCTTACTTGTTTCTTCCACAAGAGACATTTTTGACAATGACTTGTGATAGACTGTTTTGACGTCATCGCCTATCTGGTATCTGCGAGACAAAGACGTCTACCCGAACCCTGACTTATTCGACCCCTATCGCTGGATCGACGAGAGCGGCGACTTCATCAAGGAAGACGCCCTTCGCGACAGATTTTACACTCCCTTTTCTAAAGGTATTTCATGAATCAATTGATGAAATCGTTTTGTTGCGACTCTACTAACTGCTCTCCGTCTGATTAGGCGCAAATATCTGCATTGGTTCTCAGTAAGCTATCAACATTTTCTATTGGATCAACGCTTGAATAACGTCAGTCTAAAATAGCTTCTCTTATTATGAGCTGTATTTGAGCTTAGCCAAGATTATCGAGAACTTTGAAGTCGTGGATGAGGATGGATTCATAGGGCAGTCATATGGTCGTGACTGGAAACATGTCAAGCTTCCAGCGCGGAAGGAATGGGTCGCTTCTGTACCGACCCATTCTCTTCTCATCAAAGCTCTACCACGAAGGCTTGCCTGAGAACCTACGTCTTGTCGCATCGTACATATCTGTTCTTGATGTTGCTGGAAACAGTTGGTGTTGGAGATTGGGCAACGGATAGTGATGGCTGACTGTAGACATCATGTTTGAGTCAATCCCAATCACCCATAGAAACCCATGGAGTATTATCGTGATGGCCTTTGAAACATAGGACGGCAAAAATAGGAGATACAGTACGTTCTTTGTAGTAAATTTGAAACTACAGAAAATGTTGATCCTCTTCTACGATAAAATCTCCGTGGCTGCTCAAACATTTGGGGCCGGGGCAAGCCTTCTTTACTCGCATCATACGGACATGTACGTCTACTTCAGGGGCTAAGGAACCCGCAGCCGTAACATCACACCCAAAACCTCCAGCAACAAAAGTACTCATCTCATCGGTGACGGAATAGCATCCAAAAGACCGAATGTTGAAGACCATGGACAAGATTCGCACTTGCGGTTTCCATCGAAACATCATTGATTCTTCTGGGCTTCCCCTGGAAGTCGGCGCGTATGCTGTTCACGACTTGGTATTCGCGGTCAAGGACGGTGTGCACGACTGGTCTGAAGACGGAGAGTCGGCACTTGCACGTGCCCAAAAGAAACTGAAATTCGCCATCATCGAGGGCTTGGACACAGCCTACGACAGCAAGAATATCGATCATTACAGGAGAGTATGTGATACTGCGGTATGGATTGACCAAATCTTTTTCGGCTGGCAGCTCACGCACCCCGGAAGACGAGGGCACTCGGACTTGGAGATCACCATCGAACACAGTAATCCGCGCTGCGAGGGCTCTTGGAGCTTCTCCTCTGTTGCCTTGGTGCGCCAGAGCAGGAATGTGAGGGCCCGTTCTCGCATCGAGATCGATTCGCACGACCACGACCCGTGGACAATCTCTGAAGTCATTGCCTTTCTCATCCACGAAATGGCACACGTGTACCTGGACCTATTCTCCTGCCGCGGAGGTCTTTGCAGCGTGTTAAAAGGCTGTACGGAGAAGTGTTTTCAGAAACCTGGGGTTCATGGACTTCATGTCCATCGCGTAATCGCGGACGTGGTGGGAGAAATTCGATCTTGGGCACCGAACATGGAAGCAATGCAGAATTTCGGACTAGGGGGGACTGTTTACTGCACTCACCACGTCCAGGAGTCATGGCCGAGTGTATGGACACAGTTTATGCACTTGTTCAGTTGAGGAGGATGTCGGTCAAGTTGCTGTTGGATAGCATTATGACCCCTGGATTGTAGTATTCATTCGCAGTGTCCTATTCACCAAAATCCATTACGTTTCATTGACATTACCAGTCTCCTTCAACTTGTGTAAAACAGGTTCGTTGGTCGTTCAGAGTGTCCTTCAGACAAGCCTAGCTGCCTAACCCATCAGGTACCTTCATGTTGAATACCGAGTCAGCCAGGAGATCCACGGACGCGATCCACGGTTATCGCTTTAAGCTTTTATCTACTATAAAAGCGTATAATTAACTACCAAATTCAGCAGTATTAAGACTTAATAGGGTTAAAAAAATATAGACATACTCTGTAAGGTACTTATACACATAGAGAACTTAGTAATCAGATTCCTTATAAGCATGTTTTTGACACCCTAGGAACTGCACTCCCATTGTGCTGCTGGCTGATCAGCGTCCCCGATCTTCCAGTAGAATACCACGCTAGCTTCCCCGATACCCGCAGTCGGGATTCCTTCGGGGATCTCACAACGTAAACCCGTCGGGTGGCTTGCCGGACTGCAGCGGGCTGACCTGAATAGGTACGTATTACTTTATGGGTCTGAAAGTAACTGCTCGCAGCTTGCGCCGCCCTTGCTGTTACACGATAGTGGCCGACGAAATGGCCGTGGACTTGACGATGCTGTACGAATACCATCACCAGAAGTAGATATAAGGCCTATAGGGACCTGGTAGGACACGTCGCAACGACATGTTGTCTAAGGCCATCCTCGAAGAATCTATCCATCCTCATTCCCGTTCAGCCCCTCCATTCTTCTGGCAACTTTGATTCTTCGGTGCAACATGGCTGAAGTCACCATGACCAAGGACCGAAAGCATGCCACAACGGCCTGGAAGGCCCTCGCGCAGGAATGCCTGCCCAGCCGCGGTCGCGATTTGGATCACTGGTGGAACATTACCGGATTTCATCTCGCAAACCTCATCGACGGGGCCGGCTATTCCACCGAGAGGCAATACCAAGCTCTCTTGTTCCATTACCACAACATCGTGAGTACCTGCAATGCATTTCTGTCTGCAAACCATCCAACCAACCATCCCATAGGTACCGTACTTTGGACCTGCGCCTGACCAGTATGGAAACGTGCCTTGGAAGTCAATCATGTCCACAGACGGTTCACCCATCGAATATTCCTGGAAGTGGAGTACGAAACCTGAAGGCCAGCCCGAGATCCGCTACTCCATGGAGGCGATCGGAGAACTCTCCGGCTCCTCCATCGACCCGTTGAACCAGCACCGCGGGCGTGAGCTCATGCAGCATCTGGCCACCGTGGTGCCGACCGCGAATTTCGATTGGGCTCATCACTTCTTGGCCCACCTCTTCGATCATGACGCAGCCAAGTACCACCGAGAGAATCAAGAGGGAGGGGTGCCTCCGCGCGGAACCCTTGGCCATGGCATTGAGTACGGCCCTTCGGGCATCAGCATCAAGACGTACTTCTCCTCTCGCCGGCTGGGTTCTCGTGGCCACGCGAGCTTCGAGCAATGGGACGAAGCCATACGCTGCTTGGACCCGAACAACGCCAACCGCGATGCGTTACTGGAGTTCCTCAAGGAAAACTCGGAAGGAAAGCTCCTGACACCGTTGTAAGTGCCATCCCAAATCCCTCAAGCACAAAAGAACGAGCACGAGGGTTCGGGACCAGATATGATGGATTCTCGCGGTTCCGTCGCGGCTCATTTTTCTTCATGCTCCCTGCCGTGACGATGCAAGGCTAATAGTAGCAACAGCACACTCGCTCCCGATGGTGCGGCGGCGGACAAGGCGCGCCTGAAGTTGTACTTCACCTCGCCGAACACTAGTTTTACTTCCGTGCGCGAGATACTCACGATTGGCGGCACCATCAAGGTCTCCGAGGAGTCGTTGGAAGAGCTACGATCGCTGATCACGGCTGTTCTCTCGCTCCCAGACGACTACGCCGAAGACGAGGCCATCCCCAGCAAGCCCTGGACGCCGCCGGCCAAGGAGATCTTCGCCGACCAGCCTGCCCTCCTGGGCGGCTACTGCTACTACTTTGACATCCCGCCGGGCCGCTCCAAGACTCCCGACATCAGATTCTACTTGCCTGTCCGCCAGTACGGTCCGGATGACGGCAGTATCGCGAACAGTGTTGCAACTTGGATGAAGTCCCGCGGCCGGGGCGCCTACGCCAGCAAATTTCTTCGAATGATGGAAAGCTTTGCTGAACATCGCAAGCTGGATGAGGGCAAGGGCTTGCAGACCTACATTGGATGCATGATCAAGAAGAATGGCGATCTGGATGTCACGTCTTATTTTGGGCCGGAGGCGTACCATCCCAGTCGTTTCGCAACTCGCAACGGAATGAATGGTCACTAGGTCCATCCTCCACTGCCTATTTCAATTCTGAGTTACTCTATCTATCAATAAAGACTGGAACTTTTTCCAAGGTGATATCTCATGCTTTAAACTGTGACCAGGCTCCGGCATGCACGTTAAGTATGCGTTTGCAAAAGCTTCATGTTCATTAACGCGGACACCTTCACTTCATGCTAACGTGTACTCGTTGGGTATGGCGAGCAAAGCAAACAAGGGTGGTTGCATTGTATTGCGGAGAGAATTGCCTTTTTGAGTTTTCTCTCTCTTTTTTTTTTTTTTTTTGGTTTTTTTGGCATTCCTTTCACTTCATACTGCTGCGATATCACATTAAGAGCCTCTACGCCCGTCTTCGCGGGCTACATGCTTGGAATTCCAGGGGAATCAGCTTGTTTGTAGTCGAGGGGCTTCAGCAGCACATCGGCCGGACACTGGGTTCCTGACGACTACCACGATTTACCGCGATATACCTTAACGCAGTTCTTTTGTGCACGGCAGGTACCTCGGATCAGTTTCAACTGCAGGCTAACATGATTACAATGGCAATGTTAAGTATGTCGTGGCTATTAGAGAACTAGTTTAGTGTTGAGTGTGTTTTATTCAGACGCCAAAAAGCAGCAAAGCTTTCAGATTCGTTCTGCAAGTAAACAGACGTTCACGCGGAACGGTACTCTCCAAAATATGTGACATTCTTGGTGCCTCCGTTATGATCTTTTACTCGCCGTTCTTCTCGGGGTACTCCATGGGTAGCGGGTTGTTGTATGCGAATGCGTTCAGGGGATCCCACTTCTTCTTCAATGCCGCCAGGCGCGGCAGCTTGTCTCTGCCATAGATCTGCTCGACTGTCTCGTCACTATGTGCATAGCTCACAAAAACGGACAGATCCGGATATCCCGATGTTTGGGAGAAATCGTTCCGAAGCTCACGGCCGAGCTTGTTCGAAGCCTCAGCCAAGACCTCGCCGCGGTCGGGGTTCGAGCTCGGCCAGGTGAACACGAGGAGGCTGTGAGAACGACGTCAGCAGTCTTCAAGGGGAGTGGTAGAGGGGGACCTCAGATGAAGGTTCTAAGAAAGCGAGGGAGAATGTATGGAAAGGAACTGACAAGTTTCCCTTGGCGTCCCTCCACGGGTACGCGGTGGCCTCGTCCGGCACTGCCAATGCCGCCTGATTTGGCCAAGTTTCCAACGCTATGGCGCTACCGCGGGCTTCGGGGTATTCTCTGAAGAAAGTCCTCATCTTCTCAAAGACGGACTGGTAAGTCGCGGCATGGAGTTGTCGGACGTTCACACCGTAAACGCTGCGGTCCGCGGCGGTCTGACAGAACGCGGCATCCAACATACCGAAACCTTGCGACGCCGTTATTTCGGACCACGGCACCGTCCTCAATAGTGAAGGGGACGGCTGCAGCTCGAGGACCTGTTGCATCGCTGCGCGTCCTTCGGACTCCGGGCCCATAAAGACCCAATTGGTCATGATCTGAGCCTTGATTGGAGGTCAGCTGAGGCTTAGAATAGGAATACGCCGCTTGCTGTGTTCGACAGCGGCGGTGGGAGGGCGGGAGCACATACATCATCATCGCCCTCGCTGTACATGATTATGGAATATACTGCAAGGTTTGCCGGCATAGAATCGTTGAACGACTCTAGTATCTTAAAGTACTCGGCGGTCTTTGCGGCCGGAAACACCATGTCGGCCATCAAAACATGGCCTTGGTCGCTGTCGGTGTCGGTGGCAAGTCGTTGCAGCTTGTAAGTAGCCGATGTGACGACTCCAAAGTTTGCACCCGCGCCGCGGATGGCCCAGAACAGATCTGGATGTGAATTTTCAGACACGTTCAACAAACGGCCGTCCGCTGTAACAAGCCGTACGGACAGCAACGCGTCGATGACCAGGCCGAAGCGGCCAGAGTAGCGCCCGATGCCCCCTCCGAGCGTAACACCGACAACTCCTGGACAGGAGCATATACCAGTCTCTGTTTGAGATGTAAGTTAGCACCTAATGAGAAACGTTCCACATGTAGATTTGCGTCGTGGGGGCGTGATAAGCGGTGAAACTCACGCATCTGGAAGCCGGCGTCGAACACGGAATCGAGCACCTGGCTCCAACGCACACCTCCTCCGACCGTCAAGATCCCAGCCGACTCGTCCACCCCCACTTCATTGAGAGCACTCAGATCAATCGCGAGACCGTTTCGAAGTCGCCCGAGGCTGGTTGTGTAGCCGTGACGACCACCGGTTGCCAGGAAAGGCACTTGGTGCTTCGCTGCCAGCAAGACCTTTGGTAAACTTGTCAACACTCTGCTCGGCATTCCGAATTCTGTAGTACCACGACTACCGGTGAATCTACAGACCGTCTTGACCACATCGTCTTCGGTGGCCGGGCTGATAGCTGCGGAATATGTGGGCGCGTCAAACGTGTTCCATCGATCCGTCATCTGGACCGTACATGTATGTATTAGCAAAAGCCCTCACCACCATCTCGCCAGCAACCCAAGTCTCGACTTCTCATATGGGAACGGTTATGCGCACCTCTGAAAACCCTTCTTGGCCCTGGATTTGGACGGTTGTACCATTACACCACTGATTACCTTTGTCAAGCAGTATGTCGCGGAGCTCGGGAGACTTCCATGTCCACGTCGGCACTTGAGGCTGCAACGACAGCCACAAGTAGATCAGACATGGGACCAATCCAACATAAAGAAGACGAAAATCCGACATTTCGAAATGTGGAGACGTTGGCCCTTGAAATGTGACGAAGTCAACGATAGCTTGTTGATGATGTCCTGGAGGCGGCACCATCTATGTTTTTTTTAAAAGCGAGGACTGCCTATGGACTGTAAGCGCTACTGCTCCTCATCAAGACGCAATAGGCTTACACACAAGCACTCTGAACGATCAGGCAAGATGAGATCTGCGACCGTTCTCTAGCACTAGGCACTTATTGGTGGTTCGGAAATGCGTCGTACGGTATGCAACGCCGAATGCCCGATGTGGCGGGCTTGGCAACGGGCCAGGGGTAGCATCCCTCGGAACACGACGTCCAGATACTTTCTGTTAGTAGAATATAATGTAGTAGGGGATATAAGGCATCGTTTCTGTAAGTATACGGACTAGTGAATTCGTTTTCCTAACAACTTGAAAACTAGGATTGATCTTGTCGAATCTCGTGTGTGATATTGGCTGTCTTCGACTAGGTTCTAGACTAAAGGAATTTCGCAAAGATATTATAAAGCAGAAAGTAAGTCTCAGCAGTTAAGATCTTAGCTGCTAAAAAGCATCGGTCTATTATTCCCCCACCCCCCTGCCTCCCTCCCCTCCCCCTCTCACTCCCGGCCCTGTTGAATCAAGGGTACTTGGTAGGCAGCGGGTTGCTGAAACCAAAGACCTGCTTGGGGTCCCATTTCTTCTTGGTCTCTGCGAGGCGCTTGAGCTTGTTGGCGCCGTAGATCTGCTCGAGAGTCTCGTTGCCGCTCGCGTAGTTGACGTAGACGGCGAGGTCGTCATAGCCCGAGGTGGCCACGAAGTCCCGGCGCAGATCCTCGGCGAGCGCGATGGCGGCGGCCTCACCCTCGCCGTTGGACCAGGTCAGCTCGAACATCATGTAGGCGATGGAGTCGCGCCACGGGTAGGCCGTGGCGTCGGCGGGCACGGCGCGCATGGCGTCGCTGTTGAAGATCTCGAGCTCGACCGTCGTCCCGAGCGCGCCGGGGTCCTGCACCGACTCGTAGAAGGCCGTCGTCTTGGCGAACATGGTGCGCATGGTGTCCGCGTCCAGACGCTTCGTGTTGGCCGACAGCTGCGTCCACGGGATCGGGCTGGATTGGCACCACCCCTGGTCGGCGCCGAAGCCGGCGGTTCCGACAAGCGACTTCCACGGCACCACTTTCTTCTCGGACCGGACCGGGTTCAGCGCGAAGACCGGGGCCATGAGCTCAAGTCCCTTCTCTTCGGGTCCGGTGTAGACCCAGTTGGCGAGGATTTGGGGCTGGAGGAGAAAATGGTTGTTAGCCGAAGCAGGAAATGGTTGTGGCACGTCGAGTTCGGGAATAGGCACAAAGCTTAGGCATGCGCCGATGTACTCACCTGCTTGAGGGTCGCGTTCCACATGACAAACTGAATGGTGGCGAGCTCAGGCGGCATGTTCTCCAGGGTGTGAAGAATGTCAAAGTAAGAGCCGTTGGCAGAAGCCGGGATGATGAAGTCGACATTCAGAATCTTGTTGTTGTTGGGCACTTTCTGGACTTTGAACGTAGCCGAGGTGACGATACCGAAGTTGGCGCCGGCACCGCGGATAGCCCAGAAGAGGTCCGAGTTCTTTTTCGCCGAGACCTCGACTACCTCTCCCTTGGCCGTGACGATACGGGCGGAGACGAGAGCATCGATAACGAGACCAAACATGCCTTGATACCGTCCTACACCGGCGCCCAGCCCGGCACCTAGCATACCAGGGCAGGATCCGGAGCCAGTTTCTGGTTGGGGAGTCAGTACATGTGTCTCGTGGTAAGATGGGCCCGGCTTGGGCGGGGGATAGAGGATGTAAACTCACGTATCATGAAGCCGGCCTTGTCAAGCGGGTCGTAAACCTCGCCGAACCTCACGCCAGCTCCCACGGTCACCGTCGCAGCCTTCTTATCAACGGTGACAGACTTCAAAAGGCTTAAGTCGATGGACCAGCCGTTCTTGAGGGACCGGAACGAGTACGCGATTCCGTGACGTCCGCCCTGGGCCAGGAATCCAATCTTGTTCTTGGTTGCGAGCTTGACCTGTTGGGACAGCCATGATATTAGCGTTCGCTCGTTCATGCGGTCTCTTCGTCTTGATGTCTGATGCAAGGGTTCCCAACTTACAGCTTTCGCGACGTCCTCTTCAGTGGCCGGCGTGATGCCAGCGATGAAGGTCGGCTCCGAGTAGGAGGACCACCGGTCGGTTGCGTTCGTGAACTCTGGCGTGTTCGGGAACGAGATGATGGTGTTTTTGTTCCATTTGTTCTTGCGGTCGAGGAGGATATTGCTAGACACGTCGCGGGGGGTGACTATGGCCACGGCAGATTCGATGCCGAGCAAGACACCGAGTACAACGGAAAGTCTCATGATGAAGGTGTGGGAATTCAAAGATTGTCGAAAAGGTCTTTCCAAGTCTTCTATCAAGCTCCGGATGCTCAGTCAAGCTGGAATGATGATTTCCTGGTGGTCTGTCAAACACGAAGAAGCCGTCGACGACACGCTCATTTTATACTTGCCCGTGTCTCTCTCCATCGCGCCCCTCGACGGCCGCTTAGGACGGCATCGTCAGATTCTTTGGGGTCCGAACGCTCCGTGGATCCTGATTCAATAGTTTGAGCTGGCTTTGCTCAGTCCATCAGCCCATCACCGCCACATCGTTGCCTACGGTCTAGGCAGATTTCCTTCTTCGCGAGGACGGCGTGATGGGTCAGGTTCGGTGCGGTAGCCCTCCCTGACAGGCGCCACCACCAACGTGAAGTCAGCACCCGATCGTTTTCGTGATATCGTCTTTGGCGCCGCCGCCGCCGCGTAAGGGAGCGAGCATCCATACAAGCCTCGTAGATACCCAGGTGGAGTGGCAGCCTGATGGTGGCACGATTCATTGATCCTCCGTCGGATGAGTGTGATGTCTGGGGGCGGAGGATTGCGCCCTGTGATTGTGTACGTTGGGCGAAGTCGAATTTCCCATGATCGAGGCGATGAGGCACGGTAGAGAACTTTGGAATCGACTAGCTGAAAGGAAGCCACCCGAGTAAGTCATGTCTCGTCAGGAACGCTTCTAGGGCCAGGCCTACCAATCACAACACTTGACCCGTGTTCTTCCCATGAGTAAGAAGGTTAAAACACTTGGTCATCTTAAACACCAAGGCCGGCGGTCCTATACGATCCCCGTATGTCTGGAATGAGGCCTTGTTGAAGCCTCTCACTCTGGGTTCTATTCTCGACGGGGCTGAGAGAAGCCTTCGGGATCCAGTCGGAACGAACGGGTCGGGGTGAAGAACTGTGATTCGTGGAGGCGTCTAGCCCTCTTCAGGTACGCGAATTTCACTACTCTTGGTATAGCGTTGGGATATTGTAGGGCAGCACGATAGCTCAGAGCTCGGGAGGAGGAGGCTGCTGCCTTTGACATGCTTGTGCATTGAGGCATACGGTGAGACGTGAGATTCAGGTGAGAGTGTGCTCGTCATCCTCTGTTAGGCGAAGGCGAAAACGAGAACCACAGCCCCAATGTAGGAAGGGGGCGTTCAACCATCGGTTGCGCTGACTCGGTTGGTTAGGTTAAAGTCCTATATTTCAATACTAATTTCGTAAAGCCCGAGTTGGAAAAAGCTGACCGGAAAGTGTCTACGGTCAGCTCTCGACAAGACCCAATCAGACCTCGTGCCGGCTGCCGTTTGACAGGTCGAATCAAGTCTCGCCCGATCTAAAAGTTCTACGACCCTGGATTGAATCCTGCAGGGTCCCAATGGTGTACGTCGATGTGAAATGGTGCTTGCAAAAGGCTGTAGGTTGGCGATTTTAGACAAATGCAATACGCCGCACAACACAATGCAGCCACCCTTCTTCTTCTGGTTTGATATCTCGCCATACCCGACCAGTACACATTTAACGTGTTGGCGATTCTAGACTTTATCATGGCAGACATGGATTTGAACTTCACCGAGCGGTTATCGGATGGTGTTCCCGCAATCCCCCACCAAACAAACGCAATATGCCGCGCAATACAATGCAGCCACCCTTATAATCTGGTCATTGATATCTCGCCATACCCAACGCCGCAATCCCCCACCCCCACGCTCCCACCCCCTCCATGCATGAAGATAGACCGAAGACAAAGTGGCTGAATCGAGCCTCACTGGTGCCTGCCTTAGAGCCCTTTTCAAATTCGATGGGGTCCAAATCTGGAACGAGTCCCATTCGGGCATCATTCAGCGTAGCAAGCTTATGTACGGCTGACAGGCGAATAAGCGGCATGTTTCCATCCAAATCAAACCTGTTTAGGCTGCAGAAACGAAGAATTGAAAGGGAATAACTATGCATGCTTATTATTGGCGGTCTCAGAACCAGCACTCTAGGGTGGTATCTGAGTCATCACACGTTATCTAGCACCAGGGTAAATGACAAGGGCCATTCCGCCTCCTTTTGTTCAAATCCTTACGCGCCGCTTACTCCGGGCGTCCGATTTTTGATACTGAGCCAAAAGTCCCAATGCACGAGGAGTGCCAGATTCTCCTGTCGCCAAATACCTTTGTCGTCTTTATTGACGATGCTGGGGTGGAAAAGACGGAAGAACTGGTCACACACTCGAATCAGCTCTGAAGTCCTACATGTTGCTCAGATGGAGAAATGGCCGGGGGGTTGTTACCTGGATCAACAGTTTATGCGTCTCCATCAGGGCAATGTTCTTCCCCAGGCAGATTCGTGGTCCGTAGCCCCAGGTGAGGAGGTATTTGTCCATCTCCTGGGCCCTTTCGGGACTCTCGAGCCAGCGCTCGGGGCGGAAGACGTCCGCATCTTCGCCAAAAACGGTCTTGTCCCGGTGGACGACGTACGGGTTCGCCCCGATTTCTGTGCCGGGAGGGACGCGGCGGCCGTACAGCTGCAGTCCCTCCTCGCCGACGTAGCGCGGGATGATCATGGGGGTCGAGGGCTGATAGCGTTGCGTCTCGCGGTGGCACGCCTCGAGATACGGCATGGCCTTGATCTCCTCAAAGGTGGGAACCGGGGACGTGAGCTTGCCGCGCCTCTCGAAGTCGCCGATCTCGGCCATGAGCTTGTCGTAGACCCCAGGCGTCTGCAGGACGTAGCGCACGAAGCCGCAGAAGAAGGCGGCCGTCGTGTCCGAGGCGGCTACCATCAAGACGAAGCATTCCGTCTTGACCTCTTCGACAGAGATTGGCGTTCCGTCTTCGTTCTTGGCGGCGAGAATGTTGTCCAGGAAGTCACCTTTGTGGTGAGCTTTGGGGTCCCGGAGTCTTTCGTTCAGTAAGGCATCGCGGAACTGCAGGTCACAGCGGTTAGATCAACAGACCCTCGACTAACAAGGCGAAAAGACGAAGCAGATGGGGGGTAAGGAGGAGGGTGAAGTGGAAGGGGGGCAGGGTGAGACGAACGGCCATGATCTTTCCGGTCCCCGAGCTGTCTCCGGGGCGCGGCATGAATAGCCATTTCGTGATGGGGCTCTGCAAGAAGGGGGCACAAAGCCAGGGTAGGGCGCCGACCACGGCGGCAAACGGGGCCATGTCGTGGAAATTCTTGATGAGGTTGGACACATCGCGGGCTTCGCGAACGAAGCCCAGCGGCTCGCCAAATGACAGTTGACATATGGTATCGTAGGCGAACCACTGTGACCAGGCGGCAAAGTCCATTTTGTCACCAGAATGGGCGAAGCGCGTGGCCAAAGCCGCCGTCCACTCCTGGACGCGGGCGTCGACCTGGCCCTCGAGCTTGACCAGGTTGCTGAGGAGGAACGAAGACGCCACACGCTTGCGTTTGCGCGCATGCTCTCGCCAGTCCAGCTCCTGGAAGGGCGGGGCGAGGTCGCCCAGCACCCCCGTGGTGTACACGTCCGTCTTATTGGCACGTCTGTGGTATATGGTGGGCAGTAGTCGCGGGTCGTTGACGGCCAAGAGGTTCGGCGCGGCCCGCACCACCGGACCGTACTGGGCGTGATATGATAGACCGAGCGTGTGCGCCTGCTTGGTGTGCAGGATCCAGAGCTTGAAGAAGTCGGAGGCGGCGCCCCAGAAGGGGCCGGGCCAGTGGCGCAGGGGATGGAAAAAGAGGTTGTAGATGCCCCTGTAAAAGACGTAGCATAGAAGAAGGCCGACGGAGATTACAAGGGTGCGGAGGGCCAGAGAGGCCATCGACTCCTCTTTGCCGATTGCGGTTGGGACTTTGTCCATCCTTGCCAACACCAATATGACAGCCGAGAATCTCTGCTTACACACGCTGCTGGGCGATGGATGATACGGCAGGTCGGGGAGGCGCTGACGTGGAGTGGTCAGATGTGGAGGAGTCGGATTGCGGACAGCAGCATGAGGCTCTCGGGATAATGGGTCTTTGGTGCAATAAGGAGCTGGCGGCCAGGCAGGACGAGCGAACCAACAAGGCTGCACCGTCTATATAGATGGACGAAACTTGAAGAGTAGACAGGACCCCCTTAGACCAGAGGGGATGTTTCCTCATTCGGGGACTTGGACGGCCATTCGGTTGGATGATGGCCGGAAGTTCTCTGTCTCGCATTCGATTCTCGCACCCTTGTTATCCCGACTATCCTGATTGCTGACGGTCGTCTGTTGCGATTGAGACGCATCGGGCAGTTCACAATCATCGCCATCTCGTCCTACCCCGCAGCATATTACTGGAGAATTCGCGAGGAGGCGAATAAAGGAATGCAAAACATGATACGATTGTCCATTCGAGGATTCATGTGGCTGCAGCTTACCCGTAGCAACGGGCGGCTCAAGTCTCGAAGATTCGTTCGCCAGTGCATGCGAATAAGCCAATACTGCATCTATCTCTTCAATGCTACGGTGGCATGGCACGGCACGGCACCTGTAGGACCCTTCCACTGAGGTATCGTTCGGCCTCTGCACTCTTGACCGGACTATTATAAGAAGCCCGTCCATTCGGGAAGCCAGATGGTGAGAGGGACGGTGACTCGACGATTCCATGACACTTGACCGATCCGAACAACCTATGACTTGGTGGCAGGATGACAAACACGGATGGCTCCGGGAATCAAGCCCCTGTCAAGCTGCGGGCTTCGTGCAACGCCTGCAACGAGTCCAAGGTGCGCTGCAGCCAAACGAAACCGACCTGCGACAGGTGCAAGAAGACGGGTATGCCGTGTGTCTTTGGCCTGTCGCGCCGAAGCCACAAGGACGCGCCTCGGATCATGTCTTCTTCCCGCCCCGCGGCCTCATCTGGCATCGGCGCGATCGCGCCAAGACGCCCGAGCAACGAATCGGCCGCCCAGATGGACGACAGCGTCTTCTCCACCGTGACAGCCTTGTGTGCTTTCCACGACTTCAACGTGTTCTCACAGTACCCCGCCGCCGCCGCCCTGGCGCCAAACTGCGGCCAGATCCCGCGGTCGGCAGACTTGTTGGCAGGCTTCCGGGACCGTCACGGTGACTTGGACGGGGTCGCGCTGTGGCCGTTCGATCAGTCAGACCCCATGGACTTCCTCTCGACCAGCGGCGGCGGCCTTGAGCCTCCAGTCCATTCGGCTTCTCTCGACGCCGGGACCTGGGGCAGTGTACATGAGGTGGTCAGCCCTCATCCTCTATCGCCGCAGCCGCTGGTGCCCCAAGTACATTCTCCTTCACAGTCACGCTCGAATCAGCAACCGCAACAGCAGCAACAAGAACAGCATCAGCAGCAGCAGTACGAACAGACACATCCGCAGCCTTACGACCAACATGACCACACCCACGCACAAGACCCTGCCTCGAGCCCAGGGGGTGGCGCCTGCACCTGCAGCTCGCGCGTTATCCCAGACCTCGCCCGCAAATCGCAGGCGGCACGTAACCAAGGCGCAGGCAAGCCTCTGTCTTTCGACGTGGAACTTTCGCGGCTCAAGCAGGCCATCATGGCGTGCGAGGCATCCATGGTCTGCCAGTCACACTCCTCGGACCCCACCGTCACCATGATCATCGGCTTCCTCATCGGGGATATTGTGGACGGCTTCAAGGCACTGCTAAGCGGATCGTCGCCGGCGACCAACACGTCGCCGTCGTCTTCCTCGTCTTACTCGGTCGCCACGACCGACAGCGGAAGCAATCCGGGGCGGCCAATCACCACCAACAACAGCAATATCAACAAGAAAAATAGCGCGAGCTCACCGGCGTCTTCGACGCGGGGGGTCACTCTGAGCGAAGGAGTAACGGTGGTCAGCCCAGGGACAGGAACAGGCATGACGGGCGCGCCACGACTCAGGTGGGGCGTGCTTCAGCTCGAGGACGACGACGAGGTGGAGCTGCGGCACAGTCTGTGTCTTCTGTACTTCCGCCGGCTTCGCGGCCTGCTTAAGCACTTCGACCAGGCCGTCCGCCAGTTCCGGGAAGCGGAGGGCGCGGCGGGGTCCAGCACGGCTACGTTCATCATGGCGTGCGATTACGTGCGCATGTGGCTGGAACAGAAGGTGGAGGCGGTAAAAGATCTTTTCAATGATACAGATAGAGAGGCGCCAATCTAAGAATCAGAATCTAGAAGAGTATCGGGCTAGTGGGTCACGAATACCAAAGTCCCTTCGTTTGCTGCTTTGAACGAGAGTGTATCCCCCAAGAACCAAAGTCGTGGCTTCCGGCCGGCCGAGTTGCCGTCTCTCACCCCACCCCCGGTATGCGCGTCCCCGGACTTTAGCCCTGTCTGGCAAGTTCGGTCTGGAGCCCGTCTGCGCCTCACGTGCCGCGTAGTCGTTTACTCATCGACGCCTAAGGTAAGCAGACATACACGCGCGCACATATTCCTCGACCGAAGTTGGGGGCGGTTTCGGTGGGAGGCAGGGAAGGCGGCGAGATAAAGTGATAAGCCGGGAATGCAACCTAAAAGGACCCTGCAGTCTTCCATCGGTCGGCTGGAGTGTTTGCGAGCCCAGCGGATTGTATGAACCGTCGCTGGGCTGGGACTCCACATACATGATCCTCCCCTAAGAATTGTAAGACGGACGTCGTATCTAAGGTTTAGCATTCCCGTCATCAACCCGGACTAGCGCACGGTCAAATTAGGCTCCCGGCTAGTTAGCCGGACTGTCATCCGATAAGGTGGGGGTACCGGGCGGGCCGCACGGGGTGGCCCCCCGGCGGGTGGGCACTAGAGGTACCCAGGTACTTGGGCTGTCATTGGAATTAGGTACTAAGGTAGGTAATGCGGAGATCTCTTGGCGTCCGCGTGGCGCCGGACACCCGCACCCCCACCATTAAGGCTGCCCGCCGCCTGCCTCATTATGGGGCGCCACCTCGATCGCGCAACGACTATCAGTGATTCCGAGAGGACGATGTCCCTTAGCCATCCCACGGATATATCGTCCAAGGCATGTCAGATTGCGTGTGTTCCGTCTTACTCATGTAAGATTATCTTGATGCTGAATGAGGAAGGAGGTAATGCCCTGGCCTAGCGTCGGGAAGGATTACGACGCATTCCCGACTCCTTACGACCAACACGGATCTGTTGGTCAGTGTCTCGCCTAGTCAATGACGAGCTGAGGTACGTAAGCAAAGCGCATTTATGCGCTATGTAACCAATATTCCAACCCAATTCAGTAACAAGTTTAGTACTATTCCCAGTACTATACACAAGAACAGAATTACTCTACTTGACTCATAAAGTGAAACCAAAGCAACTAGTCAATGATGAGCCGTTCGGTTTGCTGACCTTTGGGCCCGTCTGGATTCTCGAGATACCGTCTCGACTCAGGAAACCGGCAGCGGCCCAGCCCCCCTGGCCCCCCACCCCAGGTAAGATCAGTCTGCCAGGGGTGCGATTGGTCGGCATACGAACGTCCAGAGCATAGTAGTAGCTCTGGCACTGGCCCATCATCAAACCACGCACTCGACGCCCCGCGCAGCAACAGTAGGGACTTCGGCAAAGAACAGTCTCATGGCTCGTGGCTTGTGGCGCAACGGTAATCGTACTGTCAATAGAGTGGCCCGATCTGGCCCGGCCCAGCTCAGCCGGCCGCTTGATGGTTTGCGGTTCTCCAGTCACGCAGGTCTACACTCTGGGAATACACGCGACCGTAGCTCCACTCAGGCGCCTAAAACAAAACTGCTGGAGGATGCTGGGAATGCTGTTTTTTTGGTCAGATTTTGCCAGATTCGGTAAGGCAGGCAACATCACCCGTGATGAGCACCATCAGGCAGTAAGGGACAGTATGAGGCAGTTTGAGACAGTATGCGGTCATTCCATTCTAGATCGCTAGTTTAACGCCGTATTATTATGAAACCTGAAAGTTGGTGCGTTTGAGAGATATCTTCATGTTCAAGGATAGACGGAAAAGAAACCCTGTGGGTATGCCAGTAAACAGGAGGTCAACGTGCCAGGTACCCGGCCCCGAATGCTGCTGAACCCATGCAAAGGAAGAGGTGACATAGAGAGAAAGAGAGCCGAGACCCAAATCAGAACCCGCCTCACTTCAACGATTGGAACCGCTCCGCCTCACGCGCGTCGCCCTCGGCTGCGTAGTTGACGGTCCACTCCCACAGATCCTCCTGCTTGCTCTCGACGTAGCTGTCGGCGCTCGACTCGATCTCTCTCAGCCCCTCAAAGTACTTCCCCGTGACGCCCTCGACGTCGGGCGACACCGCCAGGCGGGCCAGCGCCGCGGCCGACTCCGCCGGGGTGTGCACGTTGGGGTTGAAGATGATGCGCAGCAGGCCCAGGAGGTGGGGCAGGACCGAGTTCCAGAGCCAGCGCTCGACGCCGTTGCCCTCGCGGGCGAGCCCCGTGCCGGGCATCAGGCCCGGGTCCATGGCGGTGACGGTGATGCGGCGCTCCGGCGCCCGCTGGCCCAGGTGGCGGGCCAGCGCGTACGTCCACAGCACGTTGCAGAGCTTGGTCGTCGAGTAGCGCTTGCGGCCGGGTATCTCGAGCTTGGACTTGGGCGGGTACGCCAGCTCCTCGGCCGAGTTGTACTCGGCGTCCGGCAGGCCGGACTTCTGCGCGGGGTCGTGCGTGCCGCTCGACGTGAGGACGACGCGGGCGCCGGTGGCGAGGTAGGGGCAGAGGAGGTGGAACAGGATGGCGTGGCCGACGTGCGAGATGGCGAACGTCTTCTCCATGCCCTCGTCCGTCAGGTGGAGGGTCGTGGGGAACTGGAGCGCCGCGTTCATCACCAGCGCCTGGATCTGGGGCTTCGTCGTGTCGGCGATCCAGTTCTTGGCGAAGCGCCGCACGTTGGCCGGGTCGCCCAGGTCCAGGGCCATGAAGATGGTGTTGGACTGGCCGAGGGCCTTGTTGATGGCGGCGGCGGCATTGGCCTTGTCGGACCGTGAGGCGATCACGACCAGATACTCGGGGTGTTCCTTGGCAATCTTCAGGGCTGCGTGGTAGCCCATGCCGCTGGTCCCACCAGTGATGATGACGGAGTTCTTGTAAGCCATTTTGAATGAAGCAGAAGCGACGTAAGCAGGCCGTACGATGAGATGCGAGTTGGCTGGGCGAGGGAATGGCAGGAGAAGGCCGTCTCTGCTTGGGCTATGCCTCCTTAATAAACGAGCCTACGCTTACTCTGCTTCACGTACCACAAACGTGCCATCGAATTGCCCGCCGTTGCTCACATGTGGCGCGTCGCATTGGATTAGGCAGACTGGCGAAGAACGACGGCAACCTCTCCCAACGCCCATCCAACGCCTGGCTGCAAGGGGATGCAGGCAAGACCACGCCACGGCAAGGGTAGCTTGGGGTCGCAAACATTCTTTCGCAGGGATGAACCGAGAGCCTGACTGTTATTGGCCGGCGTGACATGCACACTTGACTGGGGTGGTACGGGAATATGCAGTTGGGGTATTGGACGGGATTAGCAATGTCGATGTCGGGTTTATCTCGTCGGCTTTAGACCAGTGCCGCCGGCCGTTGGGCTTTTCTAGAATTCGCAATTCCGTTGCCATCGCTCGCGTTTGCTCTGCCTAAACCCTTGTTGCTGCGCCGTCTTACCCAGCCTACCTTCTCTGCTTACTCAGTTTTCAGTAATTAGCCCATTATCATCAACACGTACCTAAGTGACATAAAGATAATAAATCCTTCTTAATAGATAAAAATAGCCCTCTAAGTTACTGCTGCAAATTGCTTATAGTTGTAGAGGTCTAACCCTCAAAGGAAGAATAAATTGTTCTTATTTTTCTTTTCAGTACAGTATGTTTCTAAGGCTGTACTATTTAGCCTTTCGGTGCAACATAGAAGCAATCAATGAGATCTGTAATTAAAAAGGGCTTTTCAGCATGTTTCTAGTCATGAGGATATAGGCGTGAGTTCTACATTCTAAGTTTAGACGGCAACGTGTTTACCTGTATCAGAGCCCACATTCATATCACTAATGGAAGCCTTAAAGAACAAAACAATACATATTACACACTCTCGCTGAGGTGGCGACAGATAGCTATGTGCATACGAAGCTATATCCCTGACGCCGGCTTCTCACTCAATCAGATAGAACTCGTCAGCCTGCCTCACAAACGGGCTGAGATCGACCGCCTCTCCCGCTTCCGCCTTCACCTCGAGCTCAGTCCGGCCCCAGCCGCCGAAGAAGGCCCACATGTTGGCCTCGCGGTACCGTATCTCGTAGTCCTCCCAGCGCGGCGCCCGCAGCGTCTTCATCATGTGCAGCATGCTGCCGCACCACAGCATCACCTCGCCGTCCGGCCGCCCGCCGTTCTTGTACCACGACCGGCACTCGTCCGCCCAGTGGCTGAACGCCCGGTGCCACGCCGCGTTGTAGGCCATGTACTGCTCCGTCGGCCCCGGCTTGGGGGCGATCGAGTGGAGACGCTCCGCCGAGATCTTGAGGCAGGCCTGGATCGCGTAATCGACTTGCACTTCGTGCTGCAGGGCACGCCTCGCGTCAGACCCCACGTTCGTTTTCTCCTTGACGATCCGTCATGTGCACTGGGGGTTACGGGTTACTTACAGATGCCAGCACGCAGCCAGAGCCCCAGTTCCCCGTGGGCCCGCCGATGTGGAAGAAGTTGGGGAAACCCGGCGTGGCCATGGTCAGATAAACGCGCGGTTTCTCCGCCCATGCTTCGCGCATCTTGATGCCCCCTCGACCCTTGACCGGGCTGCGTCATGGAGTGATCCAGTCAGCTGAATTTGTCTTCTTTCCGGCAAACGGGGATAGGCCGAATTAAAAAGAAAAAAAAAAAGAAAGAAAGCAGAGGGCGGCAACGCACAAATGGGGCGTGTAGGCGACGTCGAAACCGGTACAGCATACGATCATGTCAAACTCGAAGTCGCGTCCGTCGGCCGTGGTCAGGCCGGAATCGGTGAAGCGTGTGATATTATCACGGACTGTCGTAACATCTGTCGCCGGCGGCGTTAGCTTGGATACTGCCCCTTTGCGGAGGGCCTTGTTTGATTGCCCCGGCGCAAGCGAGCGGAAGCAAACTTACTGTCCCGGACGAGCGCTTCAATAAAGCCTTCGGCTGGCTGTAGTGGTCTGTCAGCAGCCCATCCTCCGTGGGAACGAAAGCCAGTGATTCGGACTACTTGCCGTGTTGCGGCGACAGCCGGGCCCGAACTCGGGAACAAAGGCGTCGGCCAGTTCCCGGTGCTCGGCGCCGAAACGCGCCCGGATGCCTTCGGCCATGGCTTCCATGGCCGCCTTGGACACGACGCTGTCCCGGAGGAAGACGCCGAACCAACGCTGCAGTTCCTGGTCCACCTTCTTTCTGTACTCGAGCAGTCCGGCCGAGTCTTCCCTCAGCGCCCGTTTTTCCGCATCGGTATACAGATGCTTGCCCAAGGGCCCGGGGGGCTGGGCGTCCTCGGCCGCCACGCCCGGCACGGGGATGTCTTGCAGACCCAGGGACGGCGTAAGCCACTGGATCGAACGGGCAAACAGGGTCAGAGACTTGGATCCTGAGGGATACTCCCGTTAGCGTGCTTCAGCTCGCCACGATCTGGTGGCGTACACGACGACGTGCGCTTACCGTTGGCGAGTTGTGGTGTGACTTGCACGCCACTGGCCCCAGAGCCGATGACGGCTACGCGCTTGTTCTTCCAGTCGAATCCCGCATCCCAGTTGGACGAGTGACAGATTTGTCCTTTGTAGGTCTCGATTCCAGGAATATCCGGCACTGTGGTTCGATCACGTCAGTCTCGCGGTCAGGACTACCTGCGCCATCGGCACGCCGTGAACGCTCGGCGAGGGCATACTGGATCATGCTTACTTTTCCACTTGTTCAAGGGACCGGAACCGTTGATTAGCACGTTGCAGCGATCGGTGAAAACAGTGCCGTCCTTGCGCTTCAGCTCGACCACCCCTGTAGAGTACCGTGCGAGTGTCAGCAGCGTATGAACGGGGGGTTAATGGCATGACGGAGCTCTCACATTCTCCGGCCGCGTCGTCCCATTCGGCGCCCAGCACGGTGGTCTCCAACTGAATGAATCGTCGCAGGCCGTACTTGTCCGCGAAGGCTTCCATGTAGGCAAGAATCTCCGAGCTAGGCACGTAGAAGCCCGACCAGTCGGGGTTGGGCTCGAAGGAGAAGGTGTAGGAATGCGCCGGCACGTCGCAGCCGCAGCCCGGGTAGCGGTTCTCGTACCATGTCCCGCCTACGCCGGCGTTCTTCTCGTAGCATACGAGCGAGAAGTCTCGCAGCGTCTTCTGTGCCTTGAAGGCGGCAAGAAGTCCGGCTGCTCCCGCGCCGACATGGATGATACGGACCGGCGTCTGTTGCGAGTGGTGCTGTTCCTTGAACTCCACCGCGGTCGGTTGGGCTTGTCGGATGGTCATCGTGCCTTCTGCTGGAAAACTTGGGTATGGATTGTGATGCGTCTGTTGCGGATGACTTGGGTGGTGTTCTGTTTGGCCAACGTCTGGAACACTCGTGCGAAGGAGACGAGCTTCTATCCCTTGATACTTGTGACAAGAAATATCATATTCCATATCTTGACAGTATTCCACGTCCGGTGGGGACGGGCAAACCGACGTCCCCGTGGCCTGATTTCAGCTTGCTGCATACTAACAGGTCCATGACACAGATGCATGTCTATTCTCGAACCTCGATCGGGTTGATGATACGTCCCTGCAATGTCGACATCCATGACGGCCGACACGACGTACCCCGGAGATTCTAGAAGTACTTGGTCGTCTCAATTGCCGCACTTGGACGGAAAGTCGGCGTTTTGGGTAGGCATCTTCATCTACTATGTGCATAAATACTTGCCTCTATCCCATGTTTGTCAGTTGATCAGACACGAACCCGACAGCCTCACGAGACTTACGAATTGAAACGACCCGTTTTGGACACTCGGCTCAATTCATCATGGAAATCACCGGTTACGCTCTAATCGTGGGTGGAGGTAAGCATGCCCGTTCAGCTTACCCGAACTTTGCAAGCTCGGCCATCTGTTGCCGATCGGTCGCCGCGGAAGTACGCCAGCTGACATGTTCACAACGACGGCCGTAGGCAGCGGGATAGGTCGGGCCTGCGTGAAGGCGTTTGCGAGTGAAGGGGCCTCGGGCATTGTGTTGGCGGATCTGGACCACGCCGCCGCCAGGGCCGTCGCCGGCGAGGCGGCGGCCGTAGCCAAGGACCCGGGTTTCCAGATTCACTCGCGGCCGATTGACGTGAGAAGCGAAGAATCCGTCGAGCAAGTCATTCGGGACGTGGTCAGCCTCTTCGGACGGTTGGATTACTGCGTGAACTGTGCGGGGATCGGGGTTGAGAAGGCCGCTGCTGTTGCCGAGGCTGATGTCGGCGAGTTCGCTCGCTTCCTCGATGTCAACGTCAAGGGGACGTTCCTGGTGACGCGCGCGGCATCGGCGGTGATGGCGACACAGGAGCCGCTGCCGCAGCTGCAGGGTCGCGGCTGGGGCAAAGAGGCGGTCGGAGGACGCTCCTCCTTCCGAGGCGCCATCGTCAACATGGCGTCGGCGTCGTCTTACGTTTCCACTCCTGGCATGGTGCAATACACGACCTCCAAGCACGCCGTCCTGGGCTTGTCCAAGAACGCGGGTTAGTCTTGTCCCCCGTCAACACCCCTCCTTTCCGGTATCAAACTTCCTTTCTCCTATCTGGACCTGTCGCCCGGCAGCATGCATACATGGCTGTCTCGGTGACAGGATGCCCCCCTCTACTTGATACGGCATGCTGACCAGACTTCTGGGGTTTTCTTTAGCACTGGACAATGCTGACCATGGGATTCGCGTCAATTGCATCTGCGCCTCCTGGGTGCGGACGCCCATGGTGCAGAAAGCCATCGACAACGTGCCGGGCCTAGACAAGATGATCGAGGCGGCTGTTCCGATGGGTCGCATGGCGCTGGCCGAAGAGATCGCCGACTCGGTCATCTTCCTGTGCAGCCCCCGGTCCAGCTTCATCACTGGTTGCGGTCTGATCGTTGACGGGGGTACTACGCTGACATCCAAAGTCTAGATGGGGTGGCTGCATAAGAGTGGCCGCATTGTATTGCGCAGAGGATTGCGCTTGTTGTTGATGTACAGGGGTAATTGCATGCATGCGCCGCGTTGCCGTTGAGCGAGCTGGGGAGGGGGCTTCAAATTACACAGTTGTAACAGTTGCAATGCAATTGAGTCGAATGGGCCGCACATCTCTTGAACCACGAGCATGTAAGCATGCTGTTCCTTCTGTGACCATGTCGAGTTCGGGCTTCTGAAGTTTGCGATCTTTGATGGACAACAACATCTGCCTTGATACCCGCTTAGAAAGAGATATTCTCTGATAGGCACGGCACGTAAGCTGTGCCTTGTCATCGCTTACATGGTACAGGTAAGCTACCTAACTCGGGTTGCCGCAATGCAGTGCTTGTAATCCCGGCAATCGCTGGCTGAAGAAGCGCAGGCAAGATACTGCAGCTAGCGAGGACGACGTCCCGGCCGGGCATTCGGCTTTACCTTCGGGCACGCTGACTTTGCATCGTGGAAATGATGGTTCGGCGTCGTGGTATGGACTCGCCGGCTGCAGACTCCGTTGGCATTGTCGACTCCATTGCACTATGAGCGCGTTCCTACGATGCATCAGCAACAATGGGGCTGTCAGCAAATGCCGACATCATGACCGGGAAGCTCCCACTGCAGTCAAACTTCGTGATTGCTGGTCAAGCATTAAAGTGCTGCGCAGTCCTTGGATTGACTCTTCTTCCTCTCCCTGTTGTATCACACACTCGACCGCCAAGTCACACACAAGGGACGATTCTGCCTCAAACACCATTTCAACCATCATGACTACTTCATCGAACGTGCCTCCGAGTAAAGATGAGGGCCCTCCCACCGGAGCAGAGGGTTTCATCACCGATGGATTCCCTGCCCCGGGCCTCACCAGGTCCAGTCGTCACATCACGGGCCACGACGCCGAGGGCAAGTCCGTCTTCCTCGTCACCGATTCCGGCTCTCACCACCGCGTCATGGGCGAGAACCAGGCCGTGGCCACCATCCTCTACTCGACGAAGGAGACGCCCATCGAGTGCAATGACAATGCGGACATGAAGTTTGCCCAAGACACCGAGGTATGCCGTTGAGTACAAGTCCCCATCAGAGCCTGGCCCAGGCTATTGAGAACGTTTCTAACACGGTTTGAACTGCGTCAAAGCCTCCGCTGCACTATCCCAACGGGTCCGTCGTGCGCATGATCGACTTCGGCCCGGGTATCGAGTCGCCCTTGCACCGGGCCATCTCCGTCGACTACGGTGTGGTCCTGGAGGGTGTCTTCCAGCTGACTCTGGACTCGGGCGAGTCGCGCATCATGCGGCAAGGCGATGTGTGCATCCAGCGGGCCACTTCCCACAAGTGGAAGAACATCACTGGCAACGGCACCTTGCCAGGCCGTATGCTCTGGGTTTTGCTGCCGTGCAACGACATCTTGGTCGGCGGGGAGAAGGTAGAGGGCTTCCTGGGCCATCTTGAGAAGGAGTACGAGCGATGAAGTCGCCATGGGAATGATCACAGGTCAGCATTAGTGGCCATGTCCGTAGAAAGATAAACATTATCGAAGAATCCGAACGAATCTGTAAAACGAATTCCATAAGTCGCAGAAACCAAAGCTATTGAGTGGTCTTGTCCTGTATCTAAAAAGAACTCACTTCGAATCGGTTCAAACGCCTCGAACAGTTGTCATGATCTTCACCGCGTTTGACCACTGCCTAACTTTAATTCTTCTTCCCTAGGTGTAGGCTTACAGCTACCTTCTCACCTCCACGCCGAAGGTTTCGCGTTCTTGATAGGATCGTATAGGGAGCATGGAACTGCCTTTGCCAAAATTACCGATGTGAAAGACGGTGCCAATCGGCATGTCAGTCCTGCCGTTTAGATCTTACATGGCTAGTTGTTGCAAACGCATGAAATATGGATGGCTTATGTTCGTAGCATATGGCTGTTGGTTCTATCAAAGAGGAAAAGCAACGCTTGTTTTTTCACGGAATAGAATAACATTGGATGCTGTAACTAAGTCTCCTTTACTACAACCGACGGCCGTCAGCCGAATCCCCAAACTAAAGCGATTTACGTGCGGCCTGTAGCTTTTGGAAATTGAACATATTCCACATGAATCCGTCCTACGCATTCGCGTCTTCCATGTTAGCGACCATATGAGCCCAGCGGCCACACGTGTGGGATGGGAGAGCTGGTAAAGACATACCCAAACCTTCCGCCAAGCGAAAGTATCAAGGAAACGCACTATCCAAGTCGTCTTGCCGTACCAAAACCAGGCTGGGGGTGCAGATCGCAGACTTTGTTGGACGACCTTGGAAGCGTACTCGAAACGATCTGTCGTGTCTATGATCCTTGATGAGTTTGCAGCTCAAGGTTTGAAACGGCAAAGTGTTTGCTTACCAGGAACTCTGTTAACATGGTCCTTGAACTCCTGAGCCAATGGTGCAAAGTAGGATCCTGTTGTTTCGTTAGCTCCTAAGCCTCGCCGGAAGACTGCAAGTCACTGACCCTTTCGGAGCTCTCTTCCCACGCCTTGGTCGCACTTGAGTATGTTTGTTCCGATGTTACCAGAAATGATCTACAATGGAAAGCTCAAGTCAGAACCGTACGACAACTGTGGTGGGACGCAAAACGATGGAATGCATGTGGCCTTACCGTGATGACCTTGACACTGCACGCCTCCTAGTTAGCCTGCATCTCCCCATCTTGCTCGCGGGTCTCACATACCCGAGTGGCTCCATTTCAACGCGCAGTGTATTCGACCAGTGATGAAGGGCGGCTTTCGTGGCGTTGTACGCGGCTGGAGACACAGGCGTCAGAATCGTACAATGTAGCAAGCACGACGTCAAGATATTGAACGTGAATCTTACATCCATAGACGTAGGGCACTATGCCACCGACTGACCCAATGCTGACAATTGTGCCAGAAGATTGAATGAGCATGTCGTGGAAGTGGTGCACCATACGCATGGCCCCGAAGACATTGACATCGAACATTTTCGCAACAGCGGCCACATCAGTGTCTATTGCCGTCATGGTATAGCCTGCAGGCGAGATTAGCACCGTAGTTACAATTCAATAGCTTAAACGTCTCACATATTCCTCTGCAAAATATAACAGGTCAGCCTTCTGTCCAATTCAACGGATCATGGTTATGAGCGCATGGAGAAGTCGGTATTACTAACGCATTGTTGACGAGGACGTCAAGGGAACCTCCTGTGAGCTCCAACATGTGATTCTTCAACTCGCGAACCGAGTCCTCTTTCGTTACGTCGAGTGGAAACCACACGATTCTCGCATCATCTAGATGTTGGCTGTTCTCAAACGGGAGCAATGTCGCGATGGGCCGGAGACCCTGCCGTTTGTATTCTACCACAAGCGCCTCGCCTATTCCTCCTTTCCCACATCTACGTAGGCCAGCCTACGCGTTAGCCAAAAGCCTTACATATTTTATTAATGACAGGTTATACACGAACCCTGTGACCAACGCAAACTTTTTCTTGGTCGCCATTGCCTGCTTCAAGGCTTCCGAGTGATGAACTTGGATCGTGGCTTGTTGTCAACTGGGTCGAAAAAGCTCTCCACGCGCTCTGGATTGAATATCTGAGCTAGAACACAGATGGTATCGCGGTTCGATTCAACTGATCTCCATAGAATGCATGTGCGTTTTTGGGTCGCCTCGTGGAAGAATTGTATATCCCTTGCAATTGACGGCTAGGGTTGCTCCAGATAACCAACAAAACTCAATCACGCCAACGAAACTGAGACGGTATCCAGCTCATCTAACCAGCGTAAAGTTCTCAGAGGTCTAGAAGCTGACAGACTCGCATGGCAGACTAGGGTGGGAGTCAAGTTCCCGTGTAAGCCCGGTGTTCGCCGCCTCGGGGATGCAGGAGATCCCGAATGAAGCAACACCGATGCATGAGACCACATACCCGAAATGCGCGGAAAGGCCATCATGCAGAACAGCATGCAAAGATATCGACATGCGATTGTCTCTGTGTCTCTGCACAGCCCTTTGTGCAGATTTGATACACAGCGACATCAGCTTCAGAAGGTTGTTAGCGCAGCTGAGAGGCGTTGCGCTTCGGACCGCAGATCCCCGTCTCGCGATATCCGAGAGGCGGCGCCGGAATTCCCTCTTACTTGCCGTGTCGTGAATCACAGTAAGACCTCCAGTAAGTGAAACCGAGCGGCATCCCCGTCGTCTGAGAAGGAACTGTTCATTGGACGAAGGCCTCGGTGTGCTATCTCGTCAGGATCATCGCGGCCGTTTTGCCGGACAGGAGTGGTGTTCACAGACATGAGCATATCGCCACTCATAACAAAGGCCTTGAGATATAAGTCCACTTGAGAGACAGGGGAGCTGTATACAAACCCTGAAGCAGTCGTCGCCGCCGTTCCCTACTTGCAAGTTGTACAGCGATAATCACGTTAGATCGCACCTTACCACCGACGTTAGATTTGCGAGAAACATGCAGGCCTCGATGCAAGAAGATCGCTTACACCTTGATGGTGTTAAGCTGCCTGCCACTGGCCCCACGGTCATCAATGTTACGGAGCTGAAGGCTCTTGACAGCAGTGGCGGATCACAAACCACGGAAGAAGCCTCTCCCGTGGCGAGCGCCGACGACCGTTTCCATTCGTCGACCGACAATCGCTATTCTCAACCGGACTTCGAGCTGGAAGATGACCCGGCGTGCATCATCGGCATAGGTGAGGCATTTGGTCAACGTTGTGCGGCTCAACTGTCTAACGTTTCACAGCATGCCGTCTCCCAGGAGGCATACGCTCCCCATCCGACCTGTGGGAGTTGCTGAAGGCGAAGAAGACAACACAAGGCCGTGTCCCCCCCGAACGCTTCAACATGGCCGGCTATTATCACGCAGACGGTAAGCGTGCGGGAGTCATGGACGCAGATGGAGGTTACTTCCTCGACGAGGATGTCCGGAAGTTCGACAACGAAGTATTCGGGCTGAACAACCTCGAGGCGACATACATGGATCCTCAGCAGAGGAAACTGCTCGAAGTGACATACGAGTGCCTGGAAAATGCCGGTCTCTCAATGGAGGCGGTCATGGGATCTGACACGGCCGTCTATGTCGGAAACTTCACCGTCGATTACCAGACCATGCAGACCAGGGACCCGGATTACCTCCACCGCTACAGCGCGACGGGATCCGGCACCGCCATCATGGCCAACCGCATCAGCCACGTCTTCGACCTTCGCGGACCTAGCTTCACCCTGGATACCGCTTGCTCTTCGTCCATTTACGGCCTGCACAACGCTGTCATGGCGCTGAGAAACGGCGACTGCGAAGCTGCTATCGTAGCCGGGGCCAACCTCATCACGTCTGTCGAACAGCACCTCGGCACGATGAAAGGCGGCGTGCTGTCGCCCACGTCTACATGCCATACCTTTGATGCCTCGGCAGATGGCTATGGTAGAGCCGAGGCGGTCAACGCCATCTACATTAAGCCACTTTCGCGAGCTCTACGGGATGGCGACCACATCCGCGCCGTCATCCGAGGCACCGCCAGTGAGTAACTGCATCGCGGCTGTATTGCTATGGAAAAACACAAGTACTGATCATTGCTTTCTCGCGGTAGTCAACTCCAATGGAAGGACGAACGGCATCACGCAACCCAGCGCGGCCATGCAGGCGGCCGTGATCCGCAAGGCTTACGCCAATGCAGGCCTTCGCATGGCTGATACCGACTATGTCGAGTGCCACGGTACCGGTACCGCAGTTGGAGATCCCATTGAAGTCGAGGGAATCGGAAAGTCCTTTGCCAGGGATGGGGACTCAACATTGATGATTGGTGCGGTATGTTCTGGCCGCAACACCTATTCTTCCCTTTGCCCCGCTACCCATTTCAAAGATGATACCGGAGATCCTCAAACACATCATGTATTCTTTCATGGGATACCATGAGATTTTAGAGGCTACGAACGAGCAGCACAATGCTGACGAGGAAACGGCAGGTCAAAACCAATATCGGTCACAGTGAGGCCGCCAGTGGTCTATCCGCTGTCATCAAGGCCGTCTTATCCTTTGAGAAGGAGATGATTCCTCCCACCTACGGAGTCACGAAATTGAATCCCAAACGTGAGTCAGCTTCATATGTACCACTTTGACTTCATACGCTCTACCAACCCCTTACCTCCTCTGGAAGAATACCCCCTCCCCAAGTTGCAAGCTTCAGGCGCTGACTTACGTGTCCGGACTCAAAGTCAACCTGGATGTGTACAATCTCCAGGTGGTCAATGAAATGTCGCCATGGCCTCGATCTCTTCGCAGAGCCAGCATCAACTCTTTCGGCTACGGCGGCGCGAACGCCCACGTGATTATGGAAGCACCAGAGAGCTATTTGTCCGGCCTCGATGAGAGCATGCCGGAACCAGGAACGCTGTCATCCGCCTCTGACTCCGAGTCCAACGCGTCTGCGCATTCGGGCCGTCATTTCGTGCTTCCCATCTCCGCAAACTCGCAGTGGTCTTTGGACCAGCGGATCAAGCAGATCACGGAATACGTCAAGACTCACGCCGCCGCTACGCTCCCGTCGTTGGCCAACACCTTGGCAAAGCATCGCGCTCACCAGAAGTATCGTGCTTCCATGATTGTTAGCAAGACTCATGACGAAGAGCTTGTCACCGACGTCTTCAGCCCCGACGAGAGGCCGGCGGCATCCCCGCCGCCTTTTGCTTTCGTCTTTACGGGGCAAGGAGCACAATACGCGGGCATGGGCCGCGAGCTTCTCCTGAACAACGTCTCTTTCTGCGCCACGATTCAGAGACTGGACCGCATACTCCAAGACCTTCCGGAACAAGATCAAGACGGCCGGGGTTCCAGGCCAGCCTGGACCCTCGAACAGACATTGCTGGATCCGCCGGAGACGAGCATGATCAACGACGTAACCCGCAGCCAGCCCATCTGCACAGCCGTGCAGGTTGCACTGGTAGACCTTTTGGCGGACTGGAACGTCTTCCCCGAGGCCGTTGTCGGCCACTCGTCGGGCGAGATCGCAGCCGCCTATGCCGCGGGCCAGCTTTCGGCAGCTCAAGCCATCAAAGTCGCCTACTTCCGGGGACAGGCTGTCGGCAGACTGCAAACCCAGGGCGGCATGCTCGCGGCGGGCTTGTCGGCAGAGGAAGCGGCCGACCTGATTGCCAAGACGGAAGGTTTGCCAGGCCGTGTCTGCGTCGCGTGTATCAACGCGCCGGAGAGCGTAACGCTGAGTGGTGAACTCGATGCCATCGATTCTCTGGCCAAGATCCTGCAGGAGAGCGGAAAGTTCGTTCGAGCCCTGAAGACCGGCGGGAGGGCTTATCACTCTCACATGATGCAGGAGGTGGGTGCGTTGTACGAAGACATGCTTGCGCCGGTGTTTGCAAGCGGCTCGACAGACAACGAGAACACCGGGCCCTCTCGTCGAGCCACCATGTACTCGTCAGTGGGCTCCAGTGCTGAGGACCTCGCCGTCCTCGATCACTCTGGGCGCAGAAGCTCTGCCAGCTACTGGCGTCAAAACCTCGAGACCGCAGTCCAGTTCTGCGCGGCTCTGACCAACCTCACAGCCAGTGCCAAGAAGCTTCACCTCATCGAAGTCGGGCCTCACGCTGCCCTCAAAGGCCCTATCGAGCAGACGCGCAAGAAGTCCGGACACGACTTCCTTCTCTCGCCCACCCTTCTGCGCGGCGAAGACGCGGAGGCATGTATCAAGAGACTGGCCGGCCAACTATTCGTACGAGGCTTTCCTCTGGAATGGTCAGTTGTCAACGACCACCGCCAACAGGGCACCATGGTTCCGCTGTATGACTTGCCGCCCTACCCATGGGACTACACTGGCTCCCTTCTCTGGAGCGAGCCACGCCCAAGTGTCGAGCAACGCAACCGCCAGCACATGCGCCATGAGCTGCTCGGCGCCCGCCAGATCGCCGGAAACGACATCGACTACACCTGGAGGAACTTGCTCCGGTTATCCGAGGTGCCTTGGGTGCGGGACCACAAGCTTGAGTCACAGATAGTCTTCCC